GTGATTTTTTCCACTCATTATGCTTATTATCATTATCACCGCCATTATTATTATAATAATCTCATTATATATTTAAACTTTACTTTTGTTAATCATTTAAAGTGTCATCAAACCATTTATAGCATCAACACAAAAAAACCTCGAGACAAAAAAAAGTCAAACAGTTGAATGATTTTGAATAGGAGTTTATTATGATTATTATTATACACATTATAATGATAATAATAAAGATGAAAAAAAGAGAAGATTTCTGATGAAGATGAAGAAGATGATTGAGATTTGATGACCTGAGATGATGATAATTAACCTTTTGTATTCACCAAATTTACCAATTCTTGAAGCAAGTTCATCTGAAAATCAAAAAATCTTTTGTCTTCACTCAAAAATTGTCTTCATCTTTCCCTAAGATTTGTCATTCCTCTTTCCTGGGCGAGTCTCATCCTCATCATCAAGGTGACACTAAAAAAGGGACAAAAAACTTGCAATTGATGAAAGTCACAAAATGCTCGGGAAATGAAATTTAATTACAATTGAAGTAAATTATGAAAACAAAGTAAATCTCATTTTTTTATGTTCAATAGATTCAAACAATTGACCATTTTCACAACAATTAAATGTGAATAATTTAACGTAACAATTAAATGAAACAGACACAAAAAAAGGTTCAATCTTTTCATTCCCTTTACTGTCCACCTTTTATCTTTCATCAATTTCCTCCTCATCATCATTACGCTCATCAACGGCTTTTTTGTAGACTCAACCTGAGATGCTTATCGTTGGCTAATTGTTTGGACAATAAACAACAAAGCAAAATGTTGAACTTGAACTTTTCATTTCTTTTGTCTCTCAGTGCCTGATTCCATTGATTAACTTTAATTGCAACGTCCAACGATACAAATCTAATCAATAATTATGCCTCAAAATTAATTAGCTATTCAATCTATTTTTTGTTCATTTCCATGAGAAAAAAAAGATTCTAAATTGAAAAGGAAAATTTTCTTTGCTCATTAATTGAAACCAATTTAATGATTATCAGGATTAAATTATATTCAAAATGTGCTTTTACAATGGATACAAAAGAGATGCAAAATGATGGCGAAAAGTAAAATAAAAAAAAGCTGATTCCTAAGCATGATTAAGATGATGTGAATGATGAGCAAGATGAAAGAAGACACTAATCCTGATAATTGATTTGACTGATTTTTGCCTCTCGCAACATCATTTAACATCACTTTGCGAAAAGCTTTTCATCTTTTCAAATGTTCATCTTTTTGGCTGAAACACTGAATACAAAAAATTAGTCAATTAAAAGAGGCTAAAATGATCATGTTTTGTTGTTCAGATGAAACTTAAGCTTGAAAAGTGTTTAGACGCTAAAGACGTTTAGATGAGGCTGGCAAAAGATGAGGTTAAAGATGATGGTTATGATCAAGTTGAATGTGAATGGAAAGGTTATTTGATTGTTGTGTTGGTTTGAAAACAAAATGAGCGGAGCCCAAATTTGACATTTATTGGGTAAGACCTAGTTTTTTTTCTCGGCGTTTGTAAGGGTAAAAAACGGTAAGGCCAAAGAGGTCAATACTTAAAGGGAAAAGTAAGAAGGCCAAAAAGGACGAGTCACTGTGAAAGATATAAAGATGAAGATGAGGAGATGAGGAGAAGCCATAAGGTTCCTCTTACCTTTTCATATGTTTCGCTTTTCTTACCTCAACATGAGATGTCCCAAGCTTTCTTACTTCATCATCTTCATCATCATCTTCTTCATCAACGGCCTTGGATCAGAAGAGGGAGAAACATTTTTACCTTTTTTTATTGTATTTGCTAAATGATAGATTCACATAATCCATCATTTTCCTTTTGATTTCCAAGTCATGAGTAGAGGATTTCACTCAATCTCTTCTTTTTCTTCTTCTCATCTTTTTTGCTCATTTTTTGCATCTTTTCATTGGCATCTTATACTTTGCCATTTTTTTGCTGTTGTTGTGTATCAATCGATCCAAAAATTGTGAACGGAATTAACCGAATATTGACCTCCATTGATAACCTCTTTTTTGCAGCTCCTTTGCACATTCAAATGTATCTAAAAATTGAACATTAACATTCAGAGTCAATCCAGAATTGGTTCATTCAAACAATCAAATTGCCTTGGATGTATCATTATCATCATTGTGATCATATTTTCATATCCAAATTTCAAACCTTTTTTTGCAACAATCTCAAAATTCCCATGTTATCATCATCATTTCTTTCCTCTTCATTATCTTCTGAGCATCATCATGATCCTCATTGTTATCATCCTTTATTTTCAAAAGTCAAAATGCCTTCAATTCCCATGTAGTAATCATACCCGATCTTCATCTTTATTTCATTTATTTCAATATCTTTATCGGCAAAGCAAGACTGAGAAGCCGAAAGATATCAATTTGTCAACCTAACCAAGTCACTGTTGCTGCATCAAAACCAACACAATGAATCCACTTTTTACACAGAAAAATTTTCATTTTCTTTTATTCCCTTAATTTTCATTCAAATTTATCTTGAGATTCTTTTTCACACTCAGCATCATCATTGAGATGATCATCGTCATCATAACAATTCTGATTACCTTTCCTCTCTTCATCTTTTTTTCAATTACTTCATAGCATCTTTCATTGTCAAGCCAAGACTGCAGAAGCCAAGACACATCAATTTGTCAACCTAACCAAGCCACTCTTGCTGCATTAAAAGCAACACAATGAATCCACTTTTCACGCTAAAATTTTTTCCATTTTTCTTCATTTCTCAATTTTAATTTAACTCGATCTTCTTGAGCACACTTAGCATCATCATCATCATCATTTTAATTATTTTCATGCTCATTATTCAAAACTGCATTTGCATCCTTTCATTATTCATTGACAAAGTGCGTCTTGTCAGGTCGAAAGTAAAGCCAATCTTAAACCTAAGTAAGTCATCTTCATCCAATCAAATGCTACACAATGAACCCATTTTTTACACAAAAATGTTATTCATTTTCCTTTTCATGAAAAGCATTCATCAATTGCAGATTCACTTGAAACTTTTTTTTCAACTGCAAATCTCAAGATTTTCATCTTATTCTCATCCGAACCATGTTGATCAGGTTGATCATCCATTATCCATCTAATGAATATTCACAGCGGATTTTTTTCCAAATTTTTGTTCGTCCATTGATTCTCATCATCAATTGTATATTAAATTAATATTCACAGCGGATTTTTGTTGCCTCTTCTGAACTTTTCTGTCTCAATAGTTTCAGATTCTGTTTGCTGAAGATTTACCTTTTTTTGTATGATTCTTGATTGAAAAGGTTATTCAACTTAAATTGTATTTAACTTTCTATTTTTTTTCTTTCTTCATTCTTTCTGCTCCTTGATAATAATAATAATAACGATAATAATAACTAAATATCTTATGGGAATTGTAATTTTTTGCTTTATATTTTACCTTTTACCTTTTGTTTATTGATGTTCCTAGTTGATTGTTGTTCTTGGCTGTTGTTATTCATTTGATTGATTGAAATGATTTGTTGGCATTTTTGCTTTTTATTATTTCCAACATGAAAAGTTATCTTTTTTTTAAATGAATTTAAACGAGCAAACCATTCTTTAGCTTCTTTACCTTTTTTTCTCGCTCTTTACAACAGCTTCACATTCAACGACTGACGATGAGTTATTCATTGTTTATCATTTCAAATGAGAATCATCATTATAATGGTTGATAGTTGTTAATAAGTTTAAATTAATGTTAACTGTTGAAATTGAAATGATCAAACAGATTTTCACTTGAAAACTGTTCAACAAGATTATGTTTAAAACCTTTTAATGGTCAAACTTTGATTTACCCTTTTCATACCAACTTATCATATCAACTAGTTGAAAGAGTTCATTCAGAGTTTTATCGATTTGCACCTCACAAGACAATGGCCAGTGTCATTTGCATTTTGAGACAAAAGCCTTTGAACGACTGAGTAGAGTTGATTTGTGATAAAAGTCACATTAATTGTTCAGCACCCAAAGACTCGAGTTTATCTTTCAGTGCTTACAAGTCAAAGTCAGTGCAAAAGTACTGCAAAGTATCATTTCAATTCAGTTGAATTTATGTAGGTTTTGGGTGCAATTACAAGTTGATAACTCACTTAATTTAGATAGAAGTTTCTAAATGAACATTTCTTCATTAATCAGTTGATCAGCACATTTAAGTCCAATAACATTGAATTAGACGGATAAAGTTTAAGTTATAGTATCAAAAAATTATATCAGTTGTTTGTTAATCCTCAGAAACTAATCTATGAAACCAAATCATTGAATCGTCTTTCATTTTACACTTAAAATGTGTTCAATTTTTACTTTTGCAATGAGCTTCAACTGAATGCGTTTCTTGATCAAATTGTGACAACGAATTGATTGTGATAATTGAGGTTCAATCGATGGTTAGTCAAATGTTAGTTTCAACTCAACAAACGTCGCTCAAATCAATGTTTCAGTTTTTCTTTGGTGTAAAGATAAAGTTGCCCTGGAGTTTTATGGGTTCCAGATGATTACAGGAAACGAAATCATTTTTTAGTTTCTTGGATTTGCATAAAAGCTTTATTTTCAGTGTCATCTTTGATTGGATTTATTATTAATTCAATTGAATTTGCTCATGACAATGATTACTCGGAAAGCTGGTAGAGATTCATTGGTAAAGTTTTAATTGTTTTCGTTGATTGTCATGAAGATTAACAACTTTTACCTCGTTTTGCGTTTCATTGTATTACTTGTAACAGAAATATTTGTTTGCTGTGTTAACTGGAAATATTTTTCAAAGTAATTAGGTCCAATTAACCAGAATCCGAGTTAATCATGAGATGACTCTGGTTATCTTGAAATAGTTTGTTTCAATGAGAAAAAATCTGGATAACGTCAATAGAAACACATTCCAATCAGTTCCTGATCTAACTGATTGTCAACACAAAAGACAATGAAATGAAATTCATTAAACTTATTTTACACCAGAGTTTCACTAACATTGATTACCTTTTCAACCAAAATTACATATAAAATAATAAAGTAAACTTGGCAAAACATTTATCAATTGTTGCCACAATCAAGTCTATTAAACTTTCAAACATTTGCTTTGGTTCAATTTAATTTGATTGTTAATTTAAGAAGAGAAAATGTTTCGTCTAATTGTTCTTTGTTTATTGCCTTTAACATCTTTAGCCAATGTAGCATGGGAAGACTGTGGTGCAGCTGATCGATCAATTGTATTCCGTAAGGTTGGTTTGGCTTCTCCACTCACCATTAGCAGTAGCCAGCCTCTTCTAATGGACTTGGCCTTTGACTTGCTCGATCCTCTGGACACTGATGTAAATATTGATATCGAAATGCGTCGCTACTTCTCCATTTTAGGCATCAAAACTTCAATCAAAATTCCGTGTATCAATGATGTTGGCTCTTGCTCTGGACCTTTCTGTTATTTTGTCCAGTCCTATGCCAATTTGGCTCGATCAGTAGCCAACCAATTGAATGTACCCTTCTCATGTGAACTTGAACCCACTCACGTCAATGGTACCGTCACCTACTCAGTCCCAACATCGGCCTTAAGACGTATTCCATCAGTGCTCTTATCTGCTGCTTCGGTAAGTCATCATATTATTCAAAAAGATTGATCTTTACTGGTTCAACATCAAACCTTGAACATTCAATGTTTGACATAAACCATGAGATTTAACATGAACTGTGTTCAAAAATAACTCTTTATTTTTATTCATTTTCATCTCTTTCAGGGTGATTATGGACTTATTGTTCGCTGGAAATCGATCGACCGAGAAATCGCTTGTTTGTCCATTCGATCTAATATCAATATTGTCAATTAATCTGTAAAATTTTCATTGAATAAAAACTCTCCAATAGCTTTTAATGGAACTTGATTTTTCTCAAAATTTTGTATTCTTTCTCACCATTCAATCTTTTAGTTTCCAGATAATTGTTTAATCTTAATTGTAATCATTGTTGACATTGAATTTATATAAATGGCTTTTGTTAATCTCTAAACAATTGTCTAATTGTCATAATCACGTTCAGTTTTCATTACAAAGGTAAATCCGAGCATTTCTATGACATTTACTTAATCGAATGATTGATTTAACCAGTTGATTGGGTAAACAATTGAAAAGTCATTCCAGTGCATGATTAGTTAATGATGGTTTGACGGACTATTTTATTGTATTATTTAGACTTTTGATTCATCTCAAATTGACGTAGCTTTTTCCATCTTGATCATTATTAAACTATTGAAACTGCCAATTGTATTAAACCTTGAATTATGGGTGACAACGATCTTTAAAGATTTGTTAATTTGTAACAATTGATCAACTGTTTTGAACAATTTTTTGAAAAATCGCAATTAATTTGTGCTTAATGCTGCCATCTATTGCCTGAATAAACCACTGATGGATTGTGCAATTTGTTTCCGTTGCTTTAATGTGATTTTTCAAATTGTTTAGGGCTGTAATTTATTTTTATTTTTTTATTTGTTTCTACAATTAATTTTTTTATTATTTGCTTTGCTTTTTCTGAATGTGTTTTGTTTATTTTTCACTGCTTGAAATAATCAAATTATCTTGTAAAAACAAACGATGTTATCGTTTGTAGTCTGTGGGAACTTTCAAATGGCTTTTATGCTTTGTGGCTTTACAGATTATTGCTGAATATCCAAAAAAATTTCCGTTTTATCTCATCTCTGTTGGCAAATTATAATTACAATGGATGTGATAAAGGAGCAAATATCAATAACACTGATGCTCATGGATCTATATCATGTATATCTGATTGACTCGATTGTCAAATGATGTCTCACTTATTGATAGTATTGATAATCTTAGAGGGTTTGGTGTGACGATAGATGGCTATCTTATGGACGACTTGGTGCTGCTCTTGACTGAATTGACTGTTAGATTTACATTTGTTCATTCAGACTGTATTCAACCACTACCAGGGCGAAGATTAATATCAGCAAAATATCTTAATTCGATGGGTGAATAACCAGTTGGTGGAATCAAGTACAATCATGCTTATCGGTATATTCCAGATTATTTTTACTATGGTGAACATATTCATAGAAATCTAGAAAATTATCGCAAATAAGATCGATAATCTTATAGTAATAAAAGCCAGATGAGAATCGAAAATGTCAAAAGAAAATTGAAATGGAAAAAGGTTAACCTTTCTAAATGATGGCAAATCATTTGACTTGCTCACTCAACTATCTTGGCCTTACGAGTTTACTTTATTTCATTTGCCTTTTTCATGGTTCGAAATAAAATCAAAGGCAAATCCATTTTAAAATAATCTGAGAAAATGATGCTTTTAAGATTAAATTTATTGGGAAAAGCAGAAACAAAGCAAAGGAAAAAAGAGGACCAATTCCATCAATTTACCTGAGCTTTTAGTCGTTTATTTTTTTTTACTTGTTTGTTTTGTTGGACCAGCTAAAAGATCTAAAAGCAACGAAAAATCAAAATAACGTTCAATAAATTATTAGCATCATCATCATCATGGTATTTATTGTAGGAAACAAAGACAAATCAAATCAAGACTAAACAAACCACAAATACCGTTATTGACTTAAAAAATGTCTTAACTTTATCATCCACATTAAATCGGATTCGTTGCTGATGCATAACCGATGGAATCTATTTTAGGTAAAAAAAGGTAAAACAAGACAACCCAAGTTCAACATGAAATGGATATAAGTTAAATTTCGGATCATTCTGGAGCCTCAAACCTCATTGATTGTTCAAGTGGAAAACAACAGCGGAATTTTTTAGTTTCACTTTTGGTATCTAGTTTTAAAACGAAAGTCAGTTTCATCAACAATTCTGTTAATTAAACATTTCAAATCAATCTGAATATTGTTGACTAACAAAGTTGATCACTTCATTTTATTATCTTCTCACCTTTCAGTAAAATTGGAACCCTAACCATTGCTCTGTTGGATCATGTTATCAATCTATTTGGCCCTCTTTTCAACTTTAATTGGACTTTCAGTTTCTTCATCTAATTTATACAACAACTTAATCGGTGAATTTTACCCTGATAATCATCACTCACTACCACTCTATCAGCCACAATTACCATCGTCCTCTTCATCCGCTTTATCATCTGAATATGATACGCTTATTCCTTATACTTCTTATCAACTTAGTCCTGGTTCAAGCGGTTTGGTCCCTTGGCTTTACTACTCCAACTATCGGACTCCTCGACGAGACAACAAACCCTCATATGGTTTCTCAAATGATATCTCATCTTTATCTTCCTCGGCGTCATCACAATCCTCATCTTCCCCAAGATCACAATCAGAGGCTAAATCATTAATGGATGATAAAAGATCAGCAACAAGTGGCAATATTGGTTCTCCAGTTGATATGATTTTTGGTAAAAAAAGTGAGAAACCTTTTCGCACTTGGGGAGGAAGATGAGCTATATTGAAACAAGTCCAAGTCCAGCTCGAAATATTTAACAAACAATATCCAAAATAATCATTAAACCAATTCTGGTAAAAAATTAACGATCAAATAATGTAATTGAAATTGAAATACATATCCAACTTATTTCTGGTCTCATCTTATTTTTTGCTTCCTCTCAACTTCCCTTTTTCTTGTTAATTGATCTCATTATTTAATAATATACCAACAATAAATAAGCCTATTTCTTGGATTCACCTTCTCATTTATCATTAAATTGATTGTAAACGGATAAATCATGATTCTAATTTATGGTGAGATTTCAACAATCCTTGTGAGTTAAGAAAATCAAATTTGAAAATAAATTATCATTGCTTCCATTAAACCAATCAAGTTTCCCACGATCAAGTCATTGTTATTTAAATTTTCATCAACGTAATCACATAATAATTAAACCACACTAATGCTCAACTATCTTACAATCAAAACCATTGTATATTAGGTTGAAATATAAATAGCGAGTTGTGCTTAAAAATTTAAAATGATTTTTAATCAAATTTCAATAATCATTTTATTCATGGTAATTCACACTATTTAATACAATTTAATCAATATCTGATTAGTTTAAGATTTTATCAATTGTTTGATATATTTTTAATTAATGGAAAAGTAAAGCGAGAGAGAAAAATTACTTTATTTTCAAGCTTATTGGGAGTTTCAATCTAGAGTTTGTGTTTTGTGTGCGTTTTTGTTACAATGCTGATTCCATTAATGTTAATATCGAATAAATATGATTATGATTGAAATATGGTGACTTGACTTTTCTTACCTTGACAATTAACTGACCTCCTTTGTTGTTTATCGTTGATGTTGAACATTTGATTAACCTCTGGATCCCATGAAAGCGTCTTTATAAGGTAAAAGATCCTTCTTTTTACTCTCATTTTGACGCAGTCTATCAAGTAATAGTAATGGTGAGATTCCCATTGATTTGGCCATTTTGTTGATTAATGTACTTCGAATATCATTATCATTAGCAATGAATTCAGCTCTACGACCCCGTGAACCAACGAAACCAGGAGGTGGAGGTGGTAAATCAGATAATCGCGATCCACTGTTAGGTTAACAAACAGCGTTCATTGTAAATGAGGAAATTAATGGTCAATGGAACTTACCTTGCACGTTTACCATAAAGTATTGGTCCATTTTCATATTGCCAGCCATCAGCCACTTTCAATGGCTTGATACTGGGAACATATTTGAGAAATACCACTTTATTTCCCTGTTGATCAACTGATTGTTGACTGCTAACCGATCCAGTTAGCTGCAGTTAAACCAAAATTAGACCAGAATTTTAAATTGTGCACCTAAATATTGTAAAAATTTAATAGATACTTACCGGATTTTGTAAACTGTTTAACCAATTGGAGTTTTCATTGAACGATTGAGATGAAACTATGGTTAAAGTTGAATAAATTAATGTGAATGTAACAATAACTGTATAACTCATGGTGCTTTTAATCCAGTTCAACATGAAATGAGGAAATGGAAACGATAAAGCACCGGAAAATAACGAAATTTGAATGAAAAAAAGGAAATGGAAACGCGTAGCTTTTTTGGCCAAAACAAGATGAATTAAGAAACCAGTGTTTCTGATATTTAAACTATACTTTCCTTTGGTACAAAAAATAATCAACTGTAACTATACTAACCAACAATTTGTGGATGAATGAGACAATCAAGTGGTAAGCATATTAGGTAAATATAATTGTTTCAAGATGATCTCAATTTAGTGGGTTAAATTTGGAATACGCAAAAGCTAGTTGATTGTTGTTTGTTAAACAACAATGATTATTTAAGAAATTAATCGTACATTAAGAGAAAATAAATGTGAATTTGTAAATCAATTGGGAAAATAATCAATCGATATTACAACTTGCAGTCTCAGGTTACAAGTTATTTGCCAGCAAATGTCAACCCATAGGTATGTCTATATAATCACGGTATATAAAAAAACAATGAATCTTAATAAAAAAATCTCAAATGTATTCTAATTAGATTAAAGCAAGTCATTTTCTTATTACAATTGTCACTTGTTCTTACAATTGATAAATCAAATAATACTTAATTCAGTTAATTGATTGTTGTTTCTTTTATTCAACAATTTACCTTTCATTTTAATGTTCAAGTTAACCTTTTCACATTCAATTTGAAATCCAATGTTCATTCCTATAAGATACAATAATCAATTCAATTTATAGGGTTAATTCAAATAAAGGGAGTTCAAAGGGGTGTTTAAATTAAATCAGCGACGTTCATAGGCATTTCTTCTATAGTTGTATTATAGTGTTGCTCAATGTCTTGTAAGTTTCGTTTGTCGTCAGCTGTAACAAAGTTAATGGCAGCTCCTTTCCTACCGAAACGGCCACCTCTTCCGATTCTGTTGAAGATAAGATCAAAAGTAAAAATATTAAAATTTAAAAATTAGTTGTCAAAAAGAGAATCAGAAATTTGAATTGATGCCAACATACCTATGTATATAGTTTTCTCTGTTAGTAGGCAAGTCATAATTAATAACAAGCGATACTTGTTGTACATCAATACCACGAGCCAGTAAGTCAGTTGTGATAAGAACTCTGCTGGAGCCAGTTCTGAATTCACGCATAATGACATCACGTTGCTTTTGTTCCATATCACCATGCTGAAAGGAAGGAAAGGAAATGGTTAAAAATTAGTTTGGAAAATTTAATTGTCTCGTGGGAGATTGAGACTCAGAGTAGGGATAAACTCATCATCTCACCCATTTCCCAATAATTTAATCTTCCTTCAAGCGACGAATTATAAACTCATGGATAAAGAAGTATTACAATGCTTTTATTGAAGGACTTAAGAAGAAAAAAGTAAGAATTTAAACTTACCATATGTGACACGGTGAAATCCCTGGCTTGCATTTTTTGTGTTAGCATATCAACCTTTCTTCGGGTGTTGCAGAAAATGACTGCTTGTGTGATTGTAAGAGTCTCGTACAGATCGCAAAGGGTTTCAAACTTCCATTCCTCTCGTTCAATATATACAAAAAATTGTTTTATACCCTCTAATGTTAATTCCTCTTTCTTAACCAAGATTCTGACGGGGTCACGCATAAATTTCTTGGTGACTTCTAATACGTCTTGTGGCATGGTGGCCGATAATAGAATGACCTGAGGGTAAAAAAGGATTAGATGGTACACAGATGGCAAGATAACCCCAAAGCCTTGCTTCTAATAGGATTAAGTTTGAAAATTTAAATACCTGAACATCCGTTTCTAGTCTTTTAAAAACATCGTAGATTTGGTCCTTAAAACCTCTAGAGAGCATTTCATCAGCTTCATCTAGAACAAATATTTTAATGTGGTCCGTACCTGAAGAAAGAAGCATGATTATTAGCGATTCAAATTCTAAGAATAAATGAAATATGAAACTCACGTAAAGCACGCCTTGCAATCATATCCGAAACTCTTCCGGGAGTTCCGGCAACGATGTGGGTGCCCATTTCAAGCTTGCTGATATCAGCCCTCACTGAGGTTCCACCGATACAAGCATGGCATTGCGCATGCATGTAATCACCTAATGAGAGGACCACTTTTTGAATCTTCAATGAGAAAAAGCACGTTTCTGATTAGTTAAATTGAACTCATAAAATTGTTGAAAAAAAACACCAAAATCATACCTGTTGAGCCAATTCTCGAGTGGGAGCAAGAATGAGAGCTTGGCATTCATTCATGCTAGTATCAATTTGTTGAAGAATTGAGATAGAGAAGGTAGCGGTTTTACCAGTACCAGACTGTGCTTGAGCGATGACATCGTGGCCTTTTAAGGGAAAGAGATAATTGAGTTAAATTGAATGATTGGCGAGATAAAACAATATACACACCTTTTATACACGGTATGATAGCTCTTTGCTGGATAGCGGATGGTTTTTCAAAACCATAAGCATAAATTCCTCTTAATAATTCTTCTTTAAGACCCATGTCATCAAAACTGGTGACAACTTCTTCCCAGTTACTCTGAAAAATCAAAGAACGAGTTATTACCGGCAAGGCATAAGGTTAGCAGGAAAAGGGGGTGACAGCATTATATTAGGAGGGGATCACACTACAAACAAGTGTGATAAAAAAAGTCACAAAAGGATAGGTTTGAAAGCACTTCACAAATGAAAGATAGAGAGAAGAGAAAGAGACAGAGGCAGAAATGTGGATTGAAAGATGAATCTAGAAAAATGGCAGAAGGTAAAGTTAAATGGGATGGATAACTTACATCTATGACACCGTCTGGTTCCATACCGGGAACTCCATCAGATTGAGGTCGTGAATTATCAGGACCATTCCTAAAGAAAGAAACGCAAGCGAAATACAAAAAAAAAGTTAGGAATCAATATGTATCGAATGATAAGCGTGTAAAACGTCGAAAATGTCGTGGGAGACGCATGAAGAGAGAGGGAAGATAAAGAGCAATATATGAAGAGGAAAAGGTGATACGAAAAAAATATGAGTAATATAGAGGGAAGAGAAGAGGGAAAGAGGGCAAGTAGTGAGAGAAAGGGAAAAAGAAAGAGAGGTAAGATGGCTCTGGCAAGCACAAGGTTGAGGTGGTGTTACATTTGGAAAAATTAAATGTGTCTCAGTAAAATAACAATTACAAGGCAAATTAAAAGAAAAGGCAAGTGATACAAGAACAATAGAAGAGGAACACTTAAATATTTACTCACCCTGCCATATTGATTTGAGAAATGTGTAAAATTAAATTAGTCGAAATAAGATTGGTTGATAATTGTTTGCTCGAAGAGATTTCTTCAGTCTGTTAAGAGTCTGAGAGAAAAGAAAGAAAGAGCTGTCCAAGCAGACACAAAATTTATAAGGCGGATGCGGAAATCGTTTTGTAAACATGCTGCCATCTCGTGAAAATCGATAATGAATTTCTGATTGACAGACACGAGATGGAGCAACAACCATATGTTGACAAAATGATGTAAAATCTAAATCTTTCATTGTCAGGTTATATCATCATAACATTATAGTCATCAATTTGTTGTAAATTCATTTATTAATTTTGTGTTTACCATTTTTCCACCGGGTTTATCAATATGTCTGACGTTGGAGATGCTAATCCTTTTGCTGACCCATTCGGTGATCCTTTTCAAGATCCATCTATAATTCAGGCTACTACCACCAACCAGTCGGTTAATCAACCAGCCGTTTTACCTACATCGGTTGTTAACAGTAGTAAATCAAGCAGTCTTGGGGGAGTTTCTGGATCCGCTCCACCTCCTTATACTCCAACTCCGACTTCATATAATCAAAATCCAACTCCTAATCAAACATTGAGTCAAGCTGAATTACAAAGGCGTCAAGAAGAGCTCGAAAGGAAAGCTGCGGAATTAGCGGCTCGTGAAGAGGCCCTTAAAAATTCTCAAAATAACATAAGGGAAAACAATTGGCCTCCATTGCCTAAATTTTGTCCAGTTGGTCCATGTTTCTATCAAGATATTAATGTGGAAATTCCCCCTGAATTCCAGAACATCATTACTTATGCATATCGTCTTTGGATGCTTAACGTTGCAGTATTGTTTGCAAATTTTATCGGCGGATTAGCGATATTTATCGGAGATGGTGATCACGAAATATTTTCGGCGTCTATTCTTATGTTACTCTTCTTGACTCCACTAACATTTCTTTGTTGGTTTAGACCACTTTACAAAGCCTTCAGGAGTGACAGCTCGGTTAATTTCATGGTATTCTTCTTTATTTTCTTTTTTCAATGTGTGTTTTCCGTGTTTTGGGCTCTGGGTCTCCCCTCTGGCGCTGCATGTGGTCTCATAACTGCTCTGAAAACCCACCACAGTATTGGATTAAAAGTATTCATCTGGATTGTCGCTATTATTTTGATTGTTAACGCAGTAGCAAATATACTAGTCCTTCTCAGGGTTCATAGCATCTATCGTCATACTGATGCAAGTTTGGCTAAAGCACAAGAAGAATTCCGTCACTCAGTTTTCACGAATGAGCTAACTAGACAAGCAACCAGTGCAGTGGCTACTTCTCTTACTCGTCAAGCCTTCGGAGGAGTTAGTACTCAAGGATCAGGAAATGCGGGACCTGGATTAAGATACTAGACTGTTATCCCAAAATAAAACTTTCCTATTGATAAAAAATTATTTGAAATCTAACTTATAAAATAACACTTTAATCCAATTCAATCCAAATTCACAAAGTTCAAGTTGATATTTGTCGTGATCGTCAGTGAAATTAAAAATATTTTGTTGAATAATATCATCCGAATTTTATTTCAAATGTTTTAAAATAACACTTCAATTTTCTTGAATGGTTCAAACAATTTATGAGATCAATGTTCAACTCTTATTTACGAATAAGTTTATGCTTTGTTTAGTGGATGAAAAAATATGATAGCAATTTATTTTCATGAAATATTAGATACATGGCAATGGTCGGGTTCTTTGAAATTAATGGTAAAAATGCAAAAAATGACATTAAAACTACAAAAGGAATTACATTTACGAAATAGTGAAAGTGGCATTGAGAGATGAAGATGATTGTGGTGATGGAGGTAAAGGAGGCAAAGGAGGTGATGGAGGCGATGATTTTGGAGTTAATCCAGCACAAATTATTTCTAAACCACCTTCATCGTCATATCGTCTGAAAGGTGTTCTTGGAGTTGATGTATATGAAGACAGCCTGAGAACATTATCAATATCAGCCCAGTGGACACTTGATTGTTTCTGTAGATTATCATCCCTCCAGACAACTGACTTTTTACCCTCAAACTTTTTAACAACATTGTGATATTCTTCTTCCCTTTCTTTAGACAACTTTTTCAGACCGTCCAACATACGGAAGAAAATATCATTCATTTTCATAGCTGCATCGAGTGTCTCCAGCCAATTTTGCGATTGAGTGATTATAGCGTAAGAAACTTCGGAATGATGTTTATCGATAACTATTTTGTCTTGAAGTTCAGCCTCCATATGTTTCTTCTCGAAGAATGCATCAATAAAATAATCATCAACTTTAACCTTTGATCTGATGAGGTCTTCTAAGCTTCGAATTTGATCTTCATTGTCAGTAACCTCTTTTAAAAGTTGATTAAATCTATCTTCATAATGCAATTTTTGATGATATAAATATCTGGCCGATTTGCTGTCGTCAACATCTTGAACTTTGGGTGGCTTTTTGTTATCCAATGTTTCACTTTGAATTTTTCTGAAGATATATTTAAGCTGCAAAAGAAGAAATGCAAAAAATAATTAATATAAAATCCAAAAAATAACCACAGTATTCAAATAAAATCGTGAAAGTAGCTTACCTCAATTTTTTTCATCTCACTTTCACATTCAAGCAATTTCCTTCTCAATTCAAGACGACAGGAAAACAGATTATCTAAAATATTCTTGAATGAATTTAGTATTTCTATAGATGACATGTCGGAAGAAATGGGATTTGCTGGCATTCGTTTTAATCTGAGGATTTCATTTTCCAACATAATATTTTTCTCGGCTAAGGCAATATTTTCTTGTCGAAGTGCGTCCATTGCCAATGATTGTTCACGCGGTTGTATACCAACTAAACAACTTCGTCGTTTCAATGCCAAATTGATTCCCTTTGTTCTATTGGCATATGTCAATGTATTGTGAGTATCATCATATGAAAGTGATGAAGGACTCACAGTGGCTATCATAGCAGTGCGACAATTTCCACCAAGAGAGTCACTCAGGATCCTTGTTAGCACCGAGCTACGATAAGGGATGTAGAGTTTACCACCTTTACGACATTTTGCAGCCAATGCATTAATACAATTTCCCAATGCTAATAGAGATTTGTTGATGTTTCCACCTTCACGATGCAGAACTTTAGAACGTTTCTCTTTGTAGGCAATTGAGGCTCTTTCTGATCCTGCCAGATCCACTAAACACATTTTTGTTTCTTGTTGAATCATTTTTTTGCCTTTAGAACACTTCTTTTTGCGTAAGAATAACTGAAACACAGCATGACTTCTGGATGAAGTTTGATTTGCATCTGTTGCTTGTTGAGCTCGGTATTGATTACCAGTTTCCAGTGTTTCGATCAGTTCATCAGCATTCCTAACTGGCTTTACTGTTAATCCGAGGATGTTTACGCCACCGCCCATGTTATCAACAACTTTGAGGGTTTGTGAGCTTGGTGTCAGCAAATCATAAATTTTTTCATTGTAAATTTCAAAGTAAGAAGCACTAACTTCAAACTTCTCTTCCGATGGCTTTGTTTCAATGATGTGAAATAATTCCATAGCGGTATAAAACATAACACCAGGTTCTCCATTATATCCTAACATGGTGTAAGTCTTACCAGAACCTGTAGGTCCATACGCAAAAATGGTACAGTTGAAACCATCCAACAAGGACTGGACAAAGCTTTTAACTGCTCTTTCATAGATTTGAATATTTGTTGTGTGTTCATCAAAAACTCCATCAAAAGAGAAAAACAAATCTTTGCTAGATTTCTTACCAATTTCTTTATACTTTTTACTTTGGTATGGATCATTTGGAGGATCAAATATCAAACTTTGATCATCAACAAGGGCGACAACCTTTCTGGAATTTAATTCTTTCGCACTTTCTGGCCTAACTCTGATGTAAACTTGAATATTTTTTGGTCCAACGTCATCATCATAGTCATCATCATCATCTCTGACAACTGATTTCAATTTTGCTGGAGGCTCGTGAAAGTTGGTGGAATCACTTAAAGGTCTCTTTATTGAGCCTCGGTTCATCATTATTAAAAAAGTACGATCACTTCACTTCAGACCAATACTGTACAATTTGAAACACCAGTTAAAACTTATGAAATAAAAATATAATTATAAATTTTACAAAAAGAAACAATAAATTAAATAATAGGATGAAAGCAGTCAAAAACAAAGATACACAAAGCGGTTTAAAATTTGAAAATCTCCATACTTGCATCTGGTTGGTCCAATTTCAGGATTACTGTCATAGCATTTGCTTTCCTTTTGGTTACGCGGGACATTCAAATACTTTACCTCTACCTGGTTACCGTAACCAAGGTTCACCCATTTTCAATGTACATTCCAGATTTATGCATTGTATTTATTTAATAAAATATTTACGATTACATTTTAATTAATTTTTAATTCAAGCAACATCGTTAAATCGTTAAATAATGCCACATTATCAAAATCTACCTTCACCCGTTCACATCGAGAGCATGGAATCAGAACAAATCATACCGAGTAAGTATTCAACAACATTTAATCTGTGATTTTTGTTTCGTTGAAATAGCCGATTCGAATTGAAAAGCAACTCGTTTGTTACCCTTTATTTATTGAGTAATCTTCATGGTTATATTAACGAAAAAGGGTCAAAGTTAAGTTAATTTCTAGGTTTCGCCTTCTCGAGCATATCAAGTTTGTAGAAATATGAAAGCAATGGAACTGAACTGAACAAAATACAATTCGTTTCTATTGGTATTTTAATTGTTATTAGAGGGTGACTATGAAGAAATCTCTTCTTTATTTAACTTAAACCTGGGCACTATTGTATTCTTTTAGTTTTACCCATCCATAAAGATAAATTGAAGCATCAAAGCTGCAGTTACAGTTCAGAGTATCGGCTTCATCATGCATTCATTTTTACTGTCGTTCTCTGAACATCTCACATGCATCTCAAGTAATCAAATTACAGAAATGCCAATCAATACTATTGACTGCAATAGATGTACATTCTATTGATTTTACATTCATACAGATTAGTGTATCATGATTGATTATATGAGTAATTAACTGTCAATATTAAGTCTCCATTGTGATTTTATTATTACTTTGCCTAAGAGACACTCTTGAAAATAAACTCAACATGATGATAATATTGATTATTTGGCAATACATTTCAATATCAAAAAGTGCATGTTTGCATGTGAACAAAACAAGAGGAAATGAAAAATTATTGATATTGCTGTAACAATTGCTGTAACAATGATGAACATTATTGGTGTTCATAATTATGATCAGGAATTACGTTTTGATCGATTTAAAGGTTTTTTCACTCACAATGCCAATTTAATCACCATTAAAATTAGAGATGAAACCAAAAACTGATGAACCATAAGTTACTGTCATTTATGATTTGAGACTTCAAAAAATAAGTAAGCAGAAAAGTCAAGCAAAACTACCAAATTGAAAAAGGTTATTTATAATTAGACTTGAATGATTAAAAATAACTTAGAAACGGTATTTACCTTAAACCGGTTTCGCTAACCAGATTCTCAATTGTACTCGCTAATAAAGCTTTAATTTCCAATTTAGTCCCCAACTCAACTTTATAAGAAACCAGCTGAAGAAGAGTGAGTGAGTTGGAGAGGCAACAAAAACAGGTTACCTATTTGTTATTGTGTATGTCCCATCATTTATGAAAAAATTTAGTCTTAGTGACGACTTTAGTCCAATTTAAGGTAATCTTATTTTTTAATCATTACTAATGATCTTTTTAGTATTCAGATTTATCTGAAATGATCTTGATCTGTTTGTTTTAGTCTACCCTGACTTTTAGAGAATGATTCTAGAAAGCAATCTCTCAATCTCTACTTTTTTACATTCATTACATGAATATTGATTTAATTTACTCTTTTTTTCTCCTTTTTCATCTCTTCGAGTAGACATTAAATTTACTGTTCAACCATCTTACCTGGTAATCAACTGTCAACCATTGGAATACCCTTGGACAACAATAGTGAGTAACAGCAATCAAAAAAACCGGTTGATTGTTTAAAATTTTCAAGTGGATGTGTGTACTCCTACCCTAACCCGTCTATTTTGTTTTCAATTCATCGTTTGACGTGTCTAAATTCACACTTATTGGTATTTTTGATTATATTAACTGAAAATTGCCACCATCAAAGTGCTAATTTAATGCTAGCTTCGATTGATTGTTTTAATATTTTACCTTTACCTTACAATTAACTCTTCAAACTATCCAAATGTTTTAACTTGTAAGCTTGCTAGTTTCTAAAATTAACATTTACATTGTACATTTCCTCCTAAATTGATCATTTTTCCCTTAACAGTCCGTTCTAATGTAAAATTGATTCACGTTTTTTATCTTCTTTTATCTTTTTTCATGTAACCTATTTGCCTTTGGTATGGTAACTGTTGATCCTTGCTCTCAATTGGACTGGATTTCTTATCACCAATAATAACTTGACCCAATACCAATTTCACCTTTTATCATTTATTGATTTTAAAGTCATGTCCAGTGAGGTGGCAACAGAAGTACCATTTACAAGGCGAAGTAGACGAACTAAACTTGGTCAATATTGGGCTACGATGGGCTTCATATTTCAAATAATTCGTGATATTGATCCAAAATTGAAATATTTGATCGATACTTTCACCCTTCTCGGTTTCATCTGGACAACAAAAACCTTATTTTCCCTTGTTGGATCAACACTTAGCGGTAAGTTCATTTTATTTTTTCTTAAATTTCTATCATCTAATTTTAATCACATCGTTCAATTTATTATCCCATTAAGGTTTAAGAATTTTCTTGTGGTCAAGATTATGGCGACTCAACCTGAAGAAAAAATACGGCGAGTGGGTTGTTATCACCGGTGCAACTGATGGAATTGGTTTGGAATATGCTAGAGAATTTGCTTCACGAGGACATTCCTTAATACTCATCGGGCGAAATGAGACGAAGTTAGATAATGTTAAACGTCAACTATCAAGTTTGGTTTCATCAAACAAAATTGTTACTGTGCAAGCTGATTTCAATGAGTCAACACCCGAGGTAATTAAAGATATGATTGATTATTTACACAATTAACATCCATGTGATTAATTTAACCTTCGATGTTATTTTTTTATTTTTAAAGTTATTCAAACGAATCAGTACAGAGCTGGAACCTTATCAGTCAGAGATTGGAATATTGGTCAATAATGCTGGAGTCATGTTTGAATCACCTAATCGATTCATGGACCAACCAGAAGACATGGTTTGGCAACATGTTAAGGTTAATATTACTGGAGTTTTAATGATGACTCGAGTTGTTCTTCCTGGTATGATTAACCGTCGTCGGGGTCTCGTCATCAACATGTCTAGTATTGCAGGCTTCAAACCATTACCTTTGATGGGAGTTTATTCCGCTAGTAAGGTATGTAACTCAACACAAAATGTCTTTCAATTTACTCATCGTTCTTTTTTCTTTTCCAACAGAAATTCGTTGAATGGTTCAGTAATACATTGGATTACGAATACTGCAAGAGCCACAATATCGATGTCCAAACTTTAGTTCCTTCCTATGTCTCTACAAAAATGACCAAATGGAGTAACTTCCTTCAAAAACCCAATATAACTACACCTGATGCTAGAAGCTTTGCTCGATCAGCAATCGCTACTATTGGCCGAACAAAGTTTACCACTGGTTATTGGTCTCATGGTATCCAATGGTTTGCCTTTGAATGGTTGTGTCCATCTTGGATGTATTCATTTATGAGTTGGAATTATTTAAGAAACATTGATTCAAGTGGTCGTCGGGCTAAAGATACTTAAGAAAAGACAAATTCAAATAGATTTGGTAAAGATGATTCCAAATCATTTAAAACGAATCCGTCTTTTTATACATTTTGCTTGTTCATCATAAAATGATTATTTTATCCGATTTTTGTTTAATTTTTGTAACTGAACATAATGCAATTCTTTAGCACTAAATTGTAATAAAAAAATGTTTTAAAATTAATATTTCGATCTCTGATCTCTCTCTCATTTCTAACTACTTTTTGACAACGATCGAAAATTTTAAAACCTAAAAATATTAACAATGTTTCAAATAGTAGCAGTACAATGCAAATAAAACTCGTTATACGAAAAATAATAGGAAGAGACTCGAGAAAACAGTGAGCTTAATCAGATTTTCGCGAATTATTACACTTAATTAAAAGTAACCATCAAAATGCGGATAAAAGTAAATTATGTCGCTTGTCAAGAAGGTATAAAGCAAGTGTATCCTGTATTATCTTGTAATATCTACTATTCAACTTATCAATATCAGACATTTATGAGGTAAGGAGTAGTACCAAAAACTTTCGAGTTGAGTTGGGATAGGATTTGTAGGGGCCTGTGTTTCATGTCTCTTTGTCTTCATTGAAAATATTGTGAATCAAGTATAAAAACATATTGGGTGACTGATGGATTTATTATAATATTAGTGGATTGAGAAAGATTTGCTTGGAGTTGTGCAAAAAGCTCTGTTATTCGAAGCTTTGACTGTGCAGAATTAGGACTTTTGCACTGTTGACTGTAGAGATATAAAAACTACTTCTATCAAAGCTATTGAAAATTTTCTCTGATTGATAGATTTTTAGAAAATCGAGTGCAAAGTCAAAACTTCGATCGCTTTTTGTTGAATTATGGAAGCAAATTTTTCTACCAAAATCATTTCACTAGTTTAACTTTTGATTATTAACCAGAAAATGTACTTTGATTGCTAAATAAAGCTTTCTATTTCCTGTAAAACAGATCAGATTGATTTTCCGTTAAATCTTGCAAATGCTGTGACCATATCAGTTAGAGAGCTGAAACTTAGCTTTCATGGATAAAAATTGTTGGTACACATCTTGGATTAAACACTTTTCTTATTCGAGTAACAGTTCTCTAGATTTTGGCCATTTACCTAAAAACTTCGAGCCCTAATATTTCGAGAATGGTAGCACTTAGAATCATTATCCTTTGATCAATCATGAGGTTGGCTATGTCATAATATGACTGACAACCAAAAAAAGTATGAAACAATTCATTTAATGATGAATATCCTTCATAAAACACTTCAAAACTTCATAATATTTATGTTTCAGCAACCATTTAGCTTTATACAAACAAATGAAGCAACTAATTGAGCCAAAGGCGTCTTAAATGGGTAAAAAAGCATTAATGTAAAGCATTAACCTTTGCAACTTTATAGAGACATAAAAATTGAATCCAATCGTGCGATTTAAAAATTTGTCTGGCCCATAGTTTTCGAGAAAATCAAGTTCAAAGTCTAAACTTCGATCGCTTTTTGCGTAATTAAAGATCAAAATTTTTCCACCAAAATCATATAACTGGTTTAACTTTTGATAATCAACCAGAAAATGAACTTATTTTGAGAAATAAAATTCTCTATTTTCTGTAAAATAGATCAGTTTGATTTTCCTTTAAATCGATCGTATTAACTGACCATATGTGTACAAGAGCTCAAACCTATTCACCGGCGACAAAAATAGTTGGTTCACATCTTGAATCAAACATTTTTTCATTTGAGCGACGGTTCTCTTGATATTGACCATTTACCTAAAAACTTCGAGCCTCAATATTTCGAGAACGGTAACATCTACAACCATAAGTCTTTGCACAATCAGGAGATTTTACTATGAGTTATGACTTGACATAGCTGAATATTGTACCAAAACTGATTTCATTCATTTATTTATGAATATACTCCATAATATGACTGAAAACATCATAAGATTTGCGTTTGAATCAACATTCACCTTTATGCAAACAAATGAACCAACTTATTGACACAAACGGACCAAAAATGGGTGAAAATGAATTTCTCACAAATTTAAACTTTGTAAAATTGTAGAGACATAACCACTAAATCCAATCATGTGATTTGCAAGCTTCTTCTATCCCCGATTTTCGAGAAAATCGAGTTCAAAGTTTAAACTTCGATCGCATTTTATACAATTATGGAGCCAAATTTTTCTACCAAAATCATTCCACTAGTTCACCTTTTGATAATTAACCAGAAAATGTACTTTAACTGCTAAATAAAGTTTTATATTTTCTGCAAAACAGATCAGTTTGATTTTCCGTTAAATTGACCTCATTCTTTAACCATAGAGGTAGGAAGACTCAAACTTATGCTCCATTGACAAAAATACTTGGCCTATACCTTGCAATGAACACTTTTTTCATTTTCTCGATAGTTCTCTCGATATCTATCATTGAACTACAAACTTTGATCTTCAATAATTCGAGAATGGCAACACCTACAATCATAATTCTTTGATTAATCATGAGATTTTACTATGAGTTATGACATAATATGGATGAATATTGAACCAAAACTGATTTCATTGATTTATTAATGAATCTACTTCATAAGATGACTGAAAACATCATATGAATTGGCTTTGATCAACCATTTACTCTTATACAAGCAAATAAAGCATCAAATCTCCCAACATAAGATGTTAAATGCTATAACTTTTTTGGTAGTTTCTTAAGTGATCTAGAAATTCATAATATCACAGTCCATAGTAATATCTATTGCTCAGTCAAACAATGAGAATTGTAGGTGCTACCGATCTCGAAGTATTCATGCTAAAAGTTTTGATTTAAATGGCCAAAATCTAGAGAACTATTATTCAAACAATAAAATGTTTAATCCAAGATGTGTACCAACAATTTTTAGCCATGAATGCTAAGTTTCAGCTCTCTAACTGATATGGTCACAGCATTTGAAAGGTTTAACTGAAAATCGAACTTAACCGTTTCACAGAAAAGGAAAATTGTAATCTCTCAAAATAAGAGCATTTTCTGGTTGATCACCAAAAGTTACATCAGGAAAATGAGTTTCGTAAAAAGATCTGTCTCCATTATTGAAATAAAAGCAATCGAAGTTTCAACTTTGGCTTCGATTTTCTCTAGAACTATACATCGGAGAAATTTTCTAATAGCACTACTGAATTCAGTTTTCTTGTCTCTACAAACCAACTGAGTCTCGATGTGACAGAAATTAATTTTTATCCATTGTTCTCATTTGTGTCAATTTGTTCATGAATGTGTCTTTTCCTTAAAATCCTTAAAAATTTCAACTCTTTCTGATACATTTTTATATAAACAAGAAAACTCTGGATAAGTCAAAACTGTATCTCGAGTATTTATAATTTTTCTGTCACTTATCCAGTGAAAATTAATATGATGCTAAGGAAGTTGAAAATTAATATGAAAAATGGCGTAGATAGCATGAGTACCAAAGAGTTGGGCAAGTTAGGTAAAAGCTTGTGCGCTGAGAGAAAATGTAAAAAGTCATTTTTTGATCACAAAAATAACTGCTATTTGGAGCATCTTTTCATTCCCTGTCTTCTCTATCATTCCAATCTTCTCACCATTTTCACCATCACCTTTATATTCTCAGTAATTGTGAACCATTCAAGATTGCTTCTTACAGTTGAACTTTTTCACTCTTCAAGATCAAAACTAAATCTACCAAAATATTATAACATTTATATTTGCTTATTAAAAGTTTTTCATCTCAAGTAAATTAAAGGCGAAACCATCAATTTTAACCATAAAAATGATTCAATCTGTAGCCAAACACAATTCAGTCTCACCATCATCTTCAGTCCTTCTGAATGCACTTATCTTCTTCATGTCAGTTTCAATGGTTCATTCAAACTCTCCATACAAATCGGGTAAGTCCAAGCATTAGTTTTTTGTCTTACATCAATCCATTTACCTAAAAGTATCTTAAAAATCCTTTAAACTAATATCATTCCTAAACTAAACTAATCTCAAACAAGACTCATTAAACTTGTAAAGCTAAACATTAGACTTAAACTCCCAGAACTAAACAAAATATTAATGATGATAACAAGAAAATTTCAATATTTACATTCTTTAATAAACTAACAAGCGTTTTTGATATAAAAAAATATTCACCTTCTTTTTGTTCATGATTCAGCTTTCATGATAATTTGCCTTTCCATCTAATTATTAATCAGTTGTGACAATATGACAGCATTTGTTCAAAGTTGATTCCAGAAACAAAACTAAAACTCTTCTCGTACTTTTAACTTTGTTCACTGCCAATTTGTTTAACAAAGAAAGTTAAGAATCAAGAGTCAGCTTAGCAATTAATTTACAATGCGCTTATGTGCTCTTAATTAATTTGTTTCAGCACTTAACTTTAAATTAAATTTGGTCAAATTTTGTTAGCAACCTTTTAAAATTGTAGCTCAAAATGGCTTCAAGTTGGCGTAAAAGGTTAAACGAAACATTTTAAAAGCACTTTATTAAATTATTTCATTTACTCGATTTACTTGATTCAGGTAGCATTAGGAGTAAAAATGAAGTTAAAGTCGCTTCTAAATGTTTTCAATTTGACTGTTTTCTCACCTTAATGTCTACACCTTTCACTGAGCTGCGACTTAGGTGGGACCCTGCTATATTTAGCTTGAGTTGCCTCGAGCTTAATCTGGTAATCGAATTAATCTCGGTAAGAAACTTACAGATCTGATTTGTATCTGAGTCTATGTTGACTCAACATTAAACATGTTACTTGGGTTTAAGGTCAAAACTGTACAAGAGACAAAAATGAAGAGTGATTGGAAACAGATCAAGATTACAATGAAATCTCAATCGTGTTGACTAACATATTGACTGGGAAAGATTCAAACCAATTATTGTATCAATCGGTTCAATTTATATTCAGATTTAGTTCTTAAACAATTGAATCTAAATAAGTGTTCAACACGATGGGTTCAATCTAAGTGGTCTGTATAAACATTTAAAGATGTTGTCTAACCAAGAAGGGCTCATGAAAATAAAGAGAAGTGAAGATTCCATTTCCCTGTTGCATTGTATTAACATTTCTTGTTTATCATGAAAGCTTTGTTACAAAAGTTTTCAGCCATATTTTCATGTTGAAATGAAGAGTGATGCAAGATACGAAACTTATTTAACTACGATTATATCGCATACCGTCTGAATAATAAGGTAAAGTTATCATGGAATTGAGAAACAGACCAATAAAAATGATAATATCATTATAAGTCTACATTTTTATATTTCATTCAATTGTTGAGCTTATTTTATTTTCAACTTGTGAAGTTTACTGCGAGTTATGATGAAAAGTACATTATTTTTTGGAAAGAAACTAAACTTGAATCATTCCCTTTTCACCATTACTCTGAGTTTCTTCACTTTCATCAGATTATTCTTTCAACTCCGGTGAAAGGGTGAAAGTCATGAAGGTAAAGTGAAAACCTTTTCAATGAAAAGCTATTTGAACAATTAAGTAAATCTGTTAGGTTTGTCTTTAAACACGAAAAAATTCAATTCGTTTGATGCATTGATCTTTCATTGTATAACATTAGTTAAAGGTTAATGATAACTCAAAAGCTTCGAGTAAAAAGTTGCTTTTGGTTTTAACTTTGAATCCTTTCATGATTAGAATGAGATTGATTAGTCTGAAGATCATTAAGATGAAATATGAACGAAATGGGCAAAAGATTTAAAAGCAAAATATCTTTTAATAGTGAAAAGTAAAAGTGTTGCCATTAGTAAATGAATGAGTTGAACAGATTGATACACTTTTACCTCAATCAACCTGAGAGACACAATTGGATTGATTTCTGGTAGTTTTGGGTCTTTAATCACTCAAAGGTGAAAGCTTATTGAGAGATGAATTGACAGGAATGACAGTCAACTCTGTGATACTTAAACAGGATTAAGTTAGGACAACTTTGTTTGTAACAAATTGTCTAAATCAATAAGACTATTGACTTGCCGATGTTGAAAAAGCCAAAAATGTGAATTAGAATGAAAATTTTTCATATTTTCATCATGAATCTCAATTGCTAAATTGTATTGGGAATGGATTGGATGCATTAATTTTTCAATAACAATAGTAACCTGTTAACAGGTCTTGGAGTTTGAATGATGGCAACAATCAGGGTTGTTGATGTTGTTTCAAGTAATTAGAGTTTCACCATGAAATGAAAGATAATTATGAATGTCATTCCATTTGGTAAAAGTTGAAGATTCAATATATTAACTTAAAGATTTAGCACACTTTTATCATGATCAATTAACCATGACTTGTGGACTCTGGTAACTCAATCTAACTCAACCTGTCCTTGTAGGTTTGTGCAGTGACTTTGAAGGCAGGGAAGAGCCAGTTACTTACGGTTAAACCTAACAAATTTTGACTTGACTTTCTATTCATTTATCAAACCTTATTATCATCGTTATTTGCATTGACTTGGCAAGTTGCGTTCCGCTTCTTCACATTGATTCAATTGAATCTGTGGTAATCGACTTTTCACTTTTCCCAATTACCATCAGGAAACTAAGTTTTTAACACCAAGTTAATTGGATTAGTTGATCACTGTCCAGTGACAAACGGTAGACTATTTAATCAACAGCTTCAGACTGAGTAAAGCCATGAAGCATAAAGGGAAAACCAGTAAATTCATAACTGATGAGAAGGAAAAGGTTGAAGAAAAATGTTATCCCATGTTGATTGTGGCGATGATTCTGATGATAGAGTAAACAATATGTTTTGGTTAATCAATAATTCGGTGAATTAGATCTACTAGATAGAGCAATGGAAAAGGTGATGTTCATTAAAAGGCTACAGAAATTGTTAAATGTTGACCATTTAAGTGTATCAAATGTAATTAATGTCTGGTAAAGGGTAACTCGAGGTGAACCGATTGAATCAAAAGTCTAATTGTGCACCAGAATCAACTGATTACTTGTGATTTTATTGAAATTGTGTGACAAAAATATTGACTCTGTAAATAGCATAATTCACTAACTTGAATACAATAAAATTGAGTGCCGAGTTTAACCAATCAATCAACAAGTCTATTTCTGGTAACCATTTGATTATTTAGATTCAACCATTGAATATTCAGGTTGAGAGGAAAGCCTTTTGCTCAGAATTTAAGAAAAAGAATAAAGAATGTTGGAAGAAACGAGAAAATTGTTTGAATTTAAATACAAACCAATTGAGCATAAAAGTAATAACAGTAATAACATCATTAACTAAATTGATCATTTGATTGAGTTGATTCTCTTATAAGGTAAATTTGAATGTTTTGCTTCAACCATTATTAAAGCCTTTTCAAATGACAATCAAGGCGAAAAGTGTTTCAGTGAAAAGTAAATGCTAAAATAATCTAATAAAATCATTCCAATCATCACAATCATGGTTTTGAGTGAACATGAAGCTGCGAGAAATTAATTTCCGTTAATTTTGCCAATCATATTTAGATGCGATTGAACTAATCAAAAGTTGAAAGGAAGAAACAAGTGAAATTATTTAATTAGTTTATTCAGTTTTCTTGAAAAAACTGTTGATCTATTCAACTAATTAGCTATTATTAGTTATTATTAGCTAATGAATCAACAGTTATTAGACAATTAAGAGATTTTTAGGTTGGAATTTAATTTTTGAAATTTTCTTGTTCATCATTTTTCAATACTTTTGCTGTTCTTAACCAGCTTAAAAGACTTGCCTAATGATTAACTTAAAGTTGTTAAAATAACTAATTAACTGATTGTTAGATGTTACAGCAGATGAAATGAGACTTACCAACAGCAATTTAATCACTGATTTGGTTCAATATTTGAAAGATGCTTCAACATTTAACGAAAGATTTAGACATTCCCAGTGTTGCCCTGAATTAGGATATTATTTGAATGGACAGGAATCAAGATCAGCATCCTCTTTGCCCTCATCATCTTCACCTTCATTATCAGCTTTGCTATTTTCTGGTTCATCGTTAATGCCCACTTCATCAAGTTCATCAGCCAGTCAACCATTGGGTTTGGATAAGCGAATGGGTTCAGAGTTTCTGGGCAAACGAGTTGGTTCAGAGTTTCTTGGTAAGCGTGTTGGATCCGAGTTTTTGGGTAAACGAATGGGATCGGAATTCCTTGGACGAAGAAAAAGATCAGTTTAGCTCTGAAATCAATTGGCTGATTAAGAACTGTTAAACCGAAAGAAATCATTTCTCCTCATTTTTCATTTTAATCCTTATACCTTCATGTTGCACCAAAATAGATGAACCAAGAGATTCAGGTTTTACTGGTAAAGGTTTCAGCACAAGTCAAAGGGTTTACATTAAACATTTAGGTTTCTTTGAATCGATAAAGAAAAATTGCTTTTCTTCTCTCATTCTGAATGGAAGTGAACATGAAATTATTTAAATCTTTTTCTTCAATTCTTACTCATTAATTGTCTTAATTTTCCCCTCTTTTTGAATAAACTAAATGTTAACTAAAAATGAAACTAAAGCTTCAATGAATAAATACTAAACTTGAAGTTGCTAAAAAATATCTAAACATTATTTATAAATCAAAGTCCGAGCTGGAAGAAAAAACTAAATATAAAAATCGACTAAAGAATTGTTGATGAGAGGAAGAGATGAATGAATTTGGACTCATATTGATGTGATTTGCTCTTTCAATTTACACTTTTCTTTCAGTTGAAACATTAAGCCCATTAGAATTATCGTATAACTCCAATCTCGAGCAGTCCGAGGTTCCACCAAAGAGATACTCAGAGTTCTTGGGTGGACCCGGAAAGCGAGTCTCAGAGTTTCTTGGTGGACCAGGTAAACGTGCTCCAACCTATGGATACGTGAGTGAACAGGGTAAGCAAACGCGTCCACAGTCTGTCTATTATTTGGCCAAAAAACTGTCGGAGATTCTACGAGCTTCCAACGGACCAAACCTTGGACCCTATCGACCTGGTGGATCAGAGTTTCTTGGTGGTCCAGGAAGACGATGAGGAATACGAATAATAAACTATCCAACAGAATTTTGGAAAATGTTGAAACTTTTATGTATCCATCAAACACATTATTTCAAGATTATGTTGCCATTTATATCCAATAATTGGAAATTTCAGTTCCGTTGTTTGATGCTGAGAAAATGCCAGTTTAGATTGCAAGTTTTAATTGATTTCATTTCCAATTTTCGACTTTTGTTTCTTTAATTTTAATCAGATTGAAGGATTTCACGAATAAAATAATGAAAATGTTTACTCATTTGTAATTTATAAACTTGATTTGTCTGGTTTGAACCCAAACTCAATGGGTTTAAACTCATAAGAGCTAAGATTCAAAAGAGCTATTCATTTGAGTTTTTCATCGAACTCTAATGATTTAATATTCGAGTCGTATTAGCCGTTCGATTCTTTCAATCAAACTTCATTTTGGTTTCGTTATTCAATGTTGTGCATTCATTCCAGTTACCGCTGAGCTAAGTTTATCAATATCACCTAAAGTCCCATGTATTTAGACACTTATTACACTTTAGCTCTTTGGAGTCTTTGCGGTGTGTTGAGTAGACATTCATTGATTAGCCTGGAGCAAAGATTATATTGGAAATTTTACATGTCGAATGAATAAGAATGTCAGAGATTAACCTTTAATTTTTCTTTTCTTTCTTTCTTCAATAAATCACCACGAAAACATGCGACAGTTAAAGGTGAGTAAATGCGAATCAATGACTTGTAACTTGTAAATTTACGAATAAACTTGATTAGCTATAAAATAAAATCATAATTCCCACTTATTAACAGTTTTTTGATGGAAAGACAATTGTTTTGCTCGTTATTTCATCTTTCATTTCAAGTTATCACTTTATTATAGAGATTCTTGTCTCTCGATTCAATTTTCAATTGATTTGGGTTATTATTGTTTTAAAAGTTTAAATTTTGCCTGCGGATAAAAGGTAGCTGATGTCAACAAATATCATTGAATTTTATTACCAGCTATTATCTTCGTTAGGTTTCTTATTTCTACCTATTCTAGGCCTTTTCACCTTTTCATACTCGACAAATAATTTCCTCTCAATTTTACCAAAGTTTGTTTTCTTCGTATTTTTTCAAATACTTTCATTTTTCATCACTTTTCTCAACAGCAAATCTATTTTACTAACGTAATAAATTGGGTGAAATAAATGAATGTTTATCAAGAGTTATATATAAATATCAAATATACTTTAAATTTACAAATAATGAAAATATTTATTCTAGAAGTGAAGTTATCAAAACAAGTTACATTTTTGAAACACAACTCGTTTCGAACAGAATCTCTGAACATTCAAGTTCTAGCACATTTTGATTTTGCAATATCATAACCTATTCTAATTCCAATCACCATTTTTTTTCTCGTAGCGCAAGTAGCGCATACCATTACAATTATAACAATATTATAACACGGGACTTGGATCACATTTCTTTCTAATATTGAGTTTAGACGGGTTTGGGCTGAGTGACAATATCAACATAAGCTTTACAAGATTTTAGTTTACTGTTGAATGATATTGGGAGACTGATGGATTTAATATTAGTGGATTAAGAAAGATTTGTATGTAGTTGTACAAAAAGCTTTGACTCTCGAAACTTTAATGTGCAGAGTTAGGACTTTTGTGCGATTATAGGGAAATAAAAACTACTTCCATTAGTGGTATTAAAAAATTTCCAGATCGATAGCTTTTTGGAGAATCGAGTCCAAAGTTAAAACTTGAATCGCTTGTATTTCGATCTTGGAAGTAGATTTTTTCATGAAAACCATTTCTCTAGTCTAGCTTTTGATGTTTCACCAGAAAATGAACTTATTTTGTGCAAAAAAATCTTCTGTTTTCCGTACAACACATAAGTTCGATTTTTATTTAAATCGCCCTCATTCTGTTACCGTGAGAGTTGGGTAGCTAGAACGCGATATTCATCAATAAAAATTGTTGGTGCATAAATAGTATTAAAAAAGTTTTTTATTTGAGCGACAGTTCTCTTGTTTTTGGCCATTGAACTAAAAACTTTGAACGACAATATTTCGAGAATGGTACCATCTACAATCGTCATTCTTCAATTAATCATTAGATATTACTGAGGAATATAATATGATCAAATTTTGGATAGTTTAAGAAGCTACAAGAAAAGTTAAAGCATTTTATTACTCATGTTGTGCGATTTGATGCTTTATTTGCTTTTATAAGAGTAAATGAGAGTGTATGGTTGAATAAACCCAAATCTTATGATGTTTTATTCGTCTTATGAAGGATATTCATCAATAAATCAATGCAATCAGTTTTGATTCAATATTCAGTGATGTTATGTCATAACTCATAGTAAAATCGCATGATTGGTAAAAGAATGATGACTGTAGGTGTTGCCATTCTCGAAATATTGAAGATCAAAAATTTTAGTTCAATGATAGATATCGAGAGAACTATCAAGAAAATTAAAAAAAAGTTCATTGCAAGTTATGGACCAAGTATTTTTGTCAATGGAGCATAAGTTTGAGTCTTCTAACCCTCATGGTTAAAGAATGAGGTCAATTTAACGGAAAATCAAAGTGATCTGTTTTGCAGAAAACATAAAACTTTATTCAGCAATTAAAGTACATTTTCTGGTTAATTATCAAAAGGTGAACTAGTGGAATGATTTTGGTAGAAAAATTTGGCTCCATAATTGTATAAAATGCGATCGAAGTTTAAACTTTGAACTCGATTTTCTCGAAAACTGAGTATAAAAGAAACTTTTAAATCACACGATTGGATTTAGTGTCCATGTCCCTACAAAGTTAAAAAGTTTAAATTTGTGAGAAATTCATTTTCATCCATTTCTGACCCGTTTGTGTCAATATGTTGGTTCATTTGCTTTTATAAGAGTAAATGGTTGATCAAACCCAAATCTTATGATGTTTTCAGTCATATTATGAAGTATATTCATCATTAAATGAATTGTTTCATACTTTTTTTGGATTTCAGTCATATTATGACATAGCTAACCTCGTGATTGATCAAAGGATAATGATTCTAAGTGCTACCATTCTCGAAATATTAGGGCTCGAAGTTTTTAGGTAAATGGCCAAAATCTAGAGAACTGTTACTCGAATAAAAAAAGTGTTTAATCCAAGATGTGTACCAACAATTTTTATAAATGAATGTTAAGTTTCAGCTCTCTGACTGATATGGTCACAGCATTTGAAAGGTTTAACGGAAAATCGAACTGATCTGTTTTACAGGAAATAGAAAGCTTTATTTAGCAATCAAAGTACATTTTCTGGTTAATAATCAAAAGTTAAACTAGTGGAATAATTTTGGTAGAAAAATTTGCCTCCATAACTCAACAAAAAGCTATCGAAGTTTTAACTTTGGACTCGATTTTCTAAAAATCTATCAATCAGAGAAATTTTTTAATAGCACTAATGGAAGTAGTTTTTATGTCCCTACAGTCAACAGTGCAAAAGTCCTAACTCTGCAGAGTCAAAGCTTCGAATATCAGACCTTTTTGTACAACTCCAAGCAATTCTTCCTCAATCCACTAATATCAATCTATCATGCACCCAATATGTTTTTATACTTGATTTACAGTATTTTCAATGAAGACAAAGAGACATGAAACACTATGCGCGTCAATACGGTAGCTTTTAGGCCCCTAAAAATCCTATTCCAACTCTCAACTCGAAAGTTTTTGACACTACTCCTTACTTCATAATTGTCTGATATTGATAAGTTGAATAGTTGATATAAGATACACTTGCTTTATACCTTCTTGACAAGCGACATAATTTACACAATTTTTCATTGTAAATTATAACAGCCAAGTATTTTTGCTACCTTTATCCCATTTTGATGGTTACTATGAAGTGTTATTTGCGAAAATCTAACAAAGCACGCTATTTTCGTGAGTGTCTTTTTACTATTTTTCGAGCAACGAGTTTTGTTTGCTATGTACTGTTACGAGGAACATTTTAATGTTTTTGGTTTTAAAATTTGCAATTGTTGGCAAAAAGCCGTTAGAAAATAAAATAGATCGAAATATTAATTTTAAAACATTTTTTATTACAATTTAGTGCTAAAGAATTGCATTATGTTCAGTTACAAAAATTAAACAAAAATCGGATAAAATAACCATTTTATGATGAACAAGCATAATGTATAAAAAGACGGATTCGTATTAAATGATTTGGAATCATCTTTGTCAAATCGATTTGAATTTGTCTTTTCTTAAGTATCTTTAGCCCGACGACCACTTGAATCAATGTTTCTTAAATAATTCCAACTCATGAATGAATACATCCAAGATGGACACAACCATTCAAAGGCAAACCATTGGATACCATGAGACCAATAACCAGTGGTAAACTTTGTTCGGCCAATAGTTGCAATTGCTGACCGAGCAAAGCTTCTAGCATCAGGTGTAGTTATATTAGGCTTTTGAAGGAAGTTACTCCATTTGGTCATTTTTGTAGAGACATAGGAAGGAACTAAAGTTTGGACATCGATATTGTGGCTCTTGCAGTACTCGTAATCCAATGTATTACTGAACCATTCATGATATCAGTTTTTGGTTGATCATAAAAAGTGCACACGGACTCAGTTTTTAGTTCCTACAAACCGACAGAGTCTAAATTTGAAAGAAATTAATTTGGACCCGTTTTTGCCCATTTGAGCCAATTTATGCAACAACGGAAAATTGTGTCTCTATTAACTAATATCGAAGCTTAAATGAAGATTATTACAATTTGTTTATAACAAATATTTTTTATTTACTAATATCGATATTATCGATACCATCGATGAAAAGTAACAACACTACTTTCAGTCAACTTTATTATAATATTGACTGACTGAGGTAAATTGTGTCTATTAATTTAAATCAATAATGTCTGGATTTTTTAAACAAGATATGCCACCTCCGGGTGGTTATCCACCAATCCATATTGAGCGGATGAAATCAAAACGATTTTTATCAAGTAAGTAATGAATATACTTTTTTCTTGACCTTTGTTTATTTTTGTATCTCTCTTGTATATATTTTCATCCATTGATCTTGCTTTTTTCAATCATTATTTCAGATTTCAACCTTTTCTTATTTGGTGTGGCAGCTTCCATATACACCATCCATCTTAAACGTAATAAGTCAAATTTAAGAACCCTTGGAAATATTGAAGTATCCAATGCTCTAATTGCTCTTGAACCATTTATCGAGGCTGAACGAGATAGAATGTACCTGAAAAACTTGATTAGATTGCGAGATGAAGAAGCCGAAACAATGAAACGATTCCCTGATTGGGTACCAGGAACATTATTTGGTTTACCAAGATACAAGACTTTACCGAATGAAGTTAACCCAACAGCTGAGATCAGCGAATACTGGATGTTTAGGCCAATGTATAACAAACTAGATTACGTTTACCCTGACAGACATCTTGTGTAAATATTTAATGTTTTAATAGAGATGTAATTATTGTTATGGTTAATCATAATGGTTAAAATAGCCATTAAACGCCACTTTTCACCATTTAGTTAACCAGTCTGGTTACAAAACTACAAATTTAATTGCGCGCCATCTACTGATTACCTGTTATTGCAAAGCATTGTCCAATAGATTTTGTCTGCTGTCGAAATTGCTCCCATTCAAGGAAATCAATAAACTAGGATATTTCAAGAATATTCCTTAGAATAAAGATTGTTTGACAGTTTCAATCAAATGCAATTTCAAGTTTAATTATTAATCTCTTTTCGCCAATACATCAGCTTTCACTTTTGTGTTTCATTTACAAGTAAATTTCAAGTAAGTGATATTTTCAACACATTCCAAGTTCGACCTTTATGCTCTGTAAATCTCTCAATCTTTTACCTCCGAGACTAGTATAAAGATCTTTCCATCTGTAAACCTATCATCTGTTCCTTAGACAAGCTTTCATCATTTTTCATTCATCTATTTGATTGTTCTCTGTTCACTTGAAGATTCATTCTAAAATTTACAATGGTTGAATGGCCTAAACACGTGCCCTGTCCAAAGTTTTGGCAGATAATATCTCATAGACACAAAAAAGAAGCGCTCTTTACCATTTACAGAATGGCAAGTTATGAAGATTTGTTTAAATGGATGGGAACGGTCGATCCATTGAGTACAGAGTTTAGAATGGAAGTGCTCAGGAATATTAAATTTTTCAGGAGAATTTATTTAGCATCTTTAAGATTTCGTGCAGATCATATATGGGCTGAAGAATCGGAATCTGGAGAACGTAAGTGAATCTTCACTATAGATGTTATCAATGTTACTTCATTGAGTAATCGATGGTTATACTCGAGTATTTGAATTATTTTTCAGGGATGGACGAGTTCGATGAAGAGGTTATGGCACTGCCTGATCCAATTGAATGGGATTCTTTATCTGAAAATCAACAAAACATGATTCTTGGTTACATTACCACAATAGAGCCGAACTATCAAAAATTACAAGAGGATCTTATCAAAGAACAACCAGTGCCCGATCTTGAAAAGGTCATGATGCACGCCAGATTTGCGAGATACATTTACATTCAAGTGAACATGATTAGAGAGAAAATGGCTAGCGACGAAGATTTTGCAAAAATTTACACTTTTTGTTTGAGTAAGCTTTGCAATTATCTAATTTATTTTCATATTTATTAATATTTTGATATTTCTTAATGTTTGAATTTTCCAGGTGATTATTCAAAGGATGAAAAGCCACCGTTTGGCATTGTACTCGATGCTAAGCATCCACGGGCAATCGCTCGGCAACGATGGGAAGAATATGTTATGAAATGCGATCCAAAATGAACTTTAAAACTGAACAAATAAGTCAATGTCGACAATTTTTAATTGTCGAGTTTTTAGATCAAATGATCATCTTTATGAATTATTCATTCACCATTAATAAGTATAATAAATATCTGTACTAAATTTGCTTTTGATTTCCACGAAATTCTTTATTCCTACGTAATCAAAATCATAGCTAAGATGTATCAATCGCATAAAATACCAATAGCTATTGACAGAGTTGTGCACAACCAGGATTGATTATTCAAGATTTAGGCCTTAGTTTGACCATCATCACTAGATATGTTTTGGCTTCATCATTGGCTAATAAGACGACCGAGACCGGCTTTTTTCCACCGCATCCACCACTTTTTTTATCTTCTTGTCAACGTATTGTCAACCACTCAGTCTAACTCATCCATTCCTAAATTTTTGACCACTTTTGGGGTATGATGACGATTAATAGTGGATGTGTCAGATTGGGTGATGGACAATACGTAGAAAAGACAGTAAAAAAGTGGTGGATGTGGTGGAAAAAAGCCTGTACCGGGCGACCAACTACTTCACTTCGATTTCTAACTATAATCACTTTTTCATTTAACTGATCTGCATGCTCAAACTCATAATTATAGACACCAAGGATCGGTTAAGAAATGATTGAGTATATTATGACAAAGACCTTCAACATCTTTGAAAGGTGAGACACAATTTTGAATATACTGATCGTGACCACCACCAAACACAGGATAATAAACCATGACACCATCAACACGACGATCCTCATTGGCTTCAATAATACCTTCTTCCAAATCTTCTCTTTCCACTTGTCTCAATTCAAATTTTATTCCAATTTCCTCACAGCTTCGTTGTGTCCATTTGGCATATGTAATGGCGGATTGGTCTTTATTGGCAAGAAAACCAACCAGACGAGGTCGGGCACGACTTTGATCGATCCACTCTTTGAGGTCATCTCTGTTGAATCACAATTTAAAAGTAAAAAATATTATTGAAAATCTTTTATGAGAATATTATAGATTAACAATAAAGATAAGTATTATTAGTTGAAATTAATAATAGATGATTGAATTTACCTAAGAAATGAATTATTATCAAAATTAAATGTTTTTCATTGATGAATATTGTTCATTTGTTGGGACTAATTGATAATTTTTGTTGACTTTTGAGCTCTAAGTTTAGGGCTTTAAAAGGATTACTTTGGCCGACGATGCAGCACTTACGACTTTATAAATATTTTCCCATGAAGCTTACCGAAAGGTCTTTGAGTAAATCCTGCTAAAACCTCTTGAACCTTTTCAATCTCTAACTGGTGGGCCAGTGCTTTTTTGTTTGCTTTAATTAAGAGGGATTACTCTGAACCCTTTGAAAACCCTTTGACTTTACTGAAGCTTAAGACAACCGACTATGTCGTAAAGCTAATGACAAAAAAGCTTCAGTAAACTCGCCCTCTACCGGTTCCGACTAACAAAGGTAAAACAGATACATTTACTGTCAAACCTCCGATAATGTCACACTCTCAAAATGTCACAGACCCATGGCAACGAAATTAAACAATTTAGTTAATTCAGTTTTTTTAATTAAATAAATTTTGCGAGGACTTCAACAATAATTTTGATTGGGTATATTATAGGAATTGCCCAATTAAACATCAAAAATCACAAAATTAAATTAAAAATTAATTTTTTTTGTTAAATAAAATTCGTAAAAAGGCTATTCCACCTAGAAATTATGTAAAAATAGCCAAAACGCTAATCCCACGAAGTGACATTATTGGAGGTTTGACAGTAATTGAAACTACTTGTGGAAAGGTAGTGAAAACTCGACGAAAATCTTTGTTTTTGACTGCTTTCATCCTATTATTTAATTTATTGTTTCTTTTTGTAAAATTTATAATTTTATTTTTATTTAATAGTTTTTAACTGGTGAATCAAATTGTACAGTATTGGTCTGAAGTGAAGTGATTGTATTTTTTCAATAATGATGACCCGAGGCTCATCTAAGAGACCTTTAAGTGATTCCACCAACTTTCACGAGCCTCCAGCAAAATTGAAATCAGTTGTCAGAGATGATGATGATGACGTTGGACCAAAAAATATTCAAGTTTACATCAGAGTTAGACCAGAAAGTGCGAAAGAATTAAATTCCAGAAAGGTTGTCGCCCTTGTTGATGATCAAAGTTTGATATTTGATCCTCCAAATGATCCATACCAAAGTAAAAAGTATAAAGAAATTGGTAAGAAATCTAACAAAGATTTGGTTTTCTCTTTTGATGGAGTTTTTGATGAACACACAACAAATATTCAAATCTATGAAAGAGCAGTTAAAAGCTTTGCCCAGTCTTTGTTGGATGGTTTCAACTGTACCATTTTTGCGTATGGACCTACAGGTTCTGGTAAGACTTACACCATGTTAGGATATAATGGAGAACCTGGTGTCATGTTTTATACCGCTATGGAATTATTTCACATCATTGAATCAAAGCCATCGGAAGAAAAGTTTGAAGTTAGTGCTTCTTACTTTGAAATTTACAATGAAAAAATTTATGATTTGCTGACACCAAGCTCACAAACTCTCAAAGTAGTTGATAACACCGAAGGTGGTGTAAACATCCTCGGATTAACAGTGAAGCCAGTTAGAAATGCTGATGAACTGATCGAAACACTGGAAACTGGTAATCAGTACCGAGCTCAACAAGCAACAGACGCAAATCAAACTTCATCCAGAAGTCATGCTGTGTTTCAGTTATTCTTATGCAAAAAGAAGTGTTCTAAAGGCAACAATATGATTCAACAAGAAACAAAAATGTGTTTAGTGGATCTGGCAGGATCAGAAAGGGCCTCAATTGCCTACAAAGAGAAACGTTCTAAAGTTCTGCATCGTGAAGGTGGAAACATCAACAAATCTCTATTAGCATTGGGAAATTGTATTAATGCATTGGCTGCAAAATGTCGTAAAGGTCGTAAACTTCACATCTCTTATCGTAACTCAGTGCTAACAAGGATCCTGAGTGACTCTCTTGGTGGAAATTGTCGCACTGCTATGATAGCCACTGTGAGTCCTTCATCACTTTCATATGATGATACTCACAATACATTGACATATGCCAATAGAACAAAGGGAATCAATTTGGCATTGAAACGACGAAGTTTTTTAGTTGGTGAACCGCGTGAACAATCATTGGCAATGGAGACACTTCGACAAGAAAATATTGCCTTAGCCGAGAAAAATATTGCTTTAGTCGAGAAAAATATTATGTTGGAAAATGAAATCCTCAGATTAAAACGAATGCCAGCAAATCCCATTTCTTCCGACATGTCATCTATAGAAATACTAAATTCATTCAAGAATATTTTAGATAATCTGTTTTCCTGTCGTCTTGAATTGAGAAGGAAATTGCTTGAATGTGAAAGTGAGATGAAAAAAATTGAGGTAAGCTACTTTCACGATTCTATTTGAATACTATGGTTATTTTTTGACTTGATATTAATTATTTTTTTATTTATTCTTTTGCAGCTTAAATATATCTTCAGAAAAATTCAAAGTGAAACATTGGATAACAAAAAGCCACCCAAAGTTCAAGATGTTGACGACAGCAAATCGGCCAGATATTTATATCATCAAAAATTGCATTATGAAGATAGATTTAATCAACTTTTAAAAGAGGTTACTGACAATGAAGATCAAATTCGAAGCTTAGAAGACCTCATCAGATCAAAGGTTAAAGTTGATGATTATTTTATTGATGCATTCTTCGAGAAGAAACATATGGAGGCTGAACTTCAAGACAAAATAGTTATCGATAAACATCATTCCGAGGTTTCTTACGCTATAATCACTCAATCCCAAAATTGGCTGGAAACACTCGATGCAGCTATGAAAATGAATGATATTTTCTTCCGTATGTTGGACGGTCTGAAAAAGTTGTCTAAAGAAAGGGAAGAAGAATATCACAATGTTGTTAAAAAGTTTGAGGGTAAAAAGTCAGTTGTCTGGAGGGATGATAATCTACAGAAACAATCAAGTGTCCACTGGGCTGATATTGATAATGTTCTCAGGTTATCTTCATATACATCAACTCCAAGAACACCTTTCAGACGATATGACGAAGAAGGTGGTTTAGAAATAATTTGTGCTGAATTAACTCCAGAATCATCGCTTCCATCACCTCCTTTACCTTCTTTACCTCCATCACCACAATCATCTTCACCTCTCAATCCCATGCTAGCAAATCCCATTTCTTCCGACATGGCTGCAACAAAATCGCCGAATTCACCTCTTCAAAGAGACAACATTCATCCACAAAATCCTGAATCTTCTTATGCAATTGGCAATGATGAAATTTCCAATTTAATTGATAGTTACATTGAGGTATGTTCAAGTTATTATTTCTAAGTTTATCAATTGAATTTTTGTTTATTTCATTTAAGGATACCGAGTGCCATCAAAGCATTTCACACAAAGGAAAAGATTATAAATACATTTTGGTTTGGGCTGAAACAAATAAGATCGTTTCACATGAGGAAAAATCGTTACATACAAACAAGTTTATCAGCTCAAAAAAGTCAGAAAATGGAACAAATCTGTTTTCTTGTACCATGCACAATGGAAAATGCAAGTTTGTTGACAGAAAGTCTCGTGAAAAAAGTCTTTTGGACACTCATGTTCAAAGTTTTTTATTTCGCATGATTTGCGTAATTTGTAAAATGGAAGTACGTTATTCAACAAGTTTTGGTAAACACGTTGAATCTCAAAAATGTTTAAAAAAATGCAAAAAAGGTATTAATAAATTTGCTAGTAAATCACAAGTAAATAAATTTTAATAAATTTCGTCATTTTATCAAACATTTATAATTTGAATTTTCTTTAATATCTTCAATTACGAGAATCGGAAACGAAAAGGGGCATCTCTTCGATAATCGTAAAGCCTCATCAAATTTCTTTGTAACATAACAATGGTCATCTTTCCTATGGCAGGAACGAATACAGAAGCTTTCTCCTTTACAGAGTCGGGAAAATTTCTATCTGTTGAAAAATTGATTGCAACTACCCCAGGTTTAAGCAACTCTGTTGGTACTTTGAACTTTTTATCTGGTACACCAGCAATAACAACATCTGATACTGGTAAAACATCTTTCAAAGTTTTATCGGTTGAGGTTACTCGGTGTTTTTGTTTTCCTGGTCCTCGATGAAATTGAAGGATTCCATCCAAATCTACTGAATATGTTTTGGCTCCATCATTGGCTAATAAGGCAGCAAGGGGACGACCGACTACTTCACTTCGATTTATAACTGTTATCACTTTTCCATTCAACTGATCTCCATAATCAAACTCATGATTATAGACACCAAGGTGATCAAGGATCTGTTGAGAAAATGATTGAGTATTATGACAAAGACCTGCAACATCTTTGAAAGGTGAGACACAATTTTGAATATACTGATCATGACCACCACCAAACACAGGATAATAAACCATGACACCATCAACACGACGATCCTCATTGGCTTCAATAATACCTTCTTCCAAATCTTCTCTTTCCACTTGTCTCAATTCAAATTTTATTCCAATTTCCTCACAGCTCCATTTGCTAAGATATGATTGCAATGATTGAAGGACAATCAATCACAATTGGAGAAACTTACTTTAACAATGGCCAAAGGTGTACAAGGGATAATTGACTTTTTTTGAACATCAATGAATCGTATATTATGGTACATGTTGAATCGAAAGGTATGACAGAGACCTTCAACATCTTTGAAAGGTGAGACACAATTTTGAATATACTGATCGTGACCACCACCAAACACAGGATAATAAACCATGACACCATCAACACGACGATCCTCATTGGCTTCAATAATACCTTCTTCCAAATCTTCTCTTTCCACTTGTCTCAATTCAAATTTTATTCCAATTTCCTCACAGCTTCGTTGTGTCCATTTGGCATATGTAATGGCGGATTGGTCTTTATTGGCAAGAAAACCAACCAGACGAGGTCGGGCACGACTTTGATCGATCCACTCTTTGAGGTCATCTCTGTTGAATCACAATTTAAAAGTAAAAGATTAGATATTTGACAAAGTTAGTGATCAGAATAAGAGGGTAATTAATTAAAAAAGTGACAACATGAAACAAAACCAGGACAGAAACAAAAGAGACGTAACAGACAACTAAATTAATGAATAGGAATCAAGTCATTAACCTGTAATTATTGGAAATTTCTTTAACATCAACAACACGACAAGTTGAGTCCACCATCTTTACGCAAAATAGTTGAGAAGTGTTTTCTCAATCTTATGATTTTTGTTTACTATCAGTGTTGATTATCTGTGTTGGTTAAATGCTCTCTTGGTATCAAACCAAAGTAAGAGAATAAATGAGAGAAAAGTTGAAAAAGAAAGTAAAAAGAAAAAGCTCTTTCCTCTGGCGCCCCCAATAGATTCGCTTTGTAATTATTGAAAAATTGTATTGAGAGATGTCTCTTCCCTCTCTACTCTTTGGTATCAAATGATAATCTAATTGATTAAATATTTTCAATTCCGTTTTGACCATTCAAATAACAATAACCAATCAATTCAATCACTGGATGATAATAACAGGAAGCTAATTATTACTATCTTGATTGCTTGCCTTTGTTTATTCAGTTATCGCTCATCGCATTGGATATATTTAGATTGTGTGATTAGTTTTTCCGATTAGCTTCTAGCAACTAACACAAAGAGTATAGCTATTACTCTTTGAACTAACATGAATCAGATTGATTCACTTACAATCTTAGCTATTTTGTTGATTATTCATCAAATGATTGGTCGTTAATGTTTATTCAACAATCAGAATCAAATAACAATGTTGATATTGGAATTTAATTTTTTTTATTCACTTCTTCTTACCAAGGATTTACAATATTTTGATGGACAAAAAATTGTCATTTATTCACCAATTTTGGTGTAAATGTCCTCAAAATATTTCCAGAAATGATAATTGAACAGGAAAACAGACTTAACGACAATTAGTGTTTATTATTTACATTTATCTCTAATTGTTTAAGGTAATTTACAATTTGTTGAAACATAATGCAAATTAACTGGAAAGGTGTAAAGTTAAAACATGTAACCTTTAAAAACAGGTTCAAATTAACTAAGGTTACATGTAAATTGAGACAAAATTGAGGGCATGACAATGAAAATCAGTTTACGTCAATGTTAAACATTTAACTTTGACTTGATAATCATTTTTAAAATCATTTATTTACACATTCTTTTTCAAGAATTACATTACAGCTTGAGAATTGAAAGATTTAATTGAATCTAGCGAGTTTCATCATGGTGAAAGAGCCAAAAGAGTAATTAGCAAAATGCAAAATTAAGCTCCATTGGTGGGTTCAACATTTTAGGCGATTCAACAAAACTAGTTCATAAATTAAATTATAAGATTATTAATTATGATGAAATTACTATCAAGATGAGCCTGAGATTGCATCATGGCTTTCTGCGGAAAAATGTCTGCTTTTTGAGTTCAATCTTTTTTTGGTAACGAATCAAGTTCAAGCTAACAAAGTAACTTGTGAGTCCCTCTCAACTGCATGTTTAAGGTGTAAAAATAAATGTAATAAATGATACGATATAAATCAAAATGCTGTTAATTTCTGTCAAATCAGTCGAACTTCAAGTTTCTTTTTGCTTCGCCATCGCAGTCAAAGTAATTATACGATTCCCAACTGATCAATATTAAGAAGCGCATATAATCCATCAACCAGTGAAAGTGGAAAATCAGTGTTAAATAGAGAGAAATGAAGATTATTTTGTGCAAATTTGGTTCCAAAAATGGTGAAAAGAAATGAACAATTATTATTGGCTTGATTATAGCTGAGTCAATCTGAGGCCTTAGTTTCATTTTGGATCGCCTGGAATTGGAAGGAAAAGAAAAGTAAATTAATATTTTAGCCAATTTGGATTAAGTTTGAATTCTGGATAAATTACAGAAACAAGATACATGTTTCATTTAGATACTTACAGTGTTAATCACGGGATATAATTAAACCTTGATTTTAAATTTCGGTATTACCAAGGAAAACAGCATTGATTACCGATCAAGATTCAATGTTGTTGTACTAGACGAGGCAACCATCTGCAATTGCTCATGGCGTTAATTATCAGAATTGTTGTGGTGTTGAAGCAAATTACCAACTGTAGAGACCAATCTTGAAGCTTGTTTGAACAAAAAAGCGACAATCCAGAGTTTTGACGCTTTAATCCATCGATGTAAGCGACTTTGATTTGTGATGGCTTTACCAATGTTAAGAACACATTCATCACGTACTATATGGCTATACTTGTAAACTAATTAGTTTTGAGGTAATGATGATTGAATATTGATTGGATAATAATATTTTTCTCGAAACCTAATCATGTATCGTAATAATCATTACAATTATTAACGCAAGGGAGAGTTGTTTTGTTACCAAAATTAGCATCAAACATTATGAATAGTTGAGACAGTAAAGAGTTGTTTTAAATAACAATTTAGCAAAAATTAGGAAACAATAAAAAATTGGTAAAAAGGTATTTCCGTTTCACACGAGTTAAAAATACTTTCACTTCAAGATTTGAAATAAATTGTTGCAAAAACAATTCAACTAATTAACCAAATCAGGCTGGGAAATGGTTGAATGAATAATGATTTACCCAATAAACATAGTATTTTAAAGTGTCTTCAAAGGGCTTAATGATAAGCTTCGGGAGCACCAAGCCGAGCATAACTGACGTCTTTTGCATAAAATCGTCATTCAAATTGACTCTTCTCCTTTTACATTCATAATTGTTGCCAGGTTTGTTTGTCACTTTCAAAGATAACAAGTTATCACAATACTCTTTTTTTTCTGTGTCCAAATGCCATGATGATTAGCCATAAATCATCTTGTAAACCCTTCACTGCCACTGTGCTTATAGTCCTATTCTTATCCGAATCTTTTATCAGAGTTGATGGCTTCATGGGCAGGAAAGATATGGAAATGGAATTATTATTGCTGAAAATACTTCAAAATCGTCGTTCCAAACAGCAACAGGTCATTCCAATTCCAATTTACATTCCAAGATGTCGAGGATCTCCTCCAAGAGCTGAATCACAACATTATCCCGTTTATGTACCAATGTAAGTACCTTTAATATCACACCTAAGATTGAGAAAGAATATTCAAGTGATTAGATATGAATTACAAAAACCAATTGAGTTTCAATATTACATTTGATTACACATGTACTTACCTCATTGAATATCGAGAAAAGGTTTGCAGAATTGGCAAAAATTTTGTTCCAACATGACACATAAAATTAATAGGTGACATCTTTAAATCAGTAACACACAGATCAACCGCAATTACAAAAATTAAATTCATAAGTTAGAGTAATTAAAAGTTAAACAAATAACGGTGTAACATGAAAATAATAAACATTTGTAGATTGAGAAACAATAGAAATTATAACGTAGTTTTGACACAAATGCCATCTATTGAGCTATGGGTCGTCCTCATAGCTTTTTATGAATTGATTTCAATTTGTTCATTTTTTTAATAAAAATTTAACTTTCTTGATTATTTCAGCCATACTCATGATCATCACATTTTGGAATCTCCAAGTCACCTAAATTTCGCTGTTTCACCTTGTTCATCCAACACATGCTCCATGTTAAAGTAATACCTTTCAATGAATTTACTATTAAAAAGAAACTATTTTTTTACGATTAAATATTGTTTTTACTTTTATTGCAATTAAAGCTTTTTGAGGTAGAAGATCAAATTCAACAAGAAATACAAATTAAAATAAAAACAAAGTGGACCAATAATAAATACATTCATATAATAATACAATCCATAAAACGGATTGAACCAAAAACAACAATTTTATCAAAACCAGTGGATCAATGAGATGTTATAAAAGGATTGTAAAAGCTGTTTCTCATTAATTTGCTAAATCAGCTGAAAACAGCAAAGAGTAATGATGAAAATAATCGATAAATAAATTATTAGAAATTAATTAAAGATATTTGTGATAATTGATATTTACAGCATATTTTAAACGAGTAAATGAATGTTAAACCAGGATATTGAGCATACTTTGTGATAAACGATCAAACCGGAGAGATAGCAATTACATTTGCATCAATAAAGTGGGCAACCCTGAAGATAAGACACTAAATATTTGCCCCGACAATTGTTAACCCATTCAGGCCAATATGAGAATCCATATTTAGCGTAAATTTTACGCCAACAACGAACATCATCAGTTAATTGATCGTCAATCATTTTACCACAAGGAACTCGGCATAAAGAATCATCAATTTGAGGTCCATTATCACCACAATGTTCACCAACTTTAAACTGTTTCAAATGGGACAAAGTAAAAAAGACAATTAATCTAAATTGTATTTACAAATCGATTTACAATCTAAATGAACTAATGTAAAAGGGAAATAAAATGTTGAACCAAATTTACCTGAAATATTCCGTATCGCTTGCCTTCTCGGGTTTCCGTGATCTTGAAAGCATCAAATTTAGATGAATGTTCAATGAGACAAAGTAAACTGGGAATAATGCTCTTTGAAACTTTGTACCGAGTGTAAAGAGACTTTGCCAATGAGCATCGATTCATTTCACGTGAAGAGACTGGAATTAAATTGAACAGACCAACAATTAGCAAACCAAGTAGAATGTAATTTCCATTGATGAATTGATTTACGGTTAAACCTTTAGTGTTGATCATTTTGAACCAGAAATAAAAAGGTTTATATTGTCAATATAGTCAATATTAGATTTTGAGAAATCAAAAATAGAAAGATGATTGAAGAGAAAATTGCAGCGAAATTAATGAACACAAATTAATCCAAATTTAAATTGTAATCACAAGCTAAGGTATAAATACTTTTAATTGATCAACTAGTGAATGGTTAAGGTGAGAAGATAATTGTCAGCTGGATTGCAAAGGCAAATTTGATGTAAACCTGAACATTGATCTTCTTAAGTTACAGTTAAACCGATTTTGCAATGTTTCCAATAACCGTCTAAGTATCTAACTAGTTGACGATTGAAAATGCTTACGACCATTTATAAGCATTTATATTATATATATAATTATAAATGAAGCCTTGATTGCTGAGTGCTAATCATGGTAATTATAATAATAGTAACTGGTTGCAACCCAAGAGTTGAAAGAAAAGGAGAAAAGACGTAGAAATGGCTGAGGTTGAATAGCGGGAAAAGGGAAAATTACAATTGGTTGAAAGAGCGATTCGTAGGGAACGACCCTCATCCAGTTATCCTCATCTTCATTCTCATCTTTATCATCATCAAAATCAGTTCCCAGTTCTGAATTCCCCTGTGTGTCCCCCCTCAGCCATTATCATCTCTACCATCGAAACAATCATCTTAATCATCAATACTATCATGTGAGACGAAAAAACATGAAAGTTGCACTCATTGGTTGATATTTAACTTTTTGTCAATGTAAAATCACCATTTCACCACAATCGCGCTTTAATAACATTCAGTTAGCAACCATTTCTGCAATTAATAAATGTAATAATGCAGACAAAAACGGGAATCAAAGGTTGCGCCAAATACACTTTCAATCAATCCAGTGCTATTCAATAGCAAGCCATGAAGGGTTTGAACAAGAATTGGAATATTTCCGTTCTTGGAAGTGTTTATATCATGTAATTTCATTGACTCATTAGTGGTGAGTTTGTTTGAAACCAGCGTCAATGATATACAAGTTATGAATGATACCTCAATTATTACATTGGAGTTACTGATCTTTGACCAGTTCATTTATTATCCATCTTCAAGTTAGATGTAAAGTTAAATGGCCAAAATAAGCTGGTCTACCAATGTAACCACGGTTAGCGATTCAACAGTGATTACACTTTATCTTGAAATGAATGATTGACATTAACAAGACGTACACATCAAACACTTACATTTGTAATGTTGGAAACTTCGTCTTATCCAAGTGAAAAAACCAAGAGTTCCTCTTAATCATTGTATAATGATAAACAAATTGTTTATTAATAATCAAACTAATTGAATTCGATTGATAAACACAGTTATTATTGATGTTATTGTGTTTGACTGTAAGATTGAACATAAACAAGTGTGACAACCTCTCAACATTGTCACGTTATTAAGGGTAAACAAGGTATATTAAACCATGAATCTTTTTTTTCACTATTTCACGATAATTGCAATTCAATCAAAGAGGTGAGTAACTATTCAAACATTCACAATTTATACAAGATGTCTATCAGGATAAACGTAATCTAATTTGTTATACATTGGCCTAAACATCCAGTATTCGCTGATCTCAGCTGTTGGGTTAACTTCATTCGGTAAAGTCTTGTATCTTGGTAAACCAAATAATGTTCCTGGTACCCAATCAGGGAATCGTTTCATTGTTTCGGCTTCTTCATCTCGCAATCTAATCAAGTTTTTCAGATACATTCTATCTCGTTCAGCCTCGATAAATGGTTCAAGAGCAATTAGAGCATTGGATACTTCAATATTTCCAAGGGTTCTTAAATTTGACTTATTACGTTTAAGATGGATGGTGTATATGGAAGCTGCCACACCAAATAAGAAAAGGTTGAAATCTGAAATAATGATTGAAAAAAGCAAGATTAATGGACAAAAATATATACAAGAGTAACACAAAAATAAACAAAGGTCAAGAAAAAAGTATATTCATTACTTACTTGATAAAAATCGTTTTGATTTCATCCGCTCAACATGGATTGGTGGATAACCACCCGGAGGTGGCATATCTTGTTTAAAAAATCCAGACATAATTGATTTAAATTAATAAACACAATTGACCTCAGTCAATTATTATCAAAGTTGACTGAAAATAGATTCAATCACAAGGTAAATTTGTATCCGATGAAGAATGAAGAATGGATCCGATCCTTGGCGCGATCTTTGAAATTTATAAGCTTTTTGTTTTTTATTGTAAAAGATATCGAGATTTTGACGCTCTTTTGATTCAAGGTAGACAAAATTTATAATTAATTTGACCATGTTTTGTGCTGTATCAATGTATTTGTTTATTTATTGATTAGTCTAATCAATTCGGGATTTTCACAATTACATCGCAAGCAGTTTGGTTAGTATTTTGGTTAGTAGTTTAATATTTTGGCAATATTGATTGTATTTAATTTTAGTTTCCAATGTAGGTTGATAAGATTCTTGAAAGAACGCTATCTGACTGATCACCACGCGGCTCGGTTCCTGAGGATGGTAAGATTTCTTCACATTTAGAAGCTTCAAAACTCTGGCACATGATCTCCGGCAATCTTGAGGAAAATATGCGAGTGATTCGTCGACTCAAAGCAAGGGCATCCTCACCACATCTATTTAAAATGGAAGCTGATAGACATTCTCGGAATCGGTTGTGGCCGCAACAGGCCATGGGAATTCGCTCATTCCAGCTCGTTTGAGTAACTTCTTCGAGGGATTTTTGTAAGTCTTTGAGGCATTGTTTGGATTGAGATCGAGCTTCACTCAAACATTGTCCATGTTTCTTGTACTCCTCTCGTATCTCTGTCCCTGGAGTGCAAAATTCATTAGCGAGGCTTCGACCACCTTCAGCAAAGAAATCGACAAGTTCTAATTGCGATCTGGTTAAACATCTTTGAGTGAAATTTTGGGCACATGACTGAGCTTCTTTTATAAAGCCGCAAGTTCTGTCGATTTCAGCCTCTGTTCCTTGTGTTCCTACCAGAGAGAGTGAAGTAAAAAGTTAATATTGATATAATTTTGTCATAAAATTTAAAAATGAACTTACCCTGAGTATTCCTTGTAAAAACAAGCAAAGTTGCAGCACAAAACTCAAGTTCTCGTAGATGGCATGAATCAGTTGTTCCATTGATTGAGTCTAAACTGAAAGAGAGGGTTAAAATGGCGATGAAAAGATAAGTTGGAAAATTCATTGTTTTAAGTTAGTGAAGACAAGATGAAAATAAATGTTAAAACAAAAAAAAGAACGTGCTTGCGAATCTGTCACTGGTTCACGAGTAAATGAAAATAAAAATCACCCAAAATGTATGCCAATGTGTCCTGGAAAGGTGGGACTTGCTAATGACGTTGGTTTAAAGATTAGTTTTTGACCTCGGTCACCAATCCTTTAATCTTTACACAAATTCAAAGCGAAAATACTAGAAGAATGTAATGTAAAAAGTTTACTTTCCTTATTTAAAATACTAATATTGTGAGTAAACAACTTTTCTCCTGATTTCTCTTCAGATAGACTAGCATTTTGACAGTTTTTCAGAGGTATATTGACCTAGGGTCAACTCGTTTCAACTCTGTGATGACTCACTAAATTGCTAAAGGCGATATTAACGTGATCCCAAGCTCTTGGAATCTCGGATTTTAAAGACTTTCTCTTTAAACCATAATACCTTTATACAGGTCCATACAGATTTTTTTAGATTGTCAAAGTCCAACAATTACCTGATTTTTTATAATGATTCCAGCTTTAATTGAATTACAACCAGCGTAATAAACAAAAATGGCAATTCCACTTAAACAGGCTACACTTATTATTGAAACAACTCCAATCAGATTTACATAAATTGATCTAAATAGAAAGATATAATTTATTAGTTACATTAGTCTTATAGTCTCAATTTTGATACGATTCGGGATCATCATAAATGTTGATTAACTTACAATTTAGCTTTCTTTTTACTATCGACATTACAATAACGTTGAACTTCAGTTTGAGTTGTACAGTAATTACCAATCCACATGATGGCCATACCAAGAACAGCATTCCAAAAGTTATTTGTTGCCCATGGATCAATTGAAAAGCTATTGAAAGAAAGGAAAGAAGGAAACATTGATAAATAAAATGACAATGATGGCAATAAAAATAATAATTGATTATAAATTAGCAACCCAAATAGTTGATAATTAGATCATGTTGAACCATCTTACTTGGTAAATTCAAGTCACCCTCGTTCACCAGCAATTCTCAATGCTTCCAAAACTCCACCAACCAAATAAAATCCATATTCTATGATGACTGATGACTTCAACTGATGAATTCAAACCAACTCGATTCAGGTGAAATATTTTTAGTTGCTGTTTATTATCTGCATAAAGAAAAAATTGAAATTAAACAAAGGCTAATCAATGAAAAAGAAACAATCAAACTATTGATTTATAAGATCAGCTATAAATCATTCTTACCTTAGTTGCTCAGTTAACTTTGACAGTGAATAGCAAGAATTTTGCCAAGTAAATTCGAAAAAATCGGTATCTCATCAAGAATATTAAATTTAGACAATTTAGGACAATTTAGATATTATTTTCGAGCCAATAACCAGCTGACTTCAATATGAAAGCAACAGCAAATTTCGACATTTCTTTTTTAATGTTACAAGATGGCGCTCTAGTTTTCCAGCTTAAGTTTAAATTTACAAAATAACATTGTTTCAATGATAATTTAATCATTGTTAATTACTGAATTTCATCAAATTCTGGAAATACAAAAGTTACAAATTGTTGGAAAAATCCAAATATTTTCAATTTTTCTTGAAATATTGAAGAGAAAGAGAAGCTAGAAGATGGTGGCGACGCTTATGTTGCAAATCGACACTATTTACTGTTTTGTTTCTGTTGTTTCCAGTCTTCAGTCTTTCAACATGAAGCAATTATCTCTCATGAATTCGATTCTCCCTCGAATCTTTGATAATGTTTAAAACCGTGTCTTTTTTTCTGCCTTGTTCATTTATCACATCATCTAGAGTCATTTCTTAATTTTGTTTCATCATCTGCCTTCCATTGATACATGTTTATTTAACACAACATATCTTCGCAGTGTCAAATTATTCATCTTTTGTACTCTTCATTCCTATTGATATTCAAAAATGATACCTTCACAAGAACACAATTTCACTTTTTATGATTATGGAATTTTTATACTTATGCTTCTGTCATCAGCCGGAATTGGTGTCTACTATGCCTTTGAGGTAAGCTATAAAGACTTTGTCCATTCATGTGTATACAACATGTTTGTTGAACATTAAGCATAGATCTGTTTGCAAACTTGTCTTATCATTAGAACTTTTTAATTAATTAATTTCAACATTAATTTTAATGCTAGATTTGACTATATCAAATTTCCTCCATTAAATATTAACAAATCAAGATAGGATTACAGTTTGTACATTTTCTCTTTTCACAATAACGATGTTGCTTTAGGAATTCATCTTCAAAGACGAGTCCTAGAAACAGAATCTCTCGACTGTCTTTAATTTTAGGTTCACTACCCACTGGTTAGTCTATGTCTTTGTAATTGACCACCACCATTATTGTGTTTGAGATAAATTCTAGTGAATTTCGATACTAGTTTCCAACTCTAATCATGTATTATTTAAGTTTCCAGATTGAGGATGAAGCTTTGTGCGGGAAATTGTTTCTGATGGACAATAATGATAAACCTTTTCCAATATTTTCTTAATCTTTATCTGTATTCTTTAACTATTAATAATAATGTTTATTTTTTTCTATTCTTCCAACAGGATCGTAAAAATAAATCATCTAAAGAATTTTTAACCGCCAATCGATCTCTCCACTGGTTTCCAGTAGCCATGTCTCTAATGGCAAGCTTCCAAAGCGCCGTAACTATTCTAGGTTACCCGGCGGAAATGTATTTTCAAGGCACCCAATTTTGGCTTGTAACTATTTCTGCTTGTCTAGCCGCTGTTGCTGCTGCAGAACTTTTTCTACCTGTTTATTACGGATTAACATTCACCAGTGTCAATAAGGTAAGCATATCTGGGTCAGATTTGTTTAAAATGGAAACAGAATGTTTACCATTACTTTGCTGCTACGATTATTCAGCTCTACTCGCAAATTTCATTGTCATCGAAAATTTATCGATCTCTCAAATTAAGTAGACCGCATACAAATGATTGAATCAAGTTGCTTTTTAATGTTGATTTTCCCATTTCATCTCATTAAAATTTGCCACAGTTGCTAAAATAAAGCAAATTTTAATGCCATCTCGAAATTCAAATTCAATGCCATCTTTGGTATTTCTCATGAATCCTTTAAAATCTTAGTTTCTATTGAGCTGTTCCAATCTAAATTTTATTTAGACGATTTTCATAATTTTACATCATTTCCAGAAAAATCTGAATTGCAATTTTGAAGGAAAATTTAAATGGTTTTTACTTGAAATGATTGATCTTAGAGGAAACCATGCCTATTGAAAGTCTTGAAACCGCACCTAATTCAATTCATTATCGTAGGTCAATTGATTCGTATTAGCAAATTTGAACAATTGTTTCGATTTCTATATCTAATATTCGGTCAACTATACAAGTTGAATTTAAAATGATTATTTGAATATTTTAATCTCTTTGATTATCAGTTTTAGATTTTGTTATTGTTGATCTTTCAAGCCTTTTTCATGCATTACTTTCACGAAAGGTAAAAGGATGAAAAAGAGGAAGAAAAGTCGTTAATCGTAACTTAAATAACATTCAGTTTTGGACCGGTTTTGTTTTCCATCACAAATGTCATGTTATATTGAATTAAGTAATCCTGGTGACCCTTTGACCACCAACATGAACCGCTACCACATCATAATAATAAACATTTAAAACTGTCGTCAATATCATCATTTACACCAATGTTTTCATTTTCATGATGTTTCCTGTTGAATAATGATGATCATTTCTTTTCATCCAAAATTCACTTTCAGATGATTATTAGTGTTGTTAATGTTATAATGGTTAATTACTTGGTCAAGGTCATTCAGGCAATTAAGGAAAGGTCAACTTTTTATTTTAAAATCATCCAAATTGTACAGTTATTTTGATCATCAATGGCTCATCATTATGATGAAAAACGCTTTCATTGAATTCACTTTCAATGTAACATTTAAAATTTACATTGAAAAAGTTTCCAATTGCAAGCAAAGCGTATCAAGTTTACTGAAACACTTTAACTAAATTAGCATATTTTATGTCTCGTTTTCAGTAGATTTTACAATTAATCAGAATTTCCATGTTACGTTAATCAAACATTTAATAGCAAAAACTCTTGTTAAATCTTCTTCTCGTAATGAGCTGATTTAAATGGTCGTCACATTAAAATTGATTGATATCAAAATTTACTCTGAAATTGACTTTTACAAATTTCTCCAATCATTAATCATGATTCATGAACAATCAGTGAATTTCAGAGATTTGATCAAAGAAAACCTATTTTCATGATCTTTTCTTATTCACTGGAATCTTTGTCAGTTTGTGTGAACTTGATATAAGTCAAGGTTCCAAAAGTTTAATCTTGATTTTCATAACTAAATTTAACATCTCCAGACTGTAAACTCTTTCACTTTACTCTCAAGAGTTGTAATAATTTGATGATAATTATCAGGACTATTCAGTTAATTTGAGCTAATATTAACATTTTAACTATTTGAGGTTTCGATTAGCATCCTAAATGACAGAAAGCTGATAAATCTTCAACTAACAGCAGTTTTAAAATCAACAGTTAAACACGAAGCTCAAGCAAAACCAAGGATATGGTTAACAGATAAATCACCGAGGTCAACAGCAACAATCAACCTTTTCTCAATTGGTCACTAATAACAATCTTTTCATTGCTCTTAAGTTGACATTTCTCTATTATCAAATTATGATGACCATCAATATCGCTAAACATTACTTTTCTCATCATTATCATGATTTTATTTTCCTCTTCATTTCTATCAATACTTATTAGTGGATTTTTTTAGGTTAGCAAAGGTCATCTTGTTATTTACCTGTAAAGATAAATTTAATTGTCATTCTAAATGAATCAAAGTTAAGACCAAACCTAATCGTACGGATTTCTGATATTGACAGCAGCTATTATTGCTAACACCTTTAATGCCAAATTAATCAGTTCTTTACCTTTCTTTGGCAACAATCATAATTTCATGGTCTCTCATCAATCTATTGGATTCAATTGAATTACATGAACTTTTGAAAATTGACATTTTGAAAGTTTTCAAGTAAATTTAGTCTGAAATTAAATCATTTTAATCTGTGTTTTTCAATCCGATTTGATTGTTTCAAGATGATACCAATCAGTTTCATCTCTTTTTCATCGGCTTCTCATTTTCTCCATGTTCAATAATCAGTATTAACTTATCATGGTTTTGACAGAAATCAATTTTCTCTGTTTCATTATTAATCCTTTTGTAAACTAATCAAATTACAAACAATAAGTTTGGTCTGGATCATGATTTTCACGATTCAAGAACAAATAAACTTGATGAGTGAAATTGTGTTAAATATTGTTGATGCTAAACAATCAACATTTTTATACTTTTTCTTATTCAATTGTTTATCTCAATTGAATATTTCATTGATCTCATCAGGGTTACTCAGCCAGCATTTTAATTTGATCAACTTGTTGATATTTGATGATTAACAATACAACTAGCCTTCAAGTTTCACCCAAAATCCTTCAAAGGATCACAATAACAACTTCAAGAAAAGTTCATTGTCCATGTGCTATCAACAAACGCATTTAATGTTCAATTTAATTGCCATTCATCTATAAACCACTATTAAAACAAATCAAATACTAATTTAGTTTTTGAATCTCAAAGCTAAAATCAAACAAAATCAGTATCATTGCACGTTTAAAGGTTGTTATTTATCATATAATTTGTTTTGGCAAGTTGTTTGTCAAAATCTTATATAAATTGTTGATTATTCACAATGGGGATTAATTTACTTTGCGATCTCAATTTTCCCCTGATTTGAATTAGATTCTGAGTACTAGAATAGTATAAATTGTCTCGATACAAAAAAAATTATCAAACATTTATTACAGTTAAAACTGAAGATTAAAATGAGGGGAAAATTGACTGAATCAAATAATGATTACTCCTTCATTTTACAAAATTTTCCCCCTGAAACTATTATGACAATATTATCCAATCATTGTATTAATAGCACTATCGATGTTTTATCCAAAAATATTTTTCTATTAAGAGATATCATCCCTGAACATCGTGCACATCGGTGAAAAATTGTCCTATTGAATCATAATGAGAGACGCCGATTGTACTCGAATAGTAGTTTAAAAGTTAACAAGAAATTCATATCAGCGCAGATAATTTTGATAAAGATACGCTTATAAGTTATTAGATTAATTAAACTTATCAATATTTATCAAGCAATATAAAAATGATTAGAATATCAAAGTAAAAAATCTGAAGAGTTAAATGAGCTCTTTTTGGCTCAAATTGCATCTACCATGTAGCCTATTAAGCTTATGAATTATAATTTATGCCTAAGAAAGAAATAATTATTCTTTGAACTATCGGGTCTGATTTCATCGAGTTAATCAGAACCAAAATTTGGATAGGCTCAGCATACGAAATCTATCAAATTAAGCTTTCTTCTGGGCATTTTGTTTCAAATTAATTTATCATAAGAAATCTGTAACATTAGAAAGAAATGAATAAAAGAAGCATGAAAATAATTAATGGCGAAAAGCATTAAGAATATTTCTTAGAAATCTTTTCATTCTTTTCATGTTTCCATTGAATTGATAACAATTTAGTGTTTTAATCAGGTATCTTCTTGATTTCCCTGTTGGAACAATTGATTTTGATCAGAAAAACAAAAATCTGTTTTATCTTGGTCATTGTATCTGCGACAATTGTTTGTTAATCAACCAGGAAAATAAACACCACTTGCCTCCTGCAAATGTTATATCTTTCGGGCAATATCTTGTTATAACTTAAAATTTTGCTCCAAACTTCAATATCATGATGTTGACTCTGATTGAAACAAATTGGTTGATTCAAAAGGGCGTTTCATTTATTTTTATGCCATGTAAATGTCAAAGTTTGATCCAGTATTGAGAACAATAATTGATTGAAAGATGATTTAAAATAATTTTCCATTGAACCCTGTTTATTCCTGATTACTGAAAGCTCATCACCAGAATAAACAATGATAAGATCAAGGTGTCAATCATTTCATTATCAACCCTTTGATTCCTAACCCATAAGAAGGTTATCTCATAATATCTTCAGCTGATTTGTCTTTGAATACTTTTTGATGAAACTTACAATCTGATCAAAATTGATCAAAATTTGTCAATTTTTTCAAATTGATCGTTCACTGTTGCTAGCATTCAACACTCTCTCCCTGAAAGCATGAAAATGTCTGTTTGGCAAAAGCCCAACAAAAATTTTCAGTTTCTCCGGAAATCAAATCATGTAAACATTTTAGCCCATTTATTAATAATAATAACTAAAATATAATTTATATATAATGTAATGAATAAGTGTAATTTTCACTTTAATTTGCTCTTTTCTCCTCCTGTTGCTGTGAGTCAAAATTTTGTTTCACGAGATAATAACGTGTTCCAATATTAGTTGATTGTCGAGGTCAATTAAATTGTTCCCAATTTTATCAACACCTTGAATGAAACTCATTGATTAATAGTTTACATGAGAGTGTAAGAACCTAACAGTGTAAACAAAGGCAATCCATGTCATTGCATCCATGGTTAATCAAGAATCAAGTTTTTCACTCGAGTTCAAAAAAGACATTCAATGATCTATTTTCATTCAACAAATTAATGTAAATCGCTTATATCGTAGCAACAATATCAATTCATGTCACAGGGTTGAAATCAAGCATTAAAAGCATTAAACAATTTTCAACATAATTCAAACTCAAACTTAACCAAAAATTTATTTCATTTTTCTCCAAATTCAGTTTCTTAGTTATAGATTCCACTCAGAAAAGGTACGTCTAGCTTCGTCCATCGCTTTCTTGTTTGGAACCGTGCCTTACATGGGAGTCGTACTTTATGGTCCATCATTAGCATTAGCATCAGGTAAGCATTCTCCACGCGTATACGATTTCTCATGAATCATTTTCACCTTGTAATAGTTTCAAGTCTGGCAGATAAATCGTAAAGGTTCTGCTTCAAGAAAAACAAAAATCACTAATCAAAGCCTTTTCATAATCTTATATCCAGTGACACCGCTCTCAACGCAAGCATCAATTTTAGTCATTGGCATAATATGTACATTTTACACATCAATTGTAAGTTGATTTAATCCTGTTTAATATTACCATTGAGGTGGCTTTTGTACGTTGATTACAAACCTAATTCAAATTACCCAACAATTGTAAATTTTTTAAACCTTGAATGAATGTAAACCTTCAGGTTATTTTGTTTTCAGCCTTTTCAGGGAATTACTCACCAAATTGTTTTTTTTCTCATATTTCTTAACCTAAAATAATCCGTTAGCTACTAACTTGTTATAATCTAATGTTATAATTGTAGCTTTTCCAATTTGCTAATTACTTTCTTTCAATTATTCAAATTACAGGGAGGAATCCGTGCTGTTGTTTGGACCGACACGTTACAAGTTTTTCTCATGTTTGCTGGACTTCTCTGTGTAATGTTTCGAGTAAGTTAATTATCAAACTCGGCCTTGATTAAAACCTAAATGGTTTATACAAATTTGTAACAATCAAACCATTACTAAGTTGAATAATTATTCATCATTTTCTCTTCAATTTTGCTCCATTTCCTCATCTCCTTTCCAATTAATGAATTTATCAATCAGGGTTTTTACTTGGTTGGCGGAGTTTCGGAAGCATTCAGAATTGCCGGTGAACGAGGGCGACTTGAATTTACCAAGTAAGATGTCTAATTATACTTTTATTTGGGTTGCTAATTTATAATCAATTATTATTGTTCTTACCATCATTGTCATTTTAATTATTAATATTTCCTCTTTTCCTTTCTTTCAATAGTTTTTCAATCGATCCATGGGCAACAAATAACTTTTGGAATGCTGTTCTTGGTATGGCCATCATGTGGATCGGTAATTACTGTACAACTCAAACTGAAGTTCAACGTTATTGTAATGTCGATAGTAAAAAGAAAGCTAAATTGTAAGTTAATCAACATTTGTGATGATCTCAATATATTGACAATGATTCGTATCGATATTGAGACTATCAATAAGACTAATGTAACTAATAAATTATATCTTTCTATTTAGATCAATTTATGTAAATCTGATTGGAGTTGTTTCAATAATAAGTGTAGCCTGTTTAAGTGGAATTGCCATTTTTGCTTATTACGCTGATTGTGATCCAATTAAAGCTGGAATCATTACGCAAAAAGATCAGGTAATTGTTACTACTTGATGAATCATTTCAATTTCGTACATAATTGACAATGATAAATCAGTTTTATTCTGCTTGAAATTATAAAAAAAATCATGTTCAGCCTCAATTCAATTTCAAGCATAACGTAAAAACCATTTTAATCAATTTAATACATGAAATACTATGAAGTATACAATGTATGGGCTAAATATTCAGCAAGAAAAATTTCATTTAGTTAATGAAACTACGAAAATCAAATTGGCTTTGATTAAAATGAAAAATTGAACAGAATATTATTTTAAAGAAAGAAGTGAATGTTTTACATTACAGACTCAATTCCTCTGAAAAACCCCTGGAAAATGAAACTTGGTTGTTTACTTATTTCACTGACTGTTGCTTTAGATTGCAAAATTTGTTTCTGTGTTACTGGTTTTGGTTTGGTGAATAACCTAAAAGTTTAGTTACCAAGAAACTCTGCAATCAATTGCTCAATGCACATTGAACTTTATGGCATTTCAACAAAACCTGATTAAACCTGTGCAAAGCGAAGACCACTGCTAATCGAGATTTCAAAAGCTTTGAGATCATCGTTATCGTTGCCTTTAGCAATTTAGTCAGTCATCACAAATTGAGTTGACCTTAGATCAATATGCTTTTGGAAAGCGTGACAAAATGCTCGTCGGTCAGTCTGACAACAACTTCAAAAATCTTGGCATTTCATGATTTGCACATGATCTCCATGTCAGTTGAGCTTTTGATGCTTGCAAAATTTTAGCAACAATACAACATCAAATCTTGTTGGTTTTTCTTCCATCAATAGTACTTGTTGAGGGATCATTTTTTAGTATTTTTTGGTTATTATAATTTCTTGAGAATCAGTTTGATGTGGAAAGATCACTTTCGTTGTAATCATTTTTCAATATATTGTGAAGGTTCGATTTACTTATCAAATTGATTGAAGATCACTCATTTTTACTCGTGATTTTCCAAGTCTTTGAATAAAACTTGCAGAGTAAACGGGTTATTCCGAAGGAAATCTAGAATCATGGAAACAATCGTCCAATGCTGCTCAATTATCCCAACTATCATTAAATTAGTTATTATTCTGTCTATTATTGATTGATTTGGATGTTTAAATACTACTATTGCAAATCATCCAAGGACATTATTTAGTGAAATCTCTGATCCTGTGAGACTTGAAAATGTTGAAATGATAATGAAAAATTATGAAATTCAGAATATAATTTGCCATGAAATTGTGAATGAATTGAAGTTGAGCTTTTATTTATTTGCTAGATAAATTGGAACCAGAATTTGCAATTTCGCATAAAAGTAACAATTTTTTGCACAATAATTATGCTATTGATTAGTCAAGCTACTTATGCCTAACCCATTATTATGATTGCCTTCAAAATGACATCAGATTTTTGATTGATTTTTCAATGATTTATTCGCACTGACTATTACACTGGTAACTACAGTTACTAATATTTGATTGTGATATTATCTTGCCTAAAAGTTGCCTTTTAGTAATCAAATTTTTCTTAAATTTGCCATTTTATTAATTTTGTTTTTTCTCTTTTTCAGCTCGTTCCATATTTTGTCATGGAAACACTTTCTCAATTCCCTGGAATCCCTGGTTTATTTGTTTCTGGAGTATTCAGTGCATCCCTTAGCACATTATCTTCTGGTTTCAATGCTTTATCAGCTGTAACATGGGATGATTTCCTTAAGCAAACTAGATGTGGAAAAATGAGCGAGAAAAAAATCAAAATGATTAACAAATTAACTGCTGCCTTCTATGGTATCTTAACCATTTTTATGGCCTTTATCGCCGGCAAAATTGGATCTGTTCTTCAAGCTGCTATTTCACTTGCTGGCTGTCTTGTTGGTCCTCTACTGGGTATTTACATCATGGCTATTTTTGTACCTTTTGCCAATGTTAGAGTAAGTTTCAGGGAAAATTAATTTCAATTTATCAATTTTAATCGTCAAATTTCATTTTTTCACAGGGTGTATTATCTGGTCTCTTTTGTGGAATCGGTTTCAGTACTTTTGTTCTTATTGGTTCCATGATTTATCCTAAAATCGAGGTTGACAAAGCAACCTCAATCTCTAGTTGTCTCAATGTTGCTGCCAATGCAACGATGCCCATAAATACAACAGTACATTATGAAACAACTGGAATCTTGAAATTATTTCACATCGCATTCCTGTTAGTTCCTGTTTTAGGTTTTGTAATTTGTTTATTAGTATCCCTAATTGTTAGTCTATTAACAGGTAAATATTTTTCATAAATCTCTTGTCGAATTCATCTAACAAACCTTTTTTCAATATTTTTCAGGGGGAATCAAGAAAATTCCAAATATTGACACTAGTGCAATGAGTAAATTGATATGGCATATTTGGCCCAAATCGATGTTACCAGCTAAAGCTCCTGTTGTCCAGGTAATGTTCAACCCAGAATAGATGGATCAAACCCTTTAACTCTTCAACACTTAACTTACTCATTAGATTACTTCATTTATCAACTCTATTAATCAGAATGAACGAACACTCGTATGCCTTAGTTTTAATCAATAGATCAATTACTTAATTAGTCAAAAACCTTTGAAGCAACTTTTCAATCAAATTGCTTCAAAGGCTGCCCAATATAATAACTAAAAATTGAGTCATTTTTAATTTGCTAAATCTTAGTGTCTATTGAATAATAATGATGGAAGAATGTAACTTCGCCAACATGAAGTTAGATTTGGCCTAAACACCTTTCAAGATGGCCGATACTTTGTTGAGAGTCAATCACTTAAATTGCTCCATCTATTTGTTTCTGCGTCATGATTTATTAATTTTTTTGTTTTCTTTTCAATACTAGATGACAAGCATAAACATGGATAAGGAGCAACGTAATGGGTCATTTAAAGCCTAAATCGATTAAATTAATTGTACTTTTCAAATTATCATCTTTTTTATATAATACTATGATATCATTTTATTAATAGTATATTTGTATTGAGATTTGTCTTTTTAATCTCTAATAAAATATTTTAATACAACAGTTTAGTAGTCATTTAAATCTGAAATTAGCTAAGGCTGAAAAATTAAATATCAAATTTCCTCACAAATATTTGGCTTTAAGTTTGAACATGTTATCACAATGATTAATTGTTGAGATTCACTGCTAGATTTGCATCTCCGATGAATGGCTCACCTACGGCCTCTTCTTCCTCTTCATCTGTGACTTCGATTTCCTCACAAGCTTTTTGCGCATTCTGTTTTTTGCCTTGTTGTTGTGGAAAGTTGAACACGTTGTCGCAATGATTAATTGTTGGAATTCTGCGGACGACTTCTCTTTCATCGGCTAGAAGATATTTCGGCAAATATTCGATTGAAATGTCAGTTCCAGAGTAAAACTCATCAATGAGGTGGATAAAAATCGATCCTAATGTGACTGAAACGGGCAAAATTTTTTCATAAACTCCGTTAGATTTGATTAAAATTTTATCAAAAAGCTTTCTCTTTTCCAAAATTTTGTTATTCTGGTCACCAATCAATAGAGCACATGAATGATTTTCCAATCTTTGAGAATCTTCTGCAAGAGTTTTCCAATTAACGAGGTATATTTTGATACTTATGGCTTCAGGATAACCAACTTTGGACGTTTTGTAATGTCTCTCGACAGTAATATTATATTTTGGAATTCGCTTTACTTCTTTGATGACCATTTCTCCGAAAGGAACCTTACGACCACAGAACATTTCAATATTTCTGGGATCAGCGACTTCAATTTCCCTGAAAGAAGTTAAGCCACCTGCACGCATCCTGTTCGACAATTCAAGACCAATCCTGGGAAGCTGCTTGCTAACAAATTTTGAGTTCTCCCAAATTCCTGCTCTAAGGCATTTAGCCAAAATTACGCAGTTCAATAAAAATTTAAGGCTTTTAGCTTTAATAAAGGCCACATCCACTAAACATCGACTAAGCCTTTGAGCGACTTTAATTAGATTTCCAGTTTCTTGATGAAGACTGCAATCCTTAGGGAAAGGAAGACAACTGAGGGTGGCTTGAAGGAGAACATTGATTTTCATTTCTTTAGTCTTGATTCTTCCAGTTAGAGGGAATCGTATAGTACGGCCTGGTTCAGTTTTAGAACGGGCATTGAAAAGATTTAAATGTTTCTTTTCATTATTTCGAATGGTAACATCCTGATTGAGGTCACGACATTTAGCCAAAACAGTCAATAAATCACGTAGACTTTCTGTTCCTTTGAGCTCTAAGAAATTGCACATAGTCTGGTAAGATATTGACTTAATAGCCATCATCCTGCCTATTTCTGTGGCTTTTACAACACCTTCATCAAGAATCTCGATCAATCCATATTTCTTTAAGCCATTCAACTCTTTAATACAAATGTCTTTTATTTTTTGTTCCACTCGTTCCTCGGACCAGTTCGGATCAAAACCATAATTTTGTTTATTTTCATGAACTCTTATGTGGAAGAAAGTTGACTGGACCCATTCAAAAGCTTGATTTAGAGAAGAAATTGTATTTCTCTCAATTTCAGCCATAAAAATTTCAGGAAGGAACTGATGAATGTTACTTTCAATTATCTTTTCACCTGAAACTAATTTTTTGTATTTACTTTCATTTTTGCCTTTTGTCATGATGATAGCACATCCATTTGTATCAAACTGTGGTCTACCAGCTCGACCCATCATCTGTAAAATGTCAGATTCATTATATTCAACAAACCCTCCATTCATATAGTGACCGGTTCCTTTAATGATAACCAGATGAGCAGGAAAATTTACACCCATTGCCAAAGTACTAGTAGCAACGAGAACTGGAATATTACCATCTAAGAAAGCAACCTCCAATTTATGACGATCAGAAGAACTAAGACCAGCATGGTGAAAACCAACTCCATTTAGCAACGTGGTTTTCAATCTACTGTCATCTATCGATTTAACAAGCATAAAAGCAGCATTTTTCTGCTCCGGCTTGTAGCAATAGGAGGAATCTTTGGCCAAAAACTCAGCTGTACCTTGACTATCTTTTCGAGTGCAGACAAAAATCAAAGTCGGTCGTCCTTTTGAATATTCTTTGATGAGAGGTGGCAATTTATAATTCAGTTTTTGTAGAAAGACAAAGTCATTCACTGAATCTGGATAACCATATCCGTATACTTTTTTGGTGAGTTTAACAGAGCGAAAACGATCGTCTAAATTGTAACAAACAGCTCCATGCTCTTCCAATCCTAGCCATTGAGCTATGTCTTGTGAATTTGGAGTTGTTGCTGAAACAGCAATAAAGCGATAATCGAAGCTATCCTTTTTGATAATTTTAAAGCGTGTAACTATTGCTTCCAATTTCGGCCCACGATTTTGATCGCCTAATAAATGAACTTCGTCAATTAAAATCAGTTTGATGGATTGAACAATCTTGTTGAAACTATTGAATCGCACCAAAGTATCCCATTTTTCCGGAGTAGCGAAAATTAGAGAACTGTTTTCCAATAGGCGATAATGTATATCTTCAGAGTCTCCAGTCATTTCAACACAGCTTAATCCTAGGTTGGAAAATTTACGCTGCCAATCAAGGTATCGTTCATGACAAAGTGTTTTAAGAGGAGCAATATAAACCACTCTAAATGATGCGTTAATTTGTTTAGTGTCTGCCAAATAAAGTAAACGAGTAATGGCAAGTTCAAAAATAGCCGTTTTACCAGACCCTGTTGGAGCTGAGATCACCATTGTCTTATCACTGTTGAAGGCATCAGGAAAAACTTTGGACTGTGCCAAGTTGAATCTTGGAAAATCAGAGAAAATGCTTCTAAACTTATCAGGAATTTTTTCAATGCTAACAGTTTCTCTTGGAAGGTCATGGTCAGCGATTTCTACAGAAATTCTTTTCATTGGTCTCATGTCGATGGTGGAATAAACATCAAAAAATTTTGCTTCTGGTTTCACATCTTCAGTTTCGTCTTTAAGAAATAAATCATCTTTCATTTCTAAATCCAAGAAGTCAAGATCAGGCTTGTCAGTTTGCTTATGGGTCAATGGCTTTACATCAAGAGTTGTCTTGGTATCATTTTTAGCTTTCATTTTCCACGATTCTTCATCCTCTTCTAGATCTTGGTCAAAATTTAAATCTTTAACATACAAATCAATGTTTTTAACATCTTCATTTTCACCCTTGGTGACTGAATTTGGAAAAATTTTGTCCACCTTCATTTTACCAGCTTTGCTTTCTGGTTTGACCTGTTGATATTTTTTCTCACTTTTCATTTGCGGGGGCAATGTAAAATTAAATTCTGGTTTGATGGGCAGATTTTCATCTCTGATGTTGAATCTATCAAGTTTTTCCAGAAATCCAGGTGGCTTCCTTAAATTCTCTTGATCAGTTTTTATTCCAAAATACTTTGAACAATTAGCTGTGTCTTCTTTTTTGCGCATTGTGTAAGTCGAACTATCTTCCAATTTAATCTTACTAACAGCACCCATCCTGCTTTTAGGTTGGCTATTTAAATCAGGAACTGAGGCCATAGTATTAAACTTGACCTTTTTACACCCTTCAAGTCCAACGATATCCGTATTGAGAGATCTTTTCCTAGCTTCCAAATTGCGCATAATATTATCAAGAATTTCATCATTCTCACGCTCTCGATTTTCCTTTTCCCTCTTGAGCTTGGCCAAATCATAGGTGGAAGAATGAGGTTTTTTTGTCTGGAAAGTTGAAGGTTGTTGTTTGCAAGAAGGATAGTAAGCTCTGAGGGTAGAACCATATGAAACATTGGTAACGTCAAACTGAAAATTAGAGTTGCAGCTTCTTCCATGGTTATTGTGCCGGATCGGGCTTAATTGAATTGAACCGGCTGAAGTACTAGCATTACGGTTTGCTTCCATTGGTTGTTCAATGTCTTTAAAAAAACTAGGTGGCGATGGAGCCAATCGATCCCAAATTTTCTTTTCCTTTTCTTCAAGATCATCATCGAAGATGGCCCATTTAGAGGTTTTGTTGGTGAAATAATCCATAGATTCTCTAAAATAAAAAAACGGAAAAGATTGAAAAAATGGAATTATTTCAAATACGGAAAAATAAGAAGAGTAGTGTTTCGTTATTGGTAACTAAAAACAAAAGTCTATAAAAACAATACTCACCGGATAATTGACTAATTTGAAGTTAATCAACTGAGAATACACAAAAAAATGTTGTTTAATCAAGTAATCACTAATTAAAAATAGAGTAAGCGACAAAGAGTAGTGAATAGAAGTCGAAATTGATGAGTTCGCTTTTGGATAAGCTTCCAGACGCTTTGATAGCTTTTTCTCCATATTCTTCTCAGGAGTTTTTTGTTCTAAATTGAAGCACTTTTTTAAGGTAAAGGAAAGCCTTTAATATAATACACATTTCATCACATTAATAAAGTTAATACTACATTTTTGTTTGAATCTTATTCATGAATATCTTCATGTGATCTGTCAGACTAATAACAAACAAGAAATAGACAGAGAGTGAGAAACAGTAAGAAAATAAGAGAGAGAGAAAATGTTTTCATTTCATTTATTATTGTTGTTTTGAGGTCTATGCACATGGTTATTATAAGAAAATGGTTGCAGCTTTGCTGATGAGTCTTGAGTTCATTTTTTGGAGATTTTCTTTGTTCTCTGTTTGTTTTCTGTTAATTAACATGATAATGTGTGATATTTTGATTTTCTGTCAACAATAATCTCAATAATATTAAACTTAAACAAACTATTTCACACTGTATTTAAAATGTAGATGGAAATGGAAACTTTCACCATGTAAATGAGTTGCTAAGAAGTAAATTAAATGGTCTCGTCTTTTTGTCATATTCATTTTAAACTCCAATTAGACCGATCTTATAATTTCTTGGAATTATCATTATTTAATTGAGTTTTGATTGGTTATTTGGTCATCCTTCGACTCAACTTAACCATGGACTGCTAAGTCAATAGTTAATCAGCTGTAGTTTATTAGACCCTCTCTCCATTCCCAATTTTAAAGATTGATTGTTTGAAAGAACATTTTTTATTAATTGAAAAATCGATTGATTGCTTAAATCTTTACTCTCATTGATTAGGTTCCTACCTGAGAGTGATTACCTGAGTGTATCTTATAAGCTTGCCCATTGCTGTTGAGTGCGTCATTTATTTGATCACTTAGAAGGTGAAAGTGAAATTGAATTGAACAGATTCTAGTTGAACAAAGGTAGATAAAACTTAATTGTACTGAGTTGACAATTAATTAGGGTTGGAACCACTGAAAATCGATAAGAAAAATGGCAAATTATGTTTGAAAATGAGATTTTGTCGTGAAAAGTGTAATTACATTGAGATCCTTAAACAGTGTCTCAATTTTTTGAATGGATTTGAAAATACAAAAGGTTACATTGTAAAGTCTATGAGAGTGATATGATATGATTCTAGTTTGTTATTGATTGAAATTTTTAAAATTAATTGTTCAGTTCTTAACAATTGTTAATCGATTTATGTTACGAATTTCATTTACAAAGAACATGTAGATTACAATTTGTGGTTCATTATAAAATTGATCTTGATTGATCCATGCTCAACACAGCTTTTTCAATCTGTAAGGTTAGTCCTAGGATTACACTTTCTGGTTGACAACAATATAATAACAGTGTTATTGTGTTAAACTTACCGGTTTGGTTATCATTATTTTAACCGATTGTTCACTCAATTAGCCCATTATGTTATCCTGATTTAATGCTTCATCTAGTCAATCAACTGGTCCAATCACTTTTGCTGTATAAATTGAAATAGCTTTACATCGTTAATTCAAGTTAACCCATTCTTTTATATAACCAGTGACCAATCAACCTTTTTCTTGTTTTCATTCCATAACCGTTACTATTTTTATTACAAAATTGGCATGTAATTTACTGTATTTTTCACATAAATATATTTAATTATTCATTTAACTTCAATTGGAGATTAATAATTTAAACAAAGGATCATTCAAATTGTTATAAATCTGTTATAACAATATAATGGCCTCAAGTGGTAACAACAATACTAATGCAAACGATGGTAAATACACAGCTGCTGTAAGTTGATCTAATTCTCATTATTTTTACCCAATTCTTTTATTATAATTAACCATCAAACCTTTACCCATTAATCCTAACAAGTGGGCTACTTTGAATTCTGTTCAACTTGATATTGATTAGTAACTGAACCTATTTTCTTTGGTTTTTTCAATATGTTCCAATATGTTATCTTGTCATCATAAGATGATTTTTCTCCATGGACTTGGTGATACTGGACAAGGTTGGTCAGATAGCATTGGAGCAATTATTCCACCATATTGTAAATTAATTTGTCCCACTGCCCCTTCCATACCAATCACCTTGAATGGCGGTATGAAGATGACCTCTTGGTTTGATCTGATGGCTTTAAGTGCAGATGGACCAGAAGATATCGAGGGAATCAAAAAAGCCAACTCTTTGGTTCTCAAGATGATTGAGGAAGAAGAAGCTAAACATTCTATACCCTGTAACAGGATCCTGATCGGAGGCTTTTCTCAGGGTGGTGCACTAGCATTACACACTGCTCTTCGTCATCCCAAATCACTGGCTGGTGTTTTAGCTTTCAGCTGTTGGCTACCCTTGCATAAAGAGTATCCAGCAGCATTGAATCAAGCCAATAAGGGTGTACCAATTTTTCAGTGTCATGGTGATATTGATTTGATAGTACCACGAATCTGGGGTAATAAAACTGCTGATATTCTGAGACCATTGTTGACTACATATAATTTTAAAGTATATCCAGGATTGGCGCATTCTTCTTCCAATGAGGTGATTAATTGAATATTAGTAATTTATTTTCATGTCCCTAATTAGGATACAGTTACTTTATGATAGTATAGCCACCAATTAAATCCAGTATTTTGATTTTCCTTTGCAAATCATTCCCTCAGACTCAATCCGCCTGAGACTCAATTATGCCTGAGTAGAGCTAGACTTCATGCTCATCTTATCAGTTCTTGCGCTTTAACTGAACACCTTCTTCTTGTCTTTTCAACAGGAAATGAAAGATGCTGCAGCATTTATTGCAAGGTGCTTGCCTCCTAAATGATTTCAAATGAACGGAACAGTTTCAATTTCAAAACGGTGGACAGCCATTCAGGACCTTAGAGATGGATATCTGAAACATTTTCAATCATCTTTACCTTTATTCACCTGGTACCTTTCTTTGAGCAAAATTACTCTTCACTGTTGGACTGAATCAAAACCACAACGGTGTGTTTGAAACACAAGTTATTACATTTCAAATCCTTAGTGACCAAAACGGCAAAGTAGTATAACGAAAGTGAATTTTAAGGATGGCCAAAAAGATTTCCTTTTCAAGCTTTCAAATTTGAAACGAATGTCTTTCGCATCAATATTACTTCAATTTTAATCATAGTGACAAGCATATTTAAAACCTATATCTTAGTGAGCAAATGCAGTTGATTTTAGAGTATTTTTCCTTGTTTTTGTTAAACTATGTAAAGACAATAACACTTATTGTCACTGTTGAGATTACAATTAGTCATTTGCATGAAGCAAAAAAACAACGAGTTAACTAAAAACGCAAAAAAGCAAAGTTATGAGAAACGCTCAATCCATAGGATTATATGTAACATGTTAATATCATGAGAACATGTACAATCCAATTTGTAAACCAAATAATTATCAATCCTTTTCACTGCGAGAAAAGCGATAGAATCCAAATAAAGGACTTTAATCAATTAAACCAGTAACATAAAAAATTGTCATCAACCTAATCACAGGAAATTCAACCAACACGGTTACTGCCGGCTGACAATTTGTGAGTGCGGAGAAATATGACAGAAAATTACCGAATAATATTATGTATGGATTCTATTCTTGTAATTTGCAATTGAATTGATTGAAAAAAATTAATATTTAAATTATATTTATAACAATTAAGGGTGAAAGCTTAAATAGGAATAAACATTGCCCTTTAATAATAGATAAAGAGAGAGCCTTGGTTGGTTGGCCTAAGAAATTGGCAGTCATTTAAAAAACAAAACAAAAGAGCATGATGCTGATTCAAAGCCGATTAGCATGAAATGTCTTTATCCATTTCTCAATCTTTTTCAATTCACAGTAATTATTCCATTGATGGTTGATTGAAATAATGAAAATACTGAGGTCATTTAATATCTATTATTGAATATTTTCTCATTTATATGAAGGTTTCCAGATAAATTCTCATCATTATTTCCAGTAACCTTGGTAGACTAAAATAAGAAAAGCTTGAAAAATTTGATTAACCAAAATAAATTGGTATCTACTTCTTAGGTCTTTTCTAATCCTTCAATATTCCTATTTAACTGATGATATTAATGATTACAATAAGGAATTGAAAAAAAGCTTCAACTTAAAAGTACACACAGCCTTGATGAGCCGAAAAAAAGGTTTAGCCATCACAATTGGCAGCTTAAAGCATAAAGGCTAATAGAGCTTCATGTGAAAAGTGAATGAATATTTTAAGTGCTGCATTTAAATTTAAAACTTGGAATTGCTTTTTGTTTAAGATCAGATTAGATCAGAAACACATTAAGATTTGATCCATGGGCTCAATGTTACCCCGGCGAAGCTTCGTCATTATGCCTAACAAAGAATCCTCATAGTAAAGGCAACCCTTTATAAAGGGCAATCCTTTTTAAGGTTCAGTTTAAATTCATCTTGTTTACTCGATTCTGGTGTTTGGCTATTACTGAACTTTACGTTTATCTAAACCTGACCAAAATGTTTAAAAACTATAAATGCACAAAAGAAATATAGATGGCGCTAAACTCTATGTAATATTCAAAACACAAAAACGTTGTAATGTTGTACAACACTCGATTGAAATCTACTAATTAAAAAACACAATCAAATCAACGTTTAATCCTTTTGTTTTGTGCATTTATAGTTTTTTAAAGATTGTGGTCAGGGTTTAGGAAAACGTCTGAACGTGGATCTCATTTGCAATAACATGAAAAAAGGAACAAAAAAGGTTATTATCGCTATTAATGGGTCAAAAGTGTTGAAAGGCAAAAGGTACGTATATTGTTAGCTTACAGATGAATTGACATGTTTATGTGAACCTTGAACATTCGTATTTTTGGGTTAAAAATTTATATTTTTTCTAATATTTAAATATTGTTTTCCATTAATTTAGAGCATAATGAGAGGAAATCCGGTTTAAATTATCGCTTACTATCACTTAATTTCACCAAACATCTTATTGGTGAGATGGTATAAACATACGCAATTTAGACTGGCAACAAAATTGGGCTGATAAACAAAAGCAAAGTATCTTACAAGGTTACTGAGAAATCATGAGATGTAAACATCAATAACCAAACAATCAATGAAGCAAGTTAATCAAGTTTCTCATCTAAATGATGTAAAAAAATATGGATTGATATGTTGAAAGGCAATTTTGGCAAGCTCATTGGCATGACATTCAACAGGGAAACCAGTATATGATTTATCTTCAATATCTCTAATAATGGTCATTTAAAAGTCAATTATGTTTATAACAATTGATCATCAATAACACATTTAAAACAAAAGATTAATTGTGGCCTTCATTGACTTGGAAACCTGAAGGCAATGATTGAAAACATAAAGCTTTAGATCTCACCATGTTTGATACTCATTTGGATAACACATGAACTGCCTATTGAACAATCCAGTCAAAATCAACTTGATTTACACAATTTGCTACATTTTATTACCAGTTGATACATTTATTTGAACCAGTTAGTTCAGTAACCTAAAAGATTAGTTCAATGTCCATAATGTTAAAAGATTGACAAATTGAATGAGATTAAACCAGATTTTGGGTTGAACTGGAGAGAGTGGAAAAAAGGAGATCCAAAGACAATTTTACCTCTGATTAAACCCAATCTTATCCTTATAATTAAAGATAAATCAGTTGATGATGAAAGTTAATTTGTTACCTAAGGGTATATTGATATGCATGTAAAAGGCATTCAACCTTTAACAGGTTGATCCAGAAGATCCTACACAATCCATGTAATATAAATAATATAACCATTTGATTATCACTTTTAACCTGACAATTTAGTCTTTCTTTATACCAACCCATGTAAATGTAGGGATTGAGATTAGGTTAGTCAAATCTAGTGCAAGTTTCAATAATCAAATGAAATGAGATTCATCTTTTCTCATTGAAAACAATTAGCTCACATTTCAATAGCCAATTACCACAATAATTTAATTTGAAAAGCAACCTTGAAGGGTTAATGTAATGTTATGAGCCTCACAATGTTGAACACTAAATGCTAATCATTATCATTACTATTATTAAATGGTAGTTTAACATTATTTTTTCATCTTAATCATTATTTCCAAGGCTGAATCAAAATTTAGACGACATTGGAGTTTCAATTCAAACAAATATACTTCATCATTTCATGTGAAAATCTTATATCATATTTTTTTACCCAATCATTGAAATGGTTAAATGTTGAGCAAATGTTTTTCAGCTTCATCGTCACCATTCAAATTTAATTACCTGAAAACCGCCAAACCTTTCATCAATCACATTACTGGAGCTTCAAAACATAAAGATTTATTTTGAGGTTTGCTTTGAAATTTTCATTTGAATTGTGGATTTAAATTGTGGTCTGCAAAGCGAATTGCCGTAAAATTGATTTCATTTTACCTGTCAATAACAAAGATGCTTGAATCTTGGTGATGAGAGAATCGCAATCAGAAAAAAAAGGATTTTCGGTTGTAAACCGGTTGTTGATAGTTGAGTTAAATTGATAAAAGGCAAACAAGATTTAGACCTGAATGATCAAGTTGATTGTTGGCTTAATTTTGCTCAAGTCTTCTTAAAGTAACAAGGTTACTTTCCCTTCTCATCATTTCCATCATTTTGCCTCAATGATAATAAACATGACCTCTGGCTAGCAATGGGATGATGATGGGAGGCAAAAAAAATCTGATCATCAGTATCATCATAATTCAATTTACATTATCACTTGAAGTTTTACTCATTTTGATTCTCCCCTTTTCCTCCATTACTGATCATTACAATCATCTTCAATCATCAAAATCATCAACATCATTATAATGAAAGCGAAAGTGAAAAGATTTGCAACTTTTTTGCCTGAAAAAACTGTTAACTTGTTGATTGCCTTGGAAGCCCAATTGACGAGGGAAAAAACAACAGCAACAATCAACATCTTTTTTTTCGTTTGTTTGTTTATTCCGATTGAAGTTGATTACAAGCTGATTATCGAGTCTTCTGATAATTACAAGCATTAATTAATATTTAAACACGCAAAAATAAGGAAAAATCAGTGGAAAACAAATTCTCGGAAAATTAATGTCATAATTGACATAATGAAAGACGCAATCAAATACATCTCATCAACCAGAATCAAAAACACCAAGCTAGGCCTAAACCTTTAATAGATCCATAAGGAACCAGAAATGATCAACTTAACCCAAACGCAAACCCAAACTCAAACCCAAAAGCTAACCTAAATCTAAGGCTAAACCTGTGTTAAGGCCTACTTTAGCTATTGATTAGGTTGACTTATTTTCAATTGTAAACTTATCCTTTTATTGATTTGATTTAAAAATTGTATTGAAACAATTATCAATTAAATCAAGTTTTCCTCGATAAATTGTTTGCTATTGAAAAATGTATTCAACTTTTTTTACACAAGATTTTATTTATTATTGTAACAAGTAAATGAAAAGAGTTGTTATCAAATAATTAAATTAACACGCAATAGTTAAATAACCTGAAAATTGGATTCATTAATTACGTTAATTAAATGGTTAGAGTTGAGCAAAGTTACAATAATTATAAATGGACTAGATTGTTATTGTTTAAAAACACACTAAACTTACGACCCAACAAAGTCAAACCAAAGTGACCTTTACATTTGAGTAAATTTAAATTTCTCACTCAAATTGTAATCAATTTTGATTTTATATTGATTCCAATGAGAATAGATAATTTACATTTACATTGGTAAACATTGTGTGACTATTTTGAAAGACTAAATTGTCAGGTTAAAAGTGATAATCAAATGGTTATATTATTTATATTACATGGATTGTGTAGGATCTTCTGGATCAACCTGTTAAAGGTTGAATGCCTTTTACATGTATATCAATATACCCTTAGGTAACAAATTAACTTTCATCGTCAACTGATTTATCTTTAATTATAAGGATAAGATTGGGTTTAATCAAAGGTAAATTTGTCTTTGGATCTCCTTTTTTCCACTCTCTCCAGTTCAACCCAAAATCTGGTTTAATCCCATTCAATTTGTCAATCTTTTAACATTATGGACATTGAACTAATCTTTAGGTTACTGAACTAATTTAACAAGCTTGATTGAAGTCCATTTGCTTTGATTGTATGAAAATCTCAATCAAACTCTGTCTAGTTCAATATTACAGGGCAACATTTTCAGGTTCAGATCATTTGGTTTTGATAAAACCAAAGACTTGAAGCATCTGTATTGATTAAAATATTGATACAGCAAGTTGCCATGAATCCAATCCAGAATTCAAGCTCTAAATCGGGTTCATTTGGTGATAATTAACCTTTCATTTCAAACCCAAATGCCTTTTTTAACAGGTTTATCCAGAGATTTGGTTTGACATAACATTGACCAAGACTTCAAGAGCAATGTGGATCATCGGGTTATTTTGCATTAATAGCCTAAGATAGATCTGGACTTGAACATGAAATTAATTTGATTTGATTCTAACATTTAGATGTTGCTTTTTGTCCAATTGAAAGATCTTGAAATTTTATAAATTTAACTTCACACAATTAAATACCTTTTCGTGATATTTGTAACCCAAAAATACTATTAGTTGAAACCAGTTTGTCGAGTCAATTGGTATTGATAAAGCCATCAGTAAATCATTGGACAACAATAGCGACCGATTGACAATTTAAACCGGATTTCCCATTGTCTTTAACCATTGTAAATATGAAACAACAATCGGAATCAAAAAAAGTTGAACAATTGAAATGAAATTAACAAATTGTTTAACCTAAAACCTTTTAGGTTCAAGGTTTAAAACATAATGCTTCATCTGTTAACTAACCCAAGGTTAGATATTAAAAATTGTCAATTTTTTTGGATACTGAATAGCTTTACAATTCATATTGACCCAGTAGCAATTAAAAATCAATTATACCTGACAGTTGACACTGACAAACCTGTAACCCATTATTGATTGTACACAGATGAGATTATGACAGTTAATAATTACAGTAAACAGTTGATATGCAAAGTTGATTGTCAACCTCACAATTGAAGCAAAGCAAAAATGTCAATCTCTTTACTTTGAAGAAACATTTTCTGGTTAATCAAATTCAATTGTTACAGTTGAACAAGGTTTGCTGATTTCAATTTCATTTTAAGGTAAATAGTTTCCATGCCAATGAAACAAAGGCCTAACAAATTGAAGAGGCTTAAGAGTTAATCAAAAACCCACAAATTTAAATCAAGGTTGAACCAAAGTAAACCTGTAAACCTTCAAATGTTTACCAAAATCAATTTTCCTATGAAAATTTGAAATGATCTCAGTGTTGCTTTCATCACTAAATAATCATCTAAACTATCATCATGAGTAGTACTTGATCAATCTGATCAATTTGATCATTCTGTTGAGTTATCATCTTTTATTTGCATAATTTACCTGGTTGACATTGAGTCAACCTTTTAATTGTGTGTTTCTGTACATTTAAGGCCATTCTTGATGTGCAAAACGAGTTAATATTAAATCAAGAAAACCAATTGAACAACAGCAAAAAAAAGAAACCAAAATCTCATCAATTTGTTAATTTATTTTCAACCATAAATTGAATGAACCAAACAATATGAATTGTTTCAACCCTGACCTTAAATCATGATGATAATCATAATCAGTTGATAATAATTAAAAATGTAAACAGCAATAACAAGTTGAAACAAAACAAAAACGGTTCCTCAAAAAGGTTTACCTTGACAAAAAGATGAACCTTTTCTTTCCCTTCAAAACATTTGCTCATTTTATTGGCTATTTACCTGAAAACACCATAAATAATCATGATTCCAATTGATGTAAATTTCATCCATTTTAATCATTGAATCAGGTTTACAGCTGTTAAACCAGAAAACCTAAAGTAAGGTTAAAAAAGAAGTGAAAGCGTAAAAAAAGTGACCGAAAAAAAACGAACCGTTGATTGGATATAAATATCGGTAATGTCAGAGTAATTAAGTTAAATGATTGTTGATTATTGTCTTCCTCTACTCATTTGGCTGTTAATTATTATCCAAGTGATCCACAACAATCAAATTGACTGTGAATTGTAACCCAAACAGTTTCCATTGAAAAGTTGCTCATTTCAACTGTGAATTGAAAATGCGTTGAAATACGGTAAACAGCAAAAAAAGAGGGACAAATTGTAGGAGAAAACAAATGAACGGCAACAATTTAACAACAAATGACAAAAATCAAATAGTTAATACAATACAATTGTGATGATCGACAAAACAACAGATTAAGAGTGAAAAAATGAGTGAAAAAATAACAAAAATTAGTTGATTGTTGTCATTCACGCATGAGACTCGACTAACTTGACTTTACAAATTATCACATGAAAACATTTCCCCATATAAATGGTTTTATATATATTGTAACAATCAAGTTGGCTTCAAGTCAAAATCATGTTCCAGGTCAATTAAAAGTCTCCTAATATCCAAATCAATTTTTCAAATCAACACAATTGTCAACAATAAGCTAATCATCATTAGTTACGGCTTCATTCGGTAAAGTTAATTTTGTACTCTATCACGACAAGCAGCTTTTAATTTTTACGATCAATTTTGATCAAATAATTGTTCAGCTAATAAATTGGTTTATTGTCCGACTCTAATTTACTGATTAAAAAAGACTTGAGAGTTGATATTGGAAAATTCAAATTTTTGGGTTTCCTTTTGGGTTTCCAATTTTTCTGGTTAACTTTGCTTTCCATTGTCAAGATTTTCAGTGTTTTTCAATTGTTTCAACTGTAATTAACTTGATTTTGGAATTGAGAAAATTACAATTGATTAATCACTTTTGTCTCATCTTGATGTTGATCGGCAAAAAATGTAATTAGATTTAATTTTTTGCTTTCCTCCGATTTCTTGTCATCCTAATTTACAATTGAATCGTTAAACGGACAACTCTATTTGCTTGGGCCAGTGATTTGATTGTTGCCATTAAACATTGAAAGAGCATTTACAATTAACTAATAAAATAATTAACTTTTCCTTTGACAGTTGATCACTTCATTTGGTTTAATCAAAAAAAAAGAGGTAAACGTCAACAAATGATTTGAACAGGTAGACACACCATTAACTAATCAAATTGAGCAAAATTTTGTGTGAATAAATGGGAGAACAAAAATGGTCAATTTGTTATTAAATTGTGATTAATGCAACTATTAATAATAAAATTGCAGCAATTTAAACAGAAGCTAATCATTGTCAATTGAGTTAAATTAAAAGACTGTAAACTGATTAACTAGACTGCAAATTTAAATTAAAATGTTACAAAGCAACGATATTTAACTGGCTTTATTCAGATTCAATTGGAAATTGTTAAAAGATGACTTTTTGTATCAATTTATGTGATTAAAGGTCAAGGTAGACAATTTAATTGATTAACTTGACAATCATAATCATCGCCATCATTTTTTGCGTTTCAAACACTTTTCGACTTTTAATAATTCAATTTGAGCGCTTTTTTGCTTTCGCTCTCTTCATTTATCCAAGCTTGCTTGTGATTGGCTTTTGATTGTAACCGTTTTTTTCAATGCATTCAAAATTGCTGTCTAACGTAATGTCTTTTAATGGTTAGTTATTAAAATTTTAATTGTTTAATAGATGCTATTTTAATTTGTTCAAATTTGTTTATTGTATTTGGGTAAGTATCATGAATCTCTAATTTTTCACCGAAATATTGTAATCACCTTATTGGATCTTTGTTTGTGTATTGACTTTGGTTTGCGATTTTTGCGATCTGGTTGAGATTTTTTTTGTCTCTTACTGTTCAACTGTGCAATTGATTAACTGTATCAAGTGTTAATTGTTGACTGGAAATGTCAACTTGCTGACAAGTTTGACTTGTATTTGTAAAACAATGCAAGTAGATTCATTGAGCCATTATTTTATCCAACAGTTCCAATTAAACTATCCATTTTGATTCAATTAAGACATTTTAGCTTCAACAACAGACAGATATTTACCAATTAAATTAGTTTTCACACAAAATAACAACACTAATCACAGACAGATTGATTACATAACCAAATAACAAAAGAAGGTAATTCAATTGTAAAAGTTACCTGTAAAAGCTTTTACAAACCGAGAATCATTGAACCAAGATGTTTGTATGTGATTACAATATTTACATTTTCAGCCATTTTTACCAGAAATAATTTCATGTCCAACAGTATCAACAACAGTTAAATTGTAGACAATGGCTAACCAATTTGTTTTGTATTTTTGTCTCCTTCTCTTTCTCTTTCTTTCTCAGTCATGGTCTCCTTGATTGTAATGGTTAACAAAAGTGAGTATTAGAAAGGTTAATAAATTGTTTGTTTCATTTATTGTTATAAAATTTATACTGAAAAAAATATTGCTTTTTTCCCTTTCATACTAAAACAAGGTTAACCTGAAGAGCCAATACATATAAATATATACTAATGATGCTATCAATCTTGGCGGCAATGATGATGAGCAAGATGAAAAGGACAAGGTAAAAGACGGTTCCAAGTAAAATTCATTACCATCAACTTGAAGCAGTGAATCCAATATATTTACAATAACATTAAAACAACTCTGGGAGCGAAAATAATCAATTCAAATTGAATATGAGTTGTTATAAGATTGTAGATGAATCGATTGAACGAAAGATTGCAATTTTTTCATCTTCATCTATTTTCATTTCAGGTCATTGAATAAGAGGACCAGCAAATATTATCAACATCTTTATTGCTATAAAAATTCACACTTTATTATTGCATTGGCGCTAAGAAAGACCGTTTAGGGCTGAAAGGAAGAATGGCCAATAGGTTTTAGTATCAACTATCCACCAACAGATTAATTTATTAGGTGAATAAATCGATGAGCCTCTGGTCTCTGTGAAACGATTTTGCCATAAATTTGTATGTAAAATATTGTCAGTCGAGCCATAAGACAACTTGTATACTTTACTTGAGCAAGGATCTTAACCATTCGTTGACTCGATGAAGTTCACAAGAAATAAATTTTTAACTACAATTAGCATAATTTTTGAACACTTTAAACTGATTTAACACAACATTTCCACCAACTACCGTTCAATTAGTCTAATTATCTTCATAATATTGCCAGAGAGACTATCAATATCCTCAACCAAGTGACAGGATTTAAAAGATTGCATTTTTATATTCGATAGCTTTTTCCACATAAAAACAATTGTTTTCATTTAATCGTCATATGATTCCACAATTGTAACAGTTTTGTTTTGATAACCTTTCAGTAAAGATGCTGAGAGGAGTGAATCTGAGACAGGTTCAATTGCACTGATAAGTTTAATCATGGCTTAAGTGCAATCCAATAAACAAATCATTTGAAGATCAAAATTTGAATTTAAAATGGAGCATCTGAAATCATCTGCACACTCAAATGTATTAATACCTGGTAAGACAACTGTACATATACCGCTAATTTGATAATATGTGGTATAAAATCTGGTTTTATTGGAATTCTCATGGAAAGCGCAAGCGATTCGCTGAAAGTAATTACATTCAATTACCAAATGGGTTCTACTTCGGTGGACTAATAATACTTCTATCGTTTTTGAAGCTTCTTTCGATGGTTCAATCCACAGATGCACATCGTTCGTTTCTTTCTTTATCCTAAGTATATTCATTATTACCATAGAGCTGGTAACTACCGTTCTTGGTGAAACATAGTTGATGCCAGGGTAATTCACTTGAATCTCTAGCGATTATTGAATCAGTTTCATCCAATCTTAATCTTAATTTCAATGTCATAAGATGGTTTCTTTACTTTGAAAGGAAGAGTGATCCAAGTACAAATCAAGTTTCCATTCATGTAGATAGATGATCCGTCCTGTACACTTCATGACCTGCATATATTTTAGCTGTAGTGTCACCAAAATTATATTTGGTACAAATGTGATCCAAGGTTCTGTTTTGCTTAATAAATGAAAATCTAACTGAATAAGGACCATTTGAATACACATTATGAGCAGTTAATGTAATGTTGAAGAGACACTCGCTATTTTAGTTTCACTGGCACTGATGAACACTTCAATGATGGGTTACATGGGACACTATAAGTCTTTAGATGGCACAACGAGTTTTGTTTGCACTCTTCTGATACTAGAAACAAAAGTGTCAATAATAAAGTCAAAAACATATTCAATTTCACCAATTCGTCAATTCTTGGACACATTACAATGCTGATTTAACAGAAAATTATAATACTGGAAACTGGCAACAAATAAATCATGCATCTTATCAATATTTTCAGTACTTGTAGAGAGAAGAATAGAAATTATCAATTGTCGTTGGTAAACTGATTGTCATCAAGTATTAATCAGAAGATTAAGAGGCAAAATTCCCGGTTAATAAAGAACCAGGTATTTTTATTATATAATACGATGAAACCCAAACATAACACAAAGATTTATTATATCATTGAACACTATTGTTGAATGAATATTTTGGTAAACTGGTTAACATGGCCATACATTAACTAATTATTAGTAATTAACTACGAAGGTTTATAAACAAAATAACACTTTTAATTACATTATATTACAATATTTCCTCGGAACTTTGATACAAAGTCAGATTGAAGGAAAGAAAAATTATCTTACGCTTAAAAACGAGTTAAAAATATGATGAAAAAACTGCTTTCTGTAAAGCACAAAAAGTATCATTATTATTAAAATGAGTATTAGTCCTATTGGTAATATAATTATCAACAGGTTAGTCGATTTTTTGGTTGTCAAATATTTTAGTTTAACGTTATTTTCTTGATAAACGATTGACCCATCTGCAATTATCGACAATTCACCTTCTATTTTGCCGATTTCATAAGATTTGCTTGAAAAAGTGATGCTTCGAGGTAATTTCCATCCACATTCTATATCAGAAATTGTCGTTATTTCCAATTGTGATGATGGTACTGACGTTGAATCAAAATTATCTGAAATGTAACCAAACACATTGTACTGAGTATGATTACAAATGATGCTTATTCTCGTTCCTTCTAGAGATGTAAACTTAACTTCAGTGACTGCTGGTGGATCATCATTCAGCACTTGTAAGTAAAATGCGATCGAGTGTTCATTCGGTCTAATTACCAATGAATAATTACTGTTTCCATAATTTCCATTTCCAGAACATTTGGTGTATTTCCTTCTACAAATAGGAATATCTTCAGCATTAGAAGCAACAAGTGCATTGGTTTTATCTGAAGTCAAGATGATTCGGTAATCACAATCATTGATTAAATCCATTTCTCTGCCGTTAATAGAAGGCCAACTTTTTGCAGAATCAGTTATCCACCAACAGACTAATTTATTAGGTAAATAAATCGAGGAACCTTTAATTTCTGTTAAACCATTTTGCAATGTGGAGGCTTCAGTTAAACCAGTTTGCAATTTGGTGCAAAAGTATGTAAAGTATTGGTCTCCCTTTGTAAATGCTAGTCCAATCCTCCTGATTGCTCTTTCCGGAACATTGTGTCCAATCAATGTCACATTCAGGTGATGATCCCAAATGTTATCATGTTCAATCACACTGATTTGAGCTTCAACCAAAAGATTGTCAGTCGAGCCATACGACAACTTGTATACTTTACTTGAGCAAGGATCGTAACCATTCGTTGACTCGATGAAGTTCACAAGAAATAGACTTATAACTATAATTGGCATCATTTCTGGGTAACTTAAACTGATCTAAAACAATATTTTAATCAAAAACAATGTAATTAGTCTAATCATCTTTCCAACCTTCACAGATAAACTATCAATATCCTGTTAGAAGTTTCAAAAGATTGCAATTCTGTATCCAACAGCAAACAATTGTTTAACATCATATGAATATTTAATCGTAACAATGGTATTTTGATAATCTTTCAGTTTAGAGGAGTTAATCTAAAGCTGGTTCAATTAAGATGATACGATGGTTTAATCATAGCTTGAGTGCGATCCAATAAACAAATCATTTGTTTGCACTCAAAAGCTTGTTAAAATTCATTTTTCTGAAGCAAAGTCATAAGAGATATAAGTGATAACATAATGGTTGAACCAGCGACTAAAGATGTTGAACCAGAATTTGATCCATTGAAGTTTAGATTATGAAATGAATAGATTAATTTATTGTCGCTTTTGATTTGAAGATCAAAATTTGAATTTAAAACGGAACATAAACCATCTTCACACTTGAATGTATCTGGTAGGACCATTGAACATGTATCATCAAATTTGTAATACCTAATGAGAAATCTGGTTTTGTCTGAATTCTCAATGAAAGCGTAAGAAACTCGCTCAAAGTAATTACACAAAATTACCAAACTAGTTTTGCTCCGGTGGGTTAAAAACACTTCAACAATATTTGAAGGTTCGTTCGATGGTCTCTGCCAAAGTTGAACTTCTTTCGTTTCTTTCTTTATTCGAAGTCGATACTCATTATTGCCATAAATCTTGTACCCACCACACTCAAAATATCCTAGTTGATGCCAGGGTAGTTCACTTGAATCTTTAGCTACAATTAAATCAACTCTATCCAATCTTAACACTAAGCTATAATTAGTATTGTACACTAAGTCCAGGCTTTCAATGTCGTAAGGTGACTGGTTTACTGCGAAAGGCTGAGCAATCCAAGTACAAATCAAGTTTCCATTCATGTAGATGGATGATCCCGTCTTGTATGCTTCAGAACCTGTATATATTTTAGCTGAAGTACCACCAAATTTAAATTTGGTACAAATGTGATCCAAGATTTTGTTTTGTCTGTTAAATGAGAATCCAACTGAACGCGGAAGACTTGAATGCATATTATAAGCTATTAAGGTAACGTTTAAGAGACACTCGCTATTTTCAATTCCATTGGCACTGATGAACACTTCAATGTGGGAACAATATTTTTCTGGATTACATGGAACATTATAAGTCTTTAGATGACATAACGAGCACTGTCCCGATACTAGAAACAAAAGTGTCACTAAAGTCAAAAACATATTAAATTTTCACTAATTAAATTATTAGACTAATTATTACACTGTTGATTGAACAGAAAATTATAACGACTAGAAGCTGGCAACAAGTAAATCACACATCTTCATATCAATATTTGCAGTAATTGTACTTGATCTAAACAATTAGGGAGAAAAATAGAGATTGTCGATGGTGGTTGGTAAATTGATTATCATTAAAGATCAACCAGATGTACCCTTAAGAGGTAAAATTTCCTTGTAATAAGGAACCAGAAATTATGTGAATGATGGAACCCAAATATTAATACAAAGATTTATCATATCATTCAATAGCATTGTTTAATGAACAATATTTGGGTAAACTAGTTAAGGTACATGAGAGTAATTATACGTGGGTAACTACGAAGGTTTATAAACAAAATAGCACTTTTAATTACATTATGTTACTTTTAATTCATCGGAACTTTGATACAAAATCTGCCAGATTGAAGAAAAGGAAAATTATCTTACGCTTGAAAATTCAAGAAAATACGATGCAGAAAAAGCTTTCTTCACAGAAAGCAGAGCACAAAAAGTACTAGCATTATTATTAGAATGAGTATTATTCCTATTGGTAATATAATAATCATCAGGTTAACTGATTTTTTTGTATTAAAATCTGCTAGTTTGATGTGATTTTCTCGATAAACGATTGAACCATCTGCAATTATCGACAATTCACCTTCTATTTTTCCGATTTCATAAGATTTTTTTGAAAAAGTGATGCTTTGAAGTAATTTCCATCCACATTCTGTATCAGAAATTGTGGTTATTTCCAATTGTGATAATGGTATTGATGGTGATTCAAAATTATCTGAAATGTAACCAAATACATCGTAATGAGTGTGATTACAAATGATGCTTATTGTCGTTCCATCTGAGAATATAAACTTAACTTCAGTGACTGCTGGTGCATCATCAATTTTAACTTGTAAGTAAAATATGATCGAGCAATCATTTGGTTTAATTACTAAGAAAAAATTACTGTTTCCATAATTTTTGTTACCAAAACATTTGTTATATTTCCTTCCACAAATAGGAACATCTTCAATATTGTGAGCAACAATAGCAGAAGTTTCATTTGAAATTAAGTAAACCTTGTAATCACATTCATTAATCCAATTCATTTGTTTACCATTTGGAAACCTACTGGTTTTAGTATCAACTATCCACCAACAGTTTAATTTTTTAGGTAAATAAACCGATGAACCTTTGGTTTGATAGAGATCATTGTTCCATATGGTTGCTTTGGTTATGTCAGTTTTTGATTTGCTACAAGTGAATGTAAAAAATGGATCCTTCTTTTGAAATTTCAGGCTAATTTTCCTGAATTCGTTTTCCAAAACATTGTGTCCAATCAATGTTATATTTAAATGGCTTTTAAAAATCTCTTCATGTTGAATCACACTGATTTGAGCTTCAACCAAAAGATTGTCAGTCGAACCATAAGACAACTTGTATACTTTACTTGAGCAAGGATCGTAACCATTCGTTGACTCGATGAAGTTCACAAAAAACAAACTTATAACTATAATTGGTATCATTTCTGGTTGACTTGCTGATTCAACACAACCAGTATCTTGATGGTCATCTTGGTAACATTGTAACTCCAGATTCAATAACTCATCCAATCAATTGTTCAGTTATCATATGATTATCCAATTGTGACATTATGATAATTTTTCAGTTTCGATTGTTCAAACTGTAATTACAACTTGAGAGGTGTAAATAAAGCTGAAACTGGTTCAATTGACAAGATAACATGGCTTATCGACTCGATTGCAATTGAAACAAATCTTTTCATCTTATCTGGCAATTTAAGCCTCGATGTGTTATGAGCCACAAGTTACATTATGTATCATAGGAAACCCATTTTTTGCAAGGTTAGAATAGATATAAAATATTAATCCGAAGATCATTAATGCACTAGCAATAATAAATGACGATAAAAAGGCAATATCATTACAAGAAGATCTGGACCCAGAAAGAGATTCATTTAATTTGAGATTATGCAAACTGTAAATGAGTTTCTCATCGTCACTAAGATCAAGATCAAAAGTCAAATCCCAAATTGAGCATAAACCCTTTTTACACTCAAATGTATCTGGTAGGTCAACCGAACATAAATTGCCAACAATTTTATTGAAATTTGGCCGATCATCTGTGAAAGATCCTATGGTTCCATCGAAACTCAAACTGTAACCAGCCGCAATAGGAAAAGTATAATTGCACAAAATGTTCAGAAATAAACTTTCATGCGACAATGAGACTCTGAGAAATTTCGGTGTTTTGTCAAATGTATTGATCCAGAATTGTACGAAATTCATCTTTTTCTTTATTATAAGTTGATACTCATTATCGCCATAAATCTGGTAACCACCGCACTTGGTGAAACCTAGTTGATACCAGGGTAGTTCACTTGCATCTTGAGCGATTATTGAAACATTTTCATCCAATTGTAACTCTAAACTATAATTGGCATTGTACACCAGATCCAAGAGTTCAATAGCGTAAGGTGACTGTTTATATGTGAAAGGCTGAGCAATCCAAGTACAAATCAAGTTTCCATTCATGTAGATGGATGATCCAGTCATGAGCCGGTTTTTATTATTGTATACACTAGATTGAGTTGAACCTAAATCCAATTTAAGACAACTGAACTTTAAAGTCTTTTTCTGTCCAGCAAATGTTAACATGATTCCATGACTTTTACTTGGATCCATATTATATGCCACCAATGTAACATTAAAGTCAGACTCACCATTTTCAATTTCATTGACACTGATGAGTACCTCAACGTGGGAACAAGATGTTGATGGGTTACATGGAACACTATAAGTCTTTAGACGACATAACGAGTTTTGTTTGCACTCTCCTGATACTAGAAATAAAAGTGTCGATGTTAAAGTCAAAAGCATAATATTAAATGTCACTAATTATTTTATTCTTGGAATAATTATTGCACTGTTGATTGGAAAAAAATTATAACAATTATTAAGCTGGTAAATGATAAATCCAACTAGATACTGGAAGCAAATTGAAAGGGAAACATTGAATGTCTATGTATACCATTGCACATAAACAACTGCAATACTTGTTGGGTTTTTGAACTCTTTCTTTTCCCTCTCATTTGTGATAAACAAAAGCGAGAGAATAGAAAGGGAGATTGAAAATTATATTGGAATGCTTATTATCAAAGATTAAAGAAGAAGAGAGAGAGATGATTAACGTAAACGATAACTGACAGTTCGATCAGGTTGAATGTACAACATGCAGTTTCATTGAATATAACTCGACTTGATCCACGACTAGCACCATATTTATTTTCAGCTGAAACATAAACTTCATACCTTGAACCAGGTTTAAGACCATCTAATAGATAAGGTGATGATTTAGCTATTGAAACATTGTAATTGGTAACTTCGTCTTTAGACGACTCTCGCCAGTGAATATTGTATTTCAAAATAGTTTCACCTAATCTCTTTGGTGGTGACCATTTGAGCACAACCCAATCATGGTGAACAGAGGCAACAGCAAAATCACTTGGTGGACTTGACAAGACTCCATGTGATCGAGATAAAAGAAATAGCTGAAATTCAACTGTTCAGATGTATCTTCAGAAAGATCAACCCATTTGTCCAAAGCTCATTGTCGATGCAGCATTTTTAATGTCTGGTAACTCAGATGTCGGTCTAATTGGTTTTAAGGTTGACTCCTTACCTTAACTTTTGGCTGAACTTTGGGTTAAAGCTCTTACCGTTGCTGAAGGTAGACTAGTGCCAAATTTGTTAATGGCTAACATGGTTATTTCATACATGGTGAAAGGTTTTAAATTAGTGGCTTTAAATTCATCAAGAGTTCCATTGATTTTGGGGTTAAGTCCTGAGGTAGTGGTGGAGATGATGATGAATCGCCGTCACTTTTTGACCCATCATTTGAAGCTTCTTCTGTGATTTATTTCGGAATAATGTTATATTTTCCAGTTCCGTAGCGATGATTGTCATCCATAAATATGAAAGGAGGAATCCAAAATTAGGCTTTTGCCATTTCCAATTTTAAACCCATTTACGAACACATTGTTATAAACGTTATTGAATCGGTCAATATTAAATATCAATCAGATGTTGAAAAGATAACTTTCATCTGTAATAAGGAACCTTTGTTTTAAACAATTGAAGCCTAAATATTAATGCAAAGATTCATTATCATTCAATATCCTTGGTGTAACAATATGGTGTTAACCCTACTTTCCACTATTTAGGTAAACTGGTTAATGAACATGGAAACAGTTATCAATCAAAGTATGATTTACTTGAAACAAATAATGTATTGAAATGCTCATTAATCTGTTCAACAACTTTTGGATTAATATTGTATTTAATGTACAATTGTAATGATGATTGCTCATAATGGTCCTCTAACACTGTTTACATCCCATAATAATAATACACATTGATAATGATCCTCATGTTGATGATGTTGAGTATTGTAAAAAAATGTTGAATATTTTTTGCTTTGTTTTGCCATTTTATTCATGAAAAAGGGTATTGAAGGAAGTAAATATAATTTTCATTTCACGCTCCATAAACTAATTGAACAATCTGTTTTAACAATAATGTTTAAATGATAATGATTATAATGGTGATAATATTGATAGAAATATATTAAAATATAAAAATATCAGATGAAAATTGTCAACTCTCTCTATTGACAAGCAAGCCTCATTTCAAGTTGAACATAAAAATTTGGGTTTACATCCAAAAATACCATTGTTTTGCCTCCTCCTTCCTCCTTCAACCCCTTCTAATCCATTCTCATCATTATCATCAAACATGAACACCTTTCTTGTCACTCCATTATAATCATCATCAACTGGTTCAACTTATTTCTTGCGTGTATCAATAGACACACAAACATACATTTTTTACCCGATAAAAAGTCAATAGTCAATAGTGAACAATCGATTGGTTTGGGTTAACAATTATAATTATAAGACAACTATTAACGATTGAACGAGTGGAGGAGTTAACAGTTAACAACGGTTAAAGGCGGATTCAATTGTGTTGGCTAATTGACAAGATTAACTTACCAAAAAATGTTATCCAATTGGGAGGAAAAATTTGTTCCATCAGATGGCGCTTAGCGAAGAAAGTGAAACTTGGTGAAAGGAAGACAAAAAGAAAGAGAAGAAAAATGAAAAGAAAGAGAAGATTAGAATGATGATGATAAGGTTAATGGGAGAGAGAGAGAGTCCATGATGTTTCATGTGTGTAACAAGTTTTCATTGAGTAACCATGATTCTGAATTCACTCACTTTTCAGGCTTTTATGCGAAAAGGAAAGTGAGTTGATAAGAAATTTTAAGAAAGAGGAAAAAATATTGTTAACAAAAAAGTGAAACTTAATTATAATTATTGATAATAAACAATAACAATCACAGTTGACAAGAGTAACCGACAATGTTGACTATGGATTGATTCAGTTCGTCATTAGTTGACAAACCAGTGAAAAAAAAGTCCATAATGTTTACTGTTGACTGTTAAACGAAAAATTTAATGTGTTAAGAACAACATTTTTTTCCATTCTCTTGGTTAAACAATTAACAGGAATTTACCTTTGTAATTAAGTTACAGTTGCGTGTTCACATTGTTATTTCATTTAAAATGTTTGTCTGAGTGATTAGGTCGAACAGGGTAAAAGTGACGATAAGAACCGAGAGAATAAAAAAAGAGAAAAGAAAATAGTTAATCATAAGTTGAAAATTTTGTTCTCTTCATTTCAACTTTTGTTCATCTTTCAACGGTTTTAACCCTTATTACCCAACTTGTGATAATTTATATAAACATATATTTAATATATTGTTATCAGTGTCATCAGTGTCATCGGCAACATTAATTTTGTCTATCAACAGCAAACCCATTTTGGTAACAACAACGTCAAACTGTCTCTGTCTTTTGTCTGGTTTTGTGACAAGTTAACAAACAAAAGTGAAAATAGTAGATAGACATTTTTTATTCTACATTTTTCTTTGGACCCTTTCAATTGAACAACATCGCAATGGTTTCCTCGTCAAGTGATCCTTATAATGCCCGAAGACATTTTTGTTCAATATCTTCGTCAAGTGTAACAAAATCTTCGGCAAAACAACAATCACCTGTACCCTCACGTTCCTTGGCTTTTGATAAAAGTGACCAGAGTTTTGCTTCCAATGGTAAAGGAAAGGTTACTTCGTCTTACCATCATTCTGGTTTACGGAAGCTTTCAGCAGTCAGAAGATGTTCAACTAAATTGCTATCCCCATCATCGTCATTATTAAAATCATCAACTCTATCAAAGTCTTTCAATGGCAAATCAATTAATTCTCCAATCCCAATTGGAACAACATTACCAACAACAAAAACATCTCTACTTTCAACCTTAACATCATTCTCATCTCTTAATAATATTTATTGTTATTCTTATTACTCTCTATTAACCTTTATGTTGATACTTTCATCTTTTACAATCTCGTCAACCTCAGCTCTTCCCTCAGTTAATTCAACCAGCCAGGAACCAGTAATTGTTTCACCCGGAGATGAAGCTTACATTGAATGTACAGTAACCAATCTAGATGAAAACACTGTCCTTTGGAAATCAATTAATCCTGTTAAGGAAAGTGATAATGGTATTTTACTAACAGCGGGTAAAGTTCGAGTCACATCTGATCCAAGGTTTTCAGTTATCCATCGTCCAGGTAACAACAATTTATCCTCAAAATAGCCATCTGAATTGCATGTTTATCAATGTCACTATAACAGATAATAGGTGATCTCAATCAATAAGGAAAAAAGCATATTTCACAAATAATTTGTAATTTAGAAACATTTCTTGGGCTAAAAAGATTTACTATCGATTTGTTTTGATCATAATGAGTATATTGATTAGCCTTAATGATATCATCCTAATGATATTGAAAATGATGAGAATACTAATTGCTAAAATAGACAGTATTTTTCCTCAAATTAGCTTTTCAATTGCAACTTTGAATCGCAAAAAGAGCATCTCCTTGGGACCTTTTCATGTTTTCATTTTCCATTTTGTTGATTCAATTGATTAACAAAACATGGTTTTTAACTCTTTTATTGCTGCATTAATGTTGTCAGAAGTTGTTGGCCAATTTAATTTTGTCGATTTGATGATAATAATTTAATAATTTTTACAATTTCTGATAATTGAGAGATCAACTCTTCACCTCGATCTCATTGCCATTGGACATCTATTGTCAAATGCGTTGTTTAACCTTGATTAACAACATTAACTTTTACCTTCATGATTATCACACAATTGAAACACTGTAATTAGCCTAAAGATTAATTGTTATTAACCATGTTAACTCATTCAAATTGTCCGAAAGTGAATTAATTCAGTGCTATTGTTGTGCCTTACCTTTAATCTTCAATCAACAAATGGTTTACAGTAACAGTGCGTTTTTTAGGTTACCGTTTATTGAATCTCATTGTAATCACATTGAAATCATTTTCCCATGATTTCCAACTGTCATAATTAATCATCATTTTACCAGTTCAATAATTGCATAAGCCAAAAATGAAATTCAAAAAGTAAACAAAATGATTCTAATCTGAAAATCTAAACTGACTAACATGGATATTCCCATGGAAATGTTAGCATTGTCAGACAAGGTTTTCATTTCCATGCAAATGTAATCTTCCTCTCCTTTTTTAGTTTTTTTTTCAATGACTACTCGTTCATATTTCATTTCATCTTTATGCATTTTTTCAGATGAAATCATACTATTATTATCAAACATTCCCATTATAATGTTAATAATCATCATTAAATTATTTACCTTGAAAAAAAAAGATGAGACCAAACAAAAAAAACTATGATTCTGATCACGAATAATAAAAGGTAAATAGATACTAAAATACAAGAGTAAGATTTAGTAAGATACAAACCAATCGATTAACATTAGACACAAATAGATACTCATTGAAGTGAAGGTAAGCTTGATGTTCAATTAAGATTGATTAAAGCCAATTCATCATTGACCAATGTTAATCAAATATCTATTAGATCAAACCTTTAAAATAGAGCCTTTCATTTAACCGATGAAAAAAGCAACCAGAAACCAGAATAAACATAAACCCAAAAAAATAGCAAAACAAAAAGGTAAACCCTTTCAATATTCATCTTAAACAATCTTTAATTCATTTTTTCATTTACCTTTTTAATATTTTTGCTTCAGCATTTTTCATCAAGGCTTACAAGTTACTCCAAAATTAAAGGTTTCTCATCTCCATCTCATCTCCTTCAACATCTTACCTCACACCTTCTTTTTCCTCCTCATCTTTTCTCTCGTTTTTCGAGGTTTTCTTCCCCTCCTCATCTTTACTCTGACGTTTCTCTTCTCTCTTCTCTCTTCACTTTCTCTTCTCTTCTCTTTCATCTTCACTCTTACTTTCATCATGATACTCTTTCTCAACTTTCACTTTCTATTTCCCGCTCTCAATTATCGCAATAATTGGTCCTCTCTTGATCATTTTTTCATCCAATCTCAAGGCTATTTTTTACTATTTGATAAAAGTTATTTCCATCATCATCATCGTCAGTCATTATCATCATTTCTTAACTTATTTCACATTTCAAACAATTTATCAATAGGTTGACAAGAGCTTCTTTACCATGAAACCCTCAGGCTTTCCATTATTTTACCATTATTACATGTATTATTACAACTGATCGTTTCTCTGTACTTTCAGCTTTCTGTGATTGTTTATCTATTGAGCATCATTACCATTTGATTTGATTTACATTTTAAATCACATCTTTTCCTTTTCATTTGTCTCTTTCAATCTGATCAAATTGCATGAACTGAATATTTTATTTAATTTGATTGAACCAAAAATGGTAGAATCAAAAGAGTAATGAACAACAAGAACAAATTTTTCCACCAAGAAAGATGGAGAAAAAAATGAAGCAAAATTTTTGCCCAAACTACATTTACAATTGAATTTTGATTTTCGCTTAGCAACCAGAATAAGAGTGAAAAATCATTCAATTGAATCTTCTATTGTTTGCTTTCAAATGTTCAGAAATTATGTTTAATTTATGTTAAGTTGAATTTGCTATTGGGTTAATTTTATAATGAAAACATGAAAAAATCCCAACAAAGTTCCATTCATTTTTATTTGATTAAATATTTCCTAAGCCTTTCAACATTTCAAATTGATTACCTTTCTTCAGTATTACTATAGTAGGAATAATCAAAAGTTAAATATATTGCTTGAGATGGTGAACATTTTTTTAATCAAATTGATGAGTTTGACAAAATTGTAGACAAGTTCATCGAAAGCTGTTGCTTTTTAAATCAATTGAATAGACTTGGCTGAATCGATTATAATCGCAAATATATCGCTTTACAAAGAACGGAGATAATACACTTGCACTGTTTAATTGTTGTTTAATTTTGAACACATTTCTCAGCTTGAATTATCACCTCTTTATAATGACTTCTTATGTAAAGTAATTTTCATAAAAATACCTTTCGATAAACTTGCCTGCAGCTGTTTTACAATTCGATAGGGTTAATGTTTTCAAATGTATTTCAAAAATTGAAAATGGCAAAAGCTAATTTAAGATAATTTTTTCTTTTCTTTCATATTTATGGATGCCAATCATCGCTATGGAATTGGAAAAATAAACATTATTCATCAATCAATCATGAACCATTATTCACATTGTATGGTAAATTATTGTCAACTTTTTGTTTGATTTCTTTTTGGATGTTATTACAGACGGTAATTTGTGGATTCTTAAAATTGAGAAAGTTTACCCAAGTGATTCAGGAATTTATGTTTGTGAAGTAAATTCAGAGCCACGAGTTAGGGTTGCTCGATTATTGAATGTATCACCATTTGATGGTTCAACTTCAGCAACATCTTCTGGATCATCCGGTAATACCACTGCATCACCAGGAAGAAGTTTTGCTGATGTTGATCACAATTATACTGATTGCTGCATTGAGGAAGGTGTTCCGTCCATGTGTCATGGTTTCTGTCAATTTCGTGGCCTCATATCAAACCGTGACCCTCCACAAGTCATTCATCGGTGCATCTCCTTTTTACCTTCAATAGCTAAATGTCTTGCCGATGGACGTAACCACATGCCTTGCTGTAAAAGACAATCCATTCCATCCGTTTGCCAGCCCGTTTGCGTGGGTAACTTTACTTTGACCACAGTGACTGATCATTTTGCTTGCATGGATTATGCGGCACCACTCTTAGCTTGTATTGCTGAAGGCGTTCTTACCTTACCACCTCAACCTAAAGAAGTTTCAGCTGAGCCAGCAAGTCCAACCGAGATATTGATTAAATGGTCTAAACCATCTGCCAAGCAACAAACACTTGTGGATTGGTATCAAATTAATATAACACAACTTCACTCTTTTGATGAACTCGGTGTCACCGAATCAGCTTCAAATGATGGGTCAACAAGTGATGCTGATTCAACGTCATCTCCACCACCACCTTTGTACGGACTTCGTATAACAACCAAAATCAATGGAACTCTTGATGAATTTAAAGCCACTAATTTAAAACCTTTCACCATGTATGAAATAACCATGTTAGCCATTAACAAATTTGGCACTAGTCTACCTTCAGCAACCGTAAGAACTTTAACGCTAAGTCCAGCCAAAAGTAAAGATAAGGAGCCATCGAAACCAGCTAGACCAGCACCTGAATTACCTGACATTAAAAAATGTTGTGTTGATAATGGGCTTGTGCTTGACCGGTGTGTTGACATTTTATGTGATCCAGTTCGTGCTGATGAAGCAACAATTACTGACATCATGATTTGCGCTCCATGGGCTAATATAACTTTCAAATGTATGGCTTCTGGAATTGATCACACCGACTGTTGTAGAGAACGGGGTGTCTCATCTACTTGTCTACCTTTCTGTGAAGGTACCGTTAAACGCTTAGATTTCCGTCATTTCGTTTGTCTCGATCACATGTCATCTTATTCAAATTGTATCCTCGATTTCCATGGAGTCTTGTCAAGTCCACCAAGTGATTTTGCTGTTGCCTCGGTTCACCATGATTGGGCTGTGCTCAAATGGTCCCCACCAAAGAGATTAGGTGAAACTATTTTGAAATACAATATTCACTGGCGAGAGTCGTCTAAAGACGAAGTTACCAATTACAATGTTTCAATAGCTAAGTCGTCACCTTATTTGTTAGATGGTCTTAAACCTGGTTCAAGGTATGAAGTTTATGTTTCAGCAGAAAATAAATATGGTGCTAGTCGTGGATCAAGTCGAGTTATATTCTCAACACCGCCAATAGAGGAACCTGAACCTGAAGAAGAAATACCCAAAGCTTACAATGAAACTGCATGTTGTGCTCGAGCAGGAATGAAATCATCTTGTTTACCACTTTGTAATTATCAAATGAAAGTCTCTGATGTACTTGCACTAGCTCCTACTTGTACAGAGTCAATTTCCACCTTAGTTCGTTGTGGTGCTGGTGGTCGTAATCATATACCTTGTTGTAGACGTCGTGGAGTCGCTTTAGGTTGCCTTAATTTATGTGCTGGACTCGTTGATGCTCCACCACTCTTACTTGCCTCTCGATGTGCAGAAGATTTGGGATCAATAATTCAGTGTATGGAAGAAGGATCAGAAATAATTCCACCAATGCCAACAGATTTCCATACGGTCTCAGTTAATCGTACCTCAGTTCATGTAGCTTGGGATATGACTCCTGAACATAAGATGGATCATCTTAAATATCAAGTTCGTTATGTTAAAACAGATATGGCAGCTCCTTTGCACCCATTGGAACACACTTCATCTGTTAATATTACTGGAACAACTGAAACCATTATCAAAGGATTAGAACCTGATTCAGTTTACTCTATGTATGTTGTTGCTCTAAATGATTTTGGAATTTCTTTGCCATCACTTGTTTTGTTGATCAACACTACTGATGAGACTCACCCAGGTGCATCTGGTTTACCTAAATCAGCTACAGTTGGTCCTCCTCATGATATTGAAGTTTTGTTACAAACTGTTGATTCATTAACCTTCAAATGGTTACCTCCGTTGTACATTCAACCTGATCGAACTGTTAGTTATATTGTTTACTATCGAGCTGTTAATGGTACGGAAGTTGAATTGTTACCTAAGGCAACTGAAAAATGGATTCGAGTAGAAACTAATTATAATTCAATGATTATCACAAATTTAACTTATAATACACAATACGCCATCGGAATACAATCAAAAACCGATCGAAATGAAACCTCGGCTCTCAGTGAAATAGTACTTGTTTGGACTGATCCTGCAATTCCTGCATCAGTCAATTTACCTCTAATTATTCCTGCTGGGCCTGTTGTCGAAGGAACAAATATCACAATTTTGTGTGTTGCTATGGGAACACCAATGCCAGTCTTATCCCTTTACGTAAATGGACAATTAAAACGACGTGAGGAACGTCGACATATCTCTTTCCAATTAGCTAATGTTGATCGTAATCTATCTTCAATCGGTTGTTATGCTGCAAATGGCTTCGGAAAAGATGCTCAATCAGCCCAATCAACTATTCAGGTTCTTGTTAGATGTAAGTAAAATTGAAATATTGTTGATTTAATTTCTTTTTAACAAATTTTTTCTTTCTTTCTACCATTTAGTCAAACCTAAAGCTGTGGCTACTCCATCAAGTGCATCCGCATATGAGTCTGGAACCGCCAAGCTTCAATGTGAAGTAATGGGTAACCCACAACCAAGAGTTTATTGGTACAGAGAGTCAAAGAATCATGTTCAAGTCATTCAAGATGCAAATACTGTTTTCATTCAAACTCCACATATCATGGTAAGTTAGGAGATGATGGATCAAACGACCATTTAATGATTCTTGTTGTTGTTGAGGAATCTAGACAAGTTAAGATTCAAAAGCTGACGTTTCAAGGAGATGAATTGCCTATTCCAATGATTACCTCAGATTGTTTCCAGGATTTTGATGCTCATTGTTCATGTTCAGTACCATTGTTATTGTTGTTTTTATTTTAATTCAAAGGTTTTATTGTATTGATAGGCTTCCTTTGTGAACCTTTATTGTTGCATAAGTGTGAAACTTAATCATGATTTTCAGGGTAAACTTAAATATCCAGGATAAGATCTAGCAATAAGTTTAATTTCCCTGAAAAAAAAACTGCCAAACTAGTGGAAAGTTAAATTCAAATTCTTGAGACTATTAATTGGTTTCCAACCTATTTATTGGCAATTTAACAATTTGACTTGTTTGTTAACCTTTTTTGCTTCGTTTTTTCAATCAATTGATTTTGTCTTAAATCACATCAGCTTAGATTGGCAAATAAATTGCTTTCAATTTCTATAATTTTAATCAGTTCACCAGCCAACTTGTTAGTTAATTGCCAATTTGTGTTTTTGATACTAATCTTGTTTACGAAATATACTAATTGTTCAGTTGATTTTACTCCTAATTTTGTCACCTACTTTTTGCATCAAGTTTAGGTGAGACTCAAATTTCCTTGCATTTAGCTTTTTGAAACTGATTTTCACCAATTTGTCTACTCAAATTACTCTGATCAGAATCAATGTTCATTGCATCAACATTGTATTGTTATGGAAAGGATTGTGAACTTACTGATTACAAAATGAATGATTAGTATCTTGAATAGTTTGACATATTTCTTGACTATTGTAACATTTTTTTCTGATTTTATATTCAGTTTCTTTATGCTTTCAAATGGTTGTCAATTATAATGGAGAAGACGGTTTAATACAAATGTTGATAGTAATGTTTAAAGGGAATTATGATTTTCATGGTTAAATTGATAAAAAATTTATTATCCAGAAGAGAAGTTTAATAACGACTCTGATTTTGATTATTTAATGGTAACTGATTGTGATGAATACCGATTGCTGGTAATGATTATGATTATAATGATTATGACGACGATTACCATTCAATAGTCAATTGTTTAGTAAACAATTTTTAATTTACAGTTCAAAATCAAACCATTCGTTTGTTGAATAACCACAACAAAATGTAATGATGTACTCAAACTCAGTTAATCGTGAACAAAAAAAAGGTCTTTTGATTACGTTTTTTCCCCTTGAATTTCCTTCTTTACAATTTAAATGAAACTACTGTCATCCTGAGGTCATTGATTTGTGAAATATTGTTAAATTAACTCTCAGGCCCAGATTTAACAACAATCAAACGATTAGGTGAATCTTAATATAACTTGAAAAAATCAATCTAATTTCTATTGTCACAGTGTATGAAACAAATGGTTGACTCTTAATGGTGATAGTTTAAGATTCCTTATGAGAATCAGAATAAGAATAGATTTGAACGCAACTTAATGATTAAATAATCATTAACTCAGTTAATCAGTGATAAAACGAGACGTGAGGGCAACATTCAGTAGATCTAATTGGTTAAATTTTTTGGTCGCACTTGTTGAGGTAAAAAAGTAAAGTCAATTTGATTTAGTTAACCAGATCAACCAGATAAATGATTTAAAGCACTAACCATGTTATAACAATTAACAGTTTGTACAAAAACATGAATGTACAATAAATCATGAACAAATACGAGCATTTTTGAGTGTAAATTGGGCTAATATCTCACAAATTGTTACACACTTAAAAGGGAAAGTAAAGAAACTGATTAGAATTACTATTAATTATGAAAAACGGAATAGATTAACGTAAAAATCCTTTTCTCTAATGTTATATTTTCATTCCTTTATTACTGCTATTATTTACAATTCTTTGAGTCATCAGCTAATCACACTAACCACCAATTTCCTCAATTGAAATTATAGCCATCTTCTGGTGAACAAATCGTTTGCTTGATTGCTTCTCTATAGTCTTAATTGTAATTGTTGACATGTCTCTTTCTCTTAAATGTGTTTTTTTTCCCAAACAACTTTCCATTTCAATTAATTGTGAATTCCTGCTGAAAATCTTTTGATTGTTTTCTACTTAAATCGAACATTAATGATAATTGCTATTTTTTTTCTTCCCTTTCAATTAGCAACCATTTACCTGGATATCAACGCTGTTAATTAAACATTCATCCAAGGCTCATGCTGGCAACTATTTATGTTCAGCTGAAAATGACTATGGTCAGAGTCAAGCAACCATTTCTCTTCAGATTAATGACAGTAAACCAAATGCAACAAGTGCATTAGGTGAGTATTGAAAATTATCTAAATGTTGCTGGTTAAGTTCAGAGCGACGATAAATCTAACTCTTGAATTCATTTTTTTCTAGCCTGTTGTAAGGAACAAGGAGTTTCCAAGGAATGTCTTCCAGCCTGTACATTTGATGTTGATATTGAATCAGCTAAAAAGATACCCCAATGTATCTTTGATTTAGATAAATTAATGGCCTGTGCAGCAGGTAAGAAGAACGCCCAAATGTTGATTTATGATTTTTTAACTAATGATAGAAACCATGAAAAATTGGATAAAATTTAGCAGAACTAACAAAGGAAATCATTACACTTTTGATGTTCGATGAAAAATAATTAATCATCTTTGTTCTCTCCATTTTTTTCTCAGATGGAAGTGACCATCGTCAATGTTGTAAACGTAAAAATGTCCCATTGGCTTGTCTCCGTTGGTGCGCTGGTTTGAGAGTTCCTGCTCCTTGGCCTTGTTTGATCTCATCATCTACTGATATCGTTTCATGTTTCGAGGAGGGTAAAGTACTTCTCCCGGGTCCACCTCGAGATGTTCGAGTTCAAAAAGTAATTGACTCAAACAGAGTTATCGTTAAATGGGATGAACCAGAAAAGAACCCGGAATTAGTCCAATACTACAGAATTCTTTGGAGACCAATTGGTTCAAGAGATCTTATTCGTAATCAAACAACTCAGCCCTTCTTTGAATTGGAAGGTCTTGATTCTACAAAGATGTATGAATTTGTAGTTAAAGCAGGCAATCATCATGGGCTCTCAGTTTTCACTGACCCAGTAGTTATATCAATGAGGGAATCGGTGGAAGCATCAATTGGAAATCGACTGTTGAAAATATTCTTCTCCTTTGCTCTATTCGCTGTTTTCATGGTACTCCTTATTGGCGGTATACTTTATGGATACAAAAATCATTATTTAAAGCGTAAACCATCGGGAAGCGGAGTTTCCTTTGAAAATCCTTCTTACATGAAAGACGGTGGAACAGTGCAGATTCATGATAATGGCAATAATTCCCATGTCAATGGAAATGGAACTATGGTTGACAATAATCGCAACAAAAGTCAAATAGAAACGCCAAGCTAATCGTTTCTTTTGCCACCTACTCTTTTCCACACCTTTGAGAAATGTTGAATAGATGCAACACAGTATAATTAAAAAGTCAAAAGATGAAGACAAGGACTGCGGAGACAATGTTGAAAAATCATTGTGAATTTTCAACAGAATTGAGATAATAAATGATTTTTGAGAGACAAAAGTGACGTTGCAAAAGTATGGCGTGGTGAAAACAATCAAAATAATGAATAAACCCTAAATGATTGTTCCTTAAAAGTGTTGGACTATTCCATAAATTAAAAAACACTGCTCAAGGTTTTTTGCTAACAAAGATAGTTTCTATCTGTGGGCAAGTTAATTATGAAAAAAGACAAAAATGTAATGAAAAATACGCTTTAGCGACTGTGATTGACTGTTTACAGTTATCCTAACATGTTGATTGTAAATAAAAAATTTATTTCCACCAATCTTTTGAATTTTGTTAAAATGCTTTGAGCTTTCTTTTATGTGGTTAGAAGAAAATAATAAATACAATAATGATGAATAAATAGCTGAAATGTATTATAAAACGAATAAAAACACTTGTATAAATGACTAAGGTTTAACGAGTGCATATCGTATCAATTTGCCAGGACCTCTGATTTCTTTGACTCTCTTACAATGTCTCAGGCAAGTTAAAACAATTTTTGTGGTGTTAGTTTCTTTGAGATTACTATATAACTTAAGATCATCGGTAGTACAAAACAATTGCCCCGAAGTTTCAGAATTTTCTTGAGATTTATAGAGTTGAGCTCGTTTCATTTCTTCATCACTGTGACGAGAGCTATGCGTTGCTAACAGTTGGTACTTAGCGGTAATTGTTTCCATGAAAGATACAAGCCCTTGGTTCAGTGATGAATGGGTAATCCTTCCTCTCATATATTGCGGGATATCATCAAATTCATATTTACTAATAGGTTCAACTATCGGAATATCTCTAGATTTATTGGACTTGTATTCAGTTGCAACGGGATGTTTGGCCTTGTTTGTATCATTTCCAGAGGGTTTTTTGATTCGATTATCCTCTTTTCTTACTGATTTAACATTTGCTTTGGTTACCGGTTGATGGATCATAGATTGAGACTGCACCTTGGGATTTGGAAGAGTATTTGTTTCTTTGATTTCACGCGCTGTTTTTATGTTTCTTTTGAATGAAGCCAGATGTTCACAGTGATCTTGGATACAATCAAATTTCTTCATAATCAAGTCCTTCTGGTTTAAAAGATCGCCCTTTTGCCGGTCCAACTCAGTATCCACAATATTTAACATCTCTTCCATCTCCTGAACAATAGCTATGTAGTAATAAAAAACAAGAGTCGTTTTAAAACTTGATTGTCGATTGATATCAAAGCACATAGTACCAAAAACTTAGAATTAAATAAATGACGGAAAAAAAGATTACTTACCAGAGAGATAAGAAAGTTTGGGTAAATTTTCGTTAACTCCATTATTCTCACTATTACAAGTCTCCAACTTACACACTTTAACTAACGGTATCAAATCATTGATGAGATCAATTTTTTCATCGAAATGTGTAAAAACAGTATGAAAATCGGCAGAGTTCATAGTCGTAAATTAAATCAGGGAACAATAATAACAGAGATTGATAAAAAATCAATAAAACTGAAACTCAAAAAGTTTGATGACCAAACTTAGCTTCATAGCAACAGTAACTATAGTAACTCACCCGTCAACCTAGCAGTCTCAAGCCGGTTAATTCAAATATACAGTTACGTTATTTTTAAATAAAAAATGATAAATAAATCGACATTAAAGAATCACTAAATGATTAGTTCCAAAACAAAATCCGACGAAAGAAAAGCTCAAACACCAGGCAAAATTTCAATGCAATAAAATCTTTAATTATAATTGAATCCTACAATTACAATCCAAAGTCTAGCCTAACCATTGGCTGATAAAATCCAATAAAGGTACAAAATGTACATCATGGTTGTTGTTTGTGAACAAATAACAATCAGTAAAACACAAACAGCTATTTGAGTTGATCAGCGAAACAATCTGACCTTTCAATAAACACGATATCACACAATTAAACATTGAAACGTGAGGATTATCAAGACCAATGAAACAATACAAAATGTAAACAAATGTAAAAAAGTGGAAATAGCAAGTTGAGATTTTTGCTAAATAACAGTAAAGTTCAGTTGAAACAATAGATTTAAAGTTTAGTAATAAGAAACTAATAACAGACCATTTTGTTGATGAAAATAAAAATATAAACAGGTTAATCAAAACTCACGATGATCTAATTATCCCTATTTTAGCAGCAAGTCTTCCTTGAACCAATTCAATAAAGATGTTACTTTTGATCATAATGGTTACCCATAAACAAGCAACATGTTTCCAGATTCATCAATTTCAATGGTTACCGGTAAAAGTGAAAGGTACTGATGATCCAATTTCAAATGTCCGAAGAGATTTATGTCTTTAATTACCACAATCTTAACATTTGAATGGAAGTGAATCTCTTAAGATTAGACTTTAATGATCAACTTGTTCATCAATATTACTATCGTAAGTGACCATCAAAATGATGGCAATAGTCATTATCTTATTGGTTGGCTTTTTGGTTTATCCATTGATTAACCCATCTAGCTTGTCAATTTGTATGAAGGTAAAATGATTTGTCTAATTATTATTAATATCATTTATAATTATCTTCTACCAATATTAGAATTATTATTTATAATCGAGTCTTCCTTTAATAATAGAATCAATGCGAGTGTAAAAAATTTACATTCAACAATGAAATGGTCTTGTTTTCCGGCAAATAACATTTTCAATTGGCAACTGTAGGTTGAAATGTTGAAACAAACTCACATTGTTTAACCACTATTAATATCATAACTATTGATACAGTTAATAACATTAGTCCCTGTCGATTAATATTTTTTGATAATCAACAATTTAAATTGAGTGGCAGCAAAAGGTTTAAGATAAAATTAGATTGAACAATAAATAATAAAAGAGAAAGGTTGAAAGGCAGATTTGAAAAAAAAGTTGATTGAAAGGTTAAACCATATTATCAATAATATTAGGTTTTGTATATCAAAAAATGTCTTCCCGACCATAATTAATAATAATGATGATGATAATTATGATCTTATGAATGGAAAAGGATGAAATGATGAGACGATCAAGAAGCATGAAATAAACAAAATTAAGTTAACCATCATTAAGATGCACATTATAAAGAAATAAAAAAACCTTTCTTGGTTTTTCAATTTCAACCTAAACCTTTGTGAGTTTAGCCCTTTGTTTGATTATAAGTAGATGGCAGCATTGAAAAAGCAATGGACGTTAATAAAAAGTGACTTAAAAGTGGACAATTTTCACAATTGTAATCAAATACAGTGTTTTATCATTGTTTTAATTTATTTTGTACTAATCAGTGTTTCCATTGTTTGATAATCAGTTCCGTGTGATCATTGCATAACTCAACAGAACCAGTAAAGACACAATAAAGATCACTATAAAGATCAGTAAAAGATGAACACATTTTGAGTGGAGACTCTTTTTTGTTTTGTTTATTGCCTTTCATTCGCATTAATTCATTGGCCTAACCAACATTTTTGGTTCCTTCCAGTTTTAGGTCATTACAATCAACATATAATCTTCATTATTAATAACAATGTTTATCCCAATTTGTGTCACTTAAAGCTTCCTTGATCAAATCAATATTCAAATGATTCCATTCAATTGATCCCTTGGCCGATATTAATCTGGTTAAATGATCTGGTCACTTTGATTTTCTTATTTTCCCCGTTCTGTTTACAATTAAAAAAAGGTTTTTTGTCTTGATTAGCTCATTTGAATAATCACATTTAATCCACAGTTAATTTCAACCTCTCCCAACAGTTAAAACCTCAATTCAACCTAATCTCTCCTATCAACTAACAACAACAGCAACATTCACTTGTCATTCAAATTATCTTTCATTTCCCTGTATTTTTCATTCTTTCTCATCATCATCATTATCACCACAATCATAATCATCAGTCTCAACATCATCAGAATCATCTTATTGAATCAATTACAGCGTCTTCTGCAGTGATCTAATCAATAGACAACCTTTTCAGAAGCTTGCTACCAATTATCTTAATCTTTATCCATATTAAGCACTAACAGTTGTCCAGTATTACCTTTGACTATCCCTTTTGACCCTGATTTGATTACTGGTTACTTAATCAGTTACGATTAATCTATTCATTAACCATTGAATTTTAATCATTTCATGTAAATTGTGAGTTTTGTTGTTTACCCGATTCACATTATCATTGTTAAGGTTAACAACAGAACGTAAAAGGTTGACAACATTTTTACCTTTTTATTTGTTTCGTTTTATTGTTTAACGTTTGTTTTATTATTATTTCATCTTCATCATTTCATTATTACAATCCAATCAGTTAAATCAATTTCACTTTGATACATATTAATCAATTACAAATCATGGATTAATTGTTACGATTCCGGGTTGCACTTAGCCTTTGTTATTTACCCTTATTTCAAGTCCATTAACCTTTTAGTTCAGATTTGCAAATCGCAATTGATTACAATCAAAAATCAACATTTTACTCGTTTATAAATTTTTGTGAATCTAATAGCTAACACTTTTTTCCTTGCTAAATCATCTTCAGTTTTCATCATGTTAATTGTAATTTGAATCATTCTTGAACATTATTGTGATGCTCACAGTTTTAGGTTATTGTATTATTTCACTTCATATCGGATATTGTACACTTTCAATTGAATTTATCCGTTGAAAGGCATTACAAAAATCAATGATTGATTGAAACAATTTATGATTGAAGATAGGAAAATTAATACTTCTAGTCTCATTAGCTAATTGGGTTGAATTGTTTTCAGATCGTAAAGGTTTTCGCCAAGCAATCGATAATCAAAAATGTAAAGATTGATGAAGATAATCGTTTGTTGGTGTTGCCACAGTTTCTGGTCAGCAGTTTAATTGCCAAAACATTTGAAGTTCAAATGTTCAAAAAACAAAAGTCCGGTAAAAGGGATTAATTGGTGATTGAATTGGCTTCCTCCAAATTTTAGGTCCACAATTGAATTAGCAAAATTAAAGCATCACTGTAACTCGTCCAATGGTAATCGAAAAGGCAATTGTTGACTTTAATCTGGGAACTTTGAGTTTATACCGGGAAATTAACTCTGATTTATGAATTCCAAGCTTTGTTTAGTTCAGTCTGGTCTTGATTGTGATGGATTATAAGGCGTATAAATATCACACTTTCTCACCCAAAGAATAAAATTTACCAGCCATTAAAGGATATAAGTGTCAACTCGACTCGACTGGAATAATTAAACGGTTATATGATGAGAAATAGACAGAACAGAAATAAAATTTCTGATCTGTCTCATGATTTACTCATCTTATCATCAGCGATAAAGTTAATTGACTTACTAATATAACTTGTAAAATAAATAGACCCGCAATTCAAGTTAATTACTTCCAATGAGATGTAAATCCTTTCATTTGCAATGCTCATTTCAATTGTAAAATTGAAAACAATCAATCATGATCGAACACATTGTAACCAATAAAGACAATCGTAATATGCTAAATCAATTGAAACAATGAGGTTCAAAAATTAAGATTCTTGCAATAAAATGGTAATTATAAGCAAAATAATTAATTATTGAACCAAATTTCAATTTTACAATTCAGTTTCAACAATGACTTGGATTTCAAAAAGGTGAACGGTGCTTGTGATTGGCTTTCTTGATTTACCAGGGATAGAGACTGAAACCATCCGTCAGAATTTTTCATTAGATTCAAGATCTCAAATATATTGCCGGGTCAGTTGTTGACCTGTAGATCAAATAATAAGGAAACAGGTAATCCTAAAAAATAAGATGACAATTAGTTTCTATTCAATTTTCTCAATCATAGTCTTCAATGCATCAAACCAAACGGTCCAATGAAAGAGTAAATACGTTTAAAATAATACAAGTTTAGATGAATTTTCAAATTGGAGTTAGAATATTTATTGTACTTACATTGATTATCAGGAAAGTTCAGGTATGTTCCATGAAAAAGACATCTTTAATCAAAATCAGTTACATATTTAGGATAGTTGAAGCTGAAAAGTGAAGATTTATCACAAGCCAAAACAGGGCAACTTTCACTTTAACCCAAACCGGTTGTAATTATTTCAGTGATTATTAAGAATGATTCAGGAATATCTTGAGTTTTCTAATTCAGAAGCTCAAGATTCAAATAATTACTAAACAGATGAAAGTGAACAAAAGACGAGAACAATTATCGTTAATGATAAGCAAAAATTTGAAACTTAAATTTAACCGTTTTTTGTCACATTTTGTAAAGTTGAGGGACTGTTACATAATTAAGCTTGGGCAAAAATACATTTCCAATATAAATTATTATCTGTTAGTTTCAATTAACTTTTAATTTTAAGTCAATTCAGACAATTAAAACCATTTTTAATCACTTAAAGGGTTGAATATTAACCTTGAATCGTCTAAAATTCATAATTTTTACCAAAAAAACTAACCTCAATGAGATAGTAAACCTTGGATATTGAATCATATCATGTTATATTAAAACTCAAGAAACATATTTTCACCAATTTCAACTATTAACTCTTCTTTTTCCTCTATCAACCCACCAGATTAAGGTTAAACAGATTAGTTGATCAACAATAATGTCTTTAAATTTTCTAATCAACACCAACAACATGAAGCAAATTGTCAGCCAACCAAAAATCCCAAGAAACAAATTGAAAAACAAGTCTGAAAGGTTGAAATTTTCACCCGAAAAAAATCAGATGTCCAAGCTTCCCTAATGATGGACCAGTCAATGATTAAAATAAGATAAATAATTAAAAAACAATTTAAACACAAACTAAAGCTACAATTTAAAAATTGTGACACCAAAATCAAAGTAAAACATTTCCTACAAACCAAACCAAACAAGCCAAGAATTGACATGCAACATCAACCCAAAGACAAAATGCAACCTAAAATGATTCTGGATTAACCTAAACCATTGAAAATTGTCTAAAATTTAATCAAAATAAAGACAATTAAAAATGGGTTAAAGTGCAATAAAAGGATCTTCTAGAAGCTGAAAAATATCAACAGCAGAAAGTAAAACCAGAAAAGGGGAAAAACAAAACGGATAAACATAGTTAATCCAAATCAGTTTCACCGTTAACAGGTAGATTAGATGTTTTTGTTTTCACTTTCTCATCCTTTCCATCATCATTTCATCCTTTCTCAGCATAATTATTATAATCAAAAGTAACCCTGTTTATCCTAAAGTTGAACCAGTAAAATGAAGCCTAAAAATCCCTCCCAACATCCTCTTCACCATTACCTTCACTTATTGTTACACTCATCATCTCAATCTTCCCCTTTCCTTTCTTCCTCACCAACATCTTTCGAACCCAAAATGAAGACAAATTGTCATCCCGTTAACCTTATCCTGGTCAGCCATAAGGACACTACCATTGGGCGTACATCATCATCTTAATCATAAATCCTTAATGATGATACAACAACAATTGATAACTTACTAAGTTGATATAATAGCAACATAATTCTCGCAACATTAACCATTTTAAGTTTACTCATTGTTGGCTTAACGTTAGTCTTTTTTGTGTGTGAGTCCGTTTGTTTCACTGACAACATCCATTATCATCATTTGACCAGGTTGACCATTAAAACTTCATTTCACTTTCACTCCAGTTAAAGTAAAGAAGAAGAAGAAGCAGGCGAAAGAAGGGAAAAAGGAATTTCTTTTTTTTTTCCTTTTCATTATTCCATCATTTTGTGATGATAACGAGTTTAAACCTTTTCAAATGTTCATCTTCAATCTAAAGTAAAATCAAATTGACCAACGCCACCTTTGACCATCCAAAGACGAAAGATTCCTGTGGAAAGAAATAACATTTTCAGTGACATTTTTTTTTGTTCGGATACAAATTTCGACCTTTCAAGACTGATCGACTTTTCGGGCTAATGCAGTGTTTGATTGGCAACACAATGTTTCCGGTTAAAATTGTGATACTTTTTGTTATTATTTTCATTCAACAATTCAATACAATCCAATCAAAAGATGAATCCATTTTATCGAGATTTGGTTTTGCTGTAAGTAAAACTTTTGTTTTCCTAAACCATCAAAAGATATCAAAAACTAACCCAAAACCGATAGAAACAATCAAAACAATTCAATATCAAAATCAAGTAAATCAACAATCTCAACAGTTAACTGACTTTTAACAAAACAGATTCAAAACAAAAGATTCACTTATTCTCATGATAATCAACTAATCAAGCATCGTAATTACAAAGCTAATTCAATTTAAATAGATTCCAAATTCAAGTAAATTAAGCTTCTGTTGATAAACATTGCAATTTGAATACAAATTGGCAATTACTAAAATTTAGCCTGAAATCAGTTGATTGGTGAAGAGTTGATTTCAATGGATGAAGATCAATATTTCAATATTTTACAAACAATTGGCGGACAGTTTAAAACAATCAATTTTAACCAATTGAATAAATTTGACAGTCTTGACAGTGAACTGATTAAACTGGTTAATCGATTGAATTAACCTTAAACGGTTGTCAATCCAGCGTTAATCCTGTTTGTAATGAAAGAGATTAAACATTTAAACCTGTTAACATTAATCATTTAATGGATAATCAAATTTCAACTCATCATCAATCATCATTTTAACTGATGAACCTTTTGTTTAACGCGTTTTCTGGTGTAAAACTATTAGTAAACCCAATCAACAATCAATCAACCTTTTTAATCAAGCAAATGTCTCCAGATTTACATTAATCTAAAATCTGGTTAACCGGTTCAATTTGTTAAAATAATTGTCTCAACCAATTGGAACAATTAAATTAAATTAAACGATGATTACATTTACCCTTTACTAACCTGATTACATAAATGTCATTGTTAACGGTTAATCAATGAATAATTTGTGATCTTGTCTATTCAAATTGTCCAAAATTAAAAAAGAATCAAAATTAGAAAATTGAAATTGTTCCTTGAAGGAAACTTGACAATTAATACAATTAATATGCAAATGGTTAGACTAGATTGTGATGATTAGAGGTTGATGTCTATACCTTTAAATAAAATCCTTGGATAATTTGATTTCAATCAAATGGTTAAGTTGAAAGCAACAATTAATTTCAACAATTGAACGAGAAAAGGTTTCTCATTGTGGTTTATCAAATATTTATATCAAAGGATGTTACATTACCGTTGAACAATTCATATTCATATTCAGATAGTTAACCCTGTAATCATCTTATTCTTATCACATTTTCATCATTTCATCAGAATTCATTCAGAATAAATATATTTCTTCAACATACAGACTAAATTAACCAGCAAACAAAACAAAAATGGAGACCAAAAAAAGGGTTTCAATTGATGATTTCATTCAATCATGATTGTGATCAAAGTTGATCATAATTGTTATGCATAACATTTCAGATGATAATTAAAGGCTCAAGATGCTTATGATGGTTAAAAGCTTTGAATGGTATTAGATTGAAGTTGTTTCATTGCGTGCTTTTCTTGCCTTTATTATTGTATTTAAGATTGTGTTTACTGTTATAATTATGAGATGTGAGTTTGCAAGGGAAAGTTGAAGGCTTTGCTTGTCCATTGTGTGTCCACTGTATGACCGGATCCATTTAAGATTGAAAAGGGTCAAACCAAATGAACGTGTTTTCATTTTTAACATTTTACATCCATTTTTGCCACATTTTTAGACTTGACTTGAGTTTTACCTTTGCTTCGCATTAAGCTGTTTAACATGCTGATGATTATCAGGCTGATTATGAATACAAACATGAACATGATTATCATGATGATCATGTGCTATGATAAGGGAATGATGAAAAAATAAGTTAAGTAAAAGTGTCATTTAATGCTGGTCAGTTCACGAGCCTGACGTTCAGTAAACGCCAAACGATTAGTTCCAATGAACTTAACCTAAACGTGAGGTTAAGCTCAGGGGTTTAAACCAGTATTGATATTTTTAAATTGTTAATCCTAACATGATAATAATAGTCTTTTTGTTGTCTTAATCACAACAATTATGCCATTTCCACAATAATTTCAATTGTCTTTTTTTTCGCTAAAAATTAAAAGTGAAATTTTCTTGAGATTTTAAATTTAGTATCTTAAAAAGTGAAAAGCTGAGCCATTAAACAGAAGTAAACTTGACTGAGGTTAATTTCAATTTCAACCAACAATTATACGGTAACAATTAGCAATTAAAGTGTCTAAACTTGAACCTCAATCATTGTCATTGGTTTAATTTGTTGACCAATTCTGTCTGAATATTGAAATGGAAATGTAAATTTGAATCTTGGACGATAGAATTAGCTAATTTGTTTAGTTTGTGATTAGATTAATGGTGTTTGTGTAAAGGTGATTCTGTTTATCCACTTTATTGATCAAGTTAATCATGTTGAAGGTAATCCTTGGATGTTTCCATTGATACACTTTGGGAATCTTTCAATTTACTTGTTATATTAATTGTTTGGAAGCTGGTTTCTTTGCTCTGTGAATCAAAATTATCACACAATTAAATATCAATATCTTGTGGGTTCTCAGTGTCATTAATGAAAACAGGAAAAAGGTTGAATTGTGAGTTGTTTTGAATCAATTTATCATTAATTAAAGTCTTTCTTGGTCATTATACATTATCTTAATCAGATTAACCATTTCCATGTGAAAACCAGATTCTCATTGTTGATCGCACTTTTGTCTTTAAATTGTAAATTAACAATCTGTAATTGTATTATAAATTGTTATAAATACATATATTTAAAAAAGGTTGAACGTTTACGAACGTTACAACAAAGCAACAACATGTCAAGATTAATTAACAAGAATCAAATAATCGTCAACATAATCATGTGAGAAATGGTTACAATTAGTAAACACTAAATATTAATCAAGACGGAAGAATCTCAATGATTATAGGAAGAGTACAACAATTACTGTTATAGCAAAAATCACATGTAACATGGTAGAAAAATTTAAACAGTTGGTTTAAGTGTATTATTATTAGCTGTTTTTCACAATCATTATTTGATTGTTACTAGAGGCGAAACAATAAAATTGTAAATATTAATCAATGAGATTATACCAAACTAGCTGAGGTTGAATCATGTAATTTCATAATGGATGAAAAAACAGTTTAAGGATACAATCAATATTGAGGGTGATGATTGTCAACACGCATTTATCCACCAACTATTATTATCATTGCCATTATTGAAGATGTTCAGTAGTGATTGACTAAATGGTAGTTTCGGACGGAAGTTAATTTGTTGCCTAAGATTATAATTTTGAATTATAACGATTGATTATAACGGGATAATTGAATTATCTAAACGATCGATTATATTGTGATTAAGCCAAATTGCCATCAGGGTGGTCAAGTGTAATAACAATAACAATAAAATGTGTTCCAAATGTGAATGTGTTTGTATTCAATGTCAACTGGATTATTGAGTTTCTCCTCATTTGTCACCTTTCGGTAATATGATGATGGTCTTGATAATGATGACGGTCATCTTTCTTTTATCTAACCAATTGGTCCATTCGAGCAGATTGTTTTTTAACCATAAAAACTCAACAATGATTAAGGTTGCTAATAAAATGGACAAAAGTTTTTTAACGTATGCATTTTTGTCTTCAACTGCTTCTGCTTGTGTGTCCAGGTAAAAGTACTGATTGTCCATTAGCATATCTACGATGTTAGCCGAAGACGACGACAAAGATAAGGATAATAATGATGATGATGATGAGGTTCATTGAGGCCAATTAACTTGCATGTTGTGTGTGAAAAATGAAGGAAATGCGACCTCTTTAATGAACAACTTAACTTATGTTAAATCTTCTTCGCATTCTTCTTTATCCATTTTACTTTCTTTACTTTCATTTCGTCCTCAGCTTTGTCCTTTTTTGTTTTGTATCGAAGTCCAAGTCGAACCTGGAAAGGGGAAAAGAAGAAAAAGAAAAAGGAAAGAAGAATAAGAAGAAAAAATCAAGTTTGGAAGCGGTAAAGATGAAGAAAGTGAATTTTACCTGTAATAACCCAAATTGTTACTGAACAATCACCAACAACAATGCACTAAATGTTTCAAATACATAATTACTTGATATTAATAATAATACAAGCATTGAATCACAAGTAATCAAGTTGAAATGTTACACAACAAAAATTAAAAGCTAATAACAAACAAATAAAATCTAACCAATTGTACAATTTAACACATGACTTTACGAGGGAAAAACCATTGGTTACATAGACTGTGATTAAACCAGATAAATTAAGCGCCGCATTTAAAATTAATTTTCAAAAGCAACCAGCAATTAAAGTAAATAAAATCAGTCAATTGATCACAATTTTTCCCAGACACTAGCATACAATATTATCAATTACAATTATCAATACCTTTACAATTGAAGGCCTATCAAATATTAAAAACTGTTACATGAACGAAGCGACATGAAGATTGTTATCCAACTAGGAAACCAATAATTTCAAGGTTTGAAAATTTCATCCGCAATTTGATTAACAATTGAATTGTTATCAAAACAAAACTGTATTCAATCAGAATCCCAATTATTCCAAAGAATTGGATAAAAACAACAAAAAAAGGTTAACATTGATGTTTGATATTGATAGCAGAAGATGGGAAATCTTTTGTCTTCAATTGTAATTACCAGATTGTTGTCAAAAAAGCTAATCAAATGATGACATCGGAAAACAAAGAAACAGTTGACAAAAGGTAAACATAATTGTTATCAAATATTTTGTCAATAATTTAACCCGAAAAGTCACCAAAATAATACAAAACCAACAACAACGGTTATTGAACTTGTCCATTAACCCTTCAACCAGAAATATTAAAACAGTTAAAATGGTTAACCTTTTTCATATTTATATTTAAATCGTAATTTATTTCAACAATTATTAAGAAAACTCAACAATATAAATATACTAATAAAACTGAGCAAAAACACACGTAAATTGTTACACGTTAACACGTATTAATGATCATCATTAGTGGACAATTAGGGATTTAATTTAGAGTTGAACAAGTCAGGTAAAAATGTTGACCAAAAATGGGTTTTAATATTAGCTTTAATGGCCCTTTGCACCGGTCAAGAAGACAGTCAATTGTACCATTGATTTAATTTAGATATCTTAACAATTTAGATTGAGATGGAATTGAAATCAGGAAGAATTGTAATTCAAGTTTTGTTAATTGTCAATTTGTGTGAGTAAAATTAAGCTTCCTGACTATTTAATGATGATTCTGATAGCTGATGAGAATATGAATTTAAATTTAATCTTTATTACAATTGAATTGAAATCAGTTATAAACATTGACCTTTGCCGTTTCTCAGACATTTTTAATTGTAATCACTTTCAATTGATTACCTTGTAACAGTTAATCAATTTGAGCAAGGTTAACTTATTTGTTTTAATTCAATGTTTGCAAGTGAAAGGCACTTTACAATTGATGATCGGTTCAGTCTTTTTTTTCATTGACCTTTAACAATCAACATTTTGATCCATTTTTAATCAATTTAAACGACAATTTATTGTTCCGTAAAATTGTTACCTGAGATGTTTAAGATCTAGATTAGTTGAAATTGAATTAATGACAATGAGAATGATTAAATGTCATTGAATAGGAAAGGAAATGTAAAATGAAAGATGAAATGATTCAATGATTCAATGATTCAATGAAATTACCAGCAATCATTATTATTTGATTGAATGATTGAACGTCAATTAATACCTTAATGGTTCATCATTGTAACAATTATGTGAATCTGAACAAGTTAATTAACCAAAAAAATTCAATTTAAAATGGAAAGCAGTTTAATTGATTGTTTACTGAAAATAACATTAAACCCAAAATAAGCGATCATAAAGACTCTTCATTGTCATTCAACAATTGACTTTTATATTTTAATTTCAATTGTAACTTCAAATTTCCCTGTTAATTTGAAATAATCTGAATTTAGAATAGTTTATTGAAGGATTAAAGAGGTCAAGCAAATTAAGATATCAACTGATCGACAATTAAAGATGGAGAGTGAAAGCGATCACAATCAAAATGGTTCATCAAATGAAAGTGAATCAATGGAGTCAAGTTTATTGATTTATCAACAATTTAACCTTTCATCTTAAATTCATCTTGAATTCATCTTGAATGCATCTTAAATGATATCATTTAAAACAACAATTAGATATAAATTGTAAAATAACATTTGATTATCACATTGGATTAGGTGGAAACAATGAAAATGGCAAAGAAAAGTGTTGAAGGCTTCATTTTAAGGAAAAAGTTAATGAAGATTGTAACAATACTTGATTATGATTAAGATGAACAGTACATTTCATCACGAAGATTGTTTATTAACAAATTGCTTGTTATACATGATGATAAATTGAACTAGAACATGATAATCATAATTATGAGCCAACAATAACAGTCTTCTGATTTTAACGACAGGTAAACATGTAAAAACATCGTGATTACCTTAACTTGTGCGTTGTTGTTTTTTTCAACCGTAAGTTATAACGCCTTTTACAAACTCAAATGATTAAGCACAATCAAGTGCAATTCATTAACAACAATAGTCAACTGAATCATCTTAGGCATACAATTTTGACTAACAATCAAAGGTTAGTGTGAAAGTAAATCATGAACAGAGAGTGAAATTGATGTAACAATGTTTTCATGTTTACCTGTAACCAATGTCAAGGTTAGTTGATTATTAATTTTAGCCAATTCACAATTAATAGAGTTAATAGATTGGTTAATTATACATTAATTTAGGTTAAAGGTTTTACATATTTCAACAGTGATTGATCAGTGAATCAGATTCTGGTGATGTTTTTTGTTCTTACTCAGCTGTTAATGGTTGACTCTTTTTTGCTTCTTCAATGGTTGATGGTTAAAGTGAGTGACAATGATTTAAGTGATTTAAGTGTTAACAGTAAATTGTCAACATTATTTAAGGTTAAAGTTAATCAGGTTAAGGTGAGAAATGAATGTTCAATGTTTCCAGTATTGATCAGTGATTTTTACCTTTCATTAGTGATGGTGAAACTGGTGAAAATTGATTTTGGGTTTAAATTGAGTTGAATGGGTTTTCTGGTGTTCTGTTTACTGTTGTACATTAAAATGATAGGTTGTGAATTTAATTGTCATCTTACAATCAATTAATCTCTTCTTTGTGTGTCTTCTCATTGAGTTGCAGTGAAATTGGATAAAAACAATTAAGGTTTAACATTTGACTCTTTTTTTTCCTTGTAATGTCAATTGTAAGTTTACCGCTTCCAGGCAAAGGTTGAATGTTGATGGTGAAGGAGGAGTGAAAATGAGATTCAATTGTGTCTAAGGTATTAAACCTGGAAACGGAACAATCTGATGACAATCAAGAATCATGTTAGAAGGGATAAGAGCAGGGGAAGAAGATGAGGTAAAATGATTAAATGTATCATTGAAGAAATATAAGGTTCACATTAAAATACACTTTAATGATTTACTTGGTATAACAACATCGGTAAGATGATACTCAGTTTTCAGGCTGAAAATGATGATGACATGATATAATTACTGTAAAAAAACTGACAACAAATGAAAGTGGAACAACAAATGACTACAAAATACTTGGTATTAATCAGAAAAAAAAATTGTCCAACAATTAACAATTTTCCTGAAGAGTAGAGGTAATACTTGCCTTTATGGCATCAATGGCAATCATTGAGTATTTCAACGGTCCAGCAAACATTTATTATCACTAAATGATCCGAGGCTTTTCAATAGATTTAATTACTGGACAGTTGAATTTAGTTTAATTATAATATGATTTGATTCCTTAAATACAATCCATTTCAAGTAAATATTGAATCTCCTTTTAGATGTAAAACAATGTAAGGGTTGTTAGGCCTTTTGTTGTTGCCTTTTGTCTAAAGGTTTCAATCTTGAACCAATCAATTTTAATGTGACTTTAAATACTGGATTAACGGCAATTAAAGTTGATTGTTGAAAGGAGCCCGTATAATCGTGGTAATAACTATTGTTAATGTTTGATAAATGCTATCTTTAATAGTTGACCGTAACCAGTTAAACCTTTACCGATGATGATATTTAAGGTTGACTTTTGTAGGCCTATGATGATTGTTGAGTGTTAATCTGTTTTGCTTTTGTTTTGTCACATGCAAACAATCAATTATCAAGATTAATCAGTTACAATTTAGGTTGAAATTATATGGCATATAAGTCAAAGAGTTAAGCTTATTCAATATTGTATTGTGTGTGTGTGTGTTAACATCATTTTAGGTTTTACAGTATTACTGTTTTGATTTACATTAAATTGTAAAAACAATGGGTCAATTTATTTTTCCCATCGTTTAATTTATTCATCAACATTGTAAATTACAATTTTAATATTAAAATGGTTACATTTGATTCTTTTCTCACGCAATGGTCAACAGTTGTTGAGTAATACAATATGGTCAATATTTTCAGGTTGTATATCGTTTTTTTATTGTAACTGTCAGTATAATTTGCTCATTTGGTTATTAAAACAAACAAGATATTAAAGCAGCAAAAAAACGCACATCTTCGATGATCGTGTAAATAAAAACAGATTACAATACAATTTTGACCGATGGTTAGCTTTGAAACAAACAGGGTAATGTACAAATCAATCAACCAAGGTAAAAGTGTAATCATTGTTTAAATGGTTGATAATCAACGGTAATCATTTTATCAACAGGACAAAAGGTCAATCATTTCATCATCATCGGTAACACCGTTATTATCATCCTCATTGATTCAATTGTTGGGTAAACTATTTGGCAATAATAACAGTTGACTTGTATTATTATTGTTGCTGCTGAATTAGATATTGAATTGTTCAGAGAGAATGGAAATATTTATAATGAAAATATTGGGTGAACTGTGAACACGATTTCTCAAGATATCAGTTAATGATACTTCTGGACAATCATGTTCATCAATTGTAACGATGAGCCATTATAAATTTTTTAGGGTCTGGCCATAGATCACGGTTAGAGGTTAACTTGATTTCATCAGATGGTTTGGTTGTATTTTGGCTTTATAATGAATTTAAATTATTTTTGCTTTCACTTTTTAGTGGGATTCATTGATACCAAGTGAATCATACAATTCTGCCAATCGTTACATCCAGCCAATTGAGCCATTAGTTATTGGTAATCAACCTGGTCCATCGGCGATTCATCACAATGGTCATAGTCACTGGGAACCCATGATTGTACCGCAATCAACAAGAAATCGAAAAGTTTGGCAACCTCTTTCTTCAACTGTCGGTTCTGATCAAACAGAACAGGAAAAAGAAACAGTCGAGGAAAACAAAGGTGAGCCAAGTTCAGAAAATGTCGACAAACGGTGGCCTTTGATTAGCAAGGAAAATATTGAATCCGAGATATTCCGTGATGAATGGCGAACAGAGAAATCTCCAATTCTTGGTTTAACCAGTAACGGTCCTGATTGGAACAATGGGGAAGATCCATTTTCACGAATTGATAAATCGGTTCCACACATAACAACTCCTATTTATCACCGAGATGTTGAAGAGATTCGCAATGAACGAAAAACGGAAAATGGTTATGATAAATCAGTTTCAAGAACAAGTAAAATCTCATGGGACGATAAAGAAGAGTTTAGAGGTTCAAATGAGGGAAAACAGGTTGAACCCATTGTTGATGATCGTGAATCAATTATCATAGGTCGTCCAGGTGAAGGAGATGATCAAGCAGTGGCACCATACAGTCCAACAAGACTTCAAAATAGACCAGGAATGGTTGCTCCTTTATTACCAGGAAATCCATCAGCTCCAGCAGCTCAGCCTCAACCATCAACTTTTGCTCCTCCTCAAAATCCAGTGACAGTTAGGCCAACCGTAGCTACTTCAGTGAGAACAGCTTTAGGGTTAAATACTGAGCGACCAAATAAGAAATATGTTTGGTTTGAAATGGCAAAGAAAAAATCGGCTCGATCTTCTGGTCGCCAGGAAATTACCACAACTCAATCTCCTCAAGACTATTTCACGGAATCTATTACAGCAACAGCACCATCTTCAGCCCCTCAGAAACAAAAGGCACCCAAAAAGGCAGCAAAACAACCAAAAACCAGTAAACCAAAGGTAACCAAATCAGTCTGGGGATTGAGAAATGCACAATCAGATAACTTGAAATTAGTAGATCAAAACAGATCAGAGCCATCACCACCTTCAACTATTGTGACTGAAATCACTGGTACGCCAATAATTACATCAACTCGAGTACCTTTCTGGGCTGATACATCAACAAAATCAACAGAAGATCTAATCAAAGAATGGGAAGTTATTCCAACAGCCAACACTAATAACGGGGGACGAAATGCCAATACAAGAAACACCAACACTGAACCAAAAAAGAATAATCTGAAAAAACGAAAAGGACAATCAGCTGATACAATTACAACAACGACCAATTCACCAGTATATGTACCAACATCACAAGCTTCATTCCCAACTTTCAATCCATTCACAGAGACTCGAGCAACATCAAACAACCAAACCTTCAAATCTTCAGCATCTAAACAGGCTGCAAAGAAGCAAGGTAACACTAACGATGGAAGTTTCAATTATATGACTAAAATTGATCACGGACCTTCACCTTCACCACCAGCATCATCAGCATTTTCATTCCCCTCAACATTGTCAACAGTCGGTAATGACCAAAGAAGTGGTCGATTGCAAACCAAAGGAGGCTCAAGTGGTAAAAAAGCCTCTAAATCAAGTCCATCAAATAACAAGAAACGTTCATCTAAACAAAAACAAGCCAATATCTCATCATCATCTTTATCAGCATCCTCATCGTCTGATGATGCCAGTAAAAGATTTGATAAACTGATTCGAACAACAAATAACCCTTCACTCGCAACCCAAACTGTGCCAACAACTGCCAAAATTTTTAACCCAACAACAACCTTTGCCTCGCCAACAACTACAACTCGATCAATCACAACAACAACTCAGCAAGCGACTACAGTGACAACAGTTAAGGCTCCTAGTTCACCTGCAACAACTTACCGTTCACTTGTGACTACCAATCAACCCGTTTTCACAGTAACACCAACCTTTTCATCAGACATTGAGGATGTATCGATTATACCAAATAGAGTTCCTGGTGAAGGTTTAAGAAAATTAGGAAACTTAATTGTCCCGCCAAACCAACGAAGTAAGGAAACTGAAGAAGAATTGAAAGAAGTTCGCTTGGAAGATCTTTTACCAGGTATTCCTAATCAGGATTACTCAACCCTCAAGACAGTTCCTAAAACAGCTTTCCGTTGCTCTGATCAACAATATCCTGGTTATTATGGTGATGTTGAAACCAAATGTCAAGTAAGTACAATTAAATTAATAGAACCAGCTGATAGTGAAAGCGTGTTAATCACATGTTTAGCTTGAAGGCGCAATTTTTGTTCGCATTTAAATACAATTCTTTGTAATCAATAATCCTAATAATTTTTTAACTCTCATCTTCCCAGGTTTTCCACATTTGCCAATCTGATGGACGTCAAGATGATTTCATTTGCCCCATTGGAACGGTTTTCAATCAAATGCTGTTTGTGTGTGACTGGTGGAACAACTTCAGATGTGAAGAAACACCAAATTATTACGAGATGAATGCTAATTTATATGATTATTCAAAGGATCCAAGTGCTAGTAACAGTGGCACCACTAGTAATGTTAATAATACTAATAATAAAAATAACAATAATAGGGAGATCGCTACCCGTTTTGGAGATAAAATGTCTGGAAAAAGCGAGAAACTCGTCAGCGAGAATGAAGAAACCACTTCAGCTGGTGAATTGCCCAGCACAAGCTCAGTCTATTTTGTAGATGATTACAAGGAAGCTACTAAAGGTAAATCATCGGCGGCCAAATCTAAAAGTTCATCTTCACCTTTAACTGTTGGACGACGTGCCAGTGCAGCATTGGAAAGAGAATCCGAACCAGTCGAAGATGTTAACAATAATAATTCACAAGAAAATGGAAAAAGAAAAGCAAATTTTGAAAGAAACGTCAGTGACGATGTTGAATACTTTTTCAATGATGATTCTTCCACCCTCTCACCAGCATCACCATCATCTTCACTGTCATTGAATTCACCTTCATCCTCTTCATTTCTCAGCTCTGATGATACAACGCCAACCGATCTGTAACAACAAAGTGTAAACATAGATCATCATTGAAACATTCAACCATTCACCAATACATCAACTGTAAATGAGTGAAAACCAGCAAAAACAAAGAGACATTATTTTTCTTGAAAAGAAAAGCAAAATTAATGAATGAACCCTTGATATCAATAGTGTTTTTTATTGTTATTGTCATGAAAGTCCAAATTTCATTTATTGATGTATTTGTAGCCTTTTTCCTCCAACTCATGGCTAATCACCTATTTTTATAATTTCTCTATCAATTTCAAATGCTATTATTAAACGGTTTTTTATTTTTATCCAGGTTCGAGTGTTATTGATTGATATTAGCCACGTAAACTTATCAAATGCATTAGCAAATTAAAATGAACATTACTTAAGAGTTCGATTTAATGGATATCGATTTGATATTTGAATCATATCAAACAAAACAAACATTTCCATAAACTGGTGAGGCTTATGAAGATGGCCAATTTAATATTGAAATTTGGTCATAATTTTATTGAAATTTTTCCGCAGAAATATCTAATGAGAATAAATTAAAGTAAATTCAACGATTTTTAGATTTTAAAATATTTATTGCTGGTTGATTGCTTCGCAATGAATAATTAGGAAAATTGTGCCTTCATTTAAGCAAAATTTTTGTTGAACAATAGATTACATATTCTTACTTGATTAATTATTATTAATTGCTTCTTATTTGAAAATTTTCGTTGGGTCGCTTGTTAACAACAAGAAGAAATTTTTTATTCGAGTCATCAATCGGGCAAATTGACCTTCCTCAGGTTTTATTGGGGAAGCGATTACGTTGTTATCAACATCTGGAGTCTCAACAGGTAATGCGTTGGCAGCAGGGTTGGTGACTGGATCTGGTCCTGGTGGGACTTGAGGGATAGGATTGACCACTTCTTGAGCTCTTGAAGCTGAACTGAATATCAGTAATACAAGAAAAAAGAATATAATAAGACTTGAAAGGGAATTCATTTTCAATAGATTTTTCAGACAAATTTTAAAAGAAACGATAAACTCAACTTGATTAAAGTTGTTTGTGAATGGGAATAGCGATTTCAGCAAATTACTTCCAACAAACAAATTGAAATGCTGAATAAATGAACATCTAATTCAAATAAATCGGCAAATAAAGACTCAAATGCAGCTGTAATATTGATTATTTAAATATAATGTAATGTGAACCTAATGTTATACCTTTGTCTCAACCAGACATGGTCAAACCTTCTGGCCAATTCAATCCTCGAATGGATCCAGTACCACAACAAATCGCCAATTTGATCGCTTAAAACAATAATAATGATAACAAACAGACAGACTGTTTGAATAATTTGATTCGCGGAATTAATAATTCAGCAACTTCTAATGCTGATACGTAACTGTAATTTCATAAATTCTTGCATTTACCTGGAACTGAATAAACATTAATTTTTAAATTAACTATTTGTGATATCATTTTGATCCTTCTTATTTGAATTATTGATTGTTTTTTTTGAATCTTATTTCATTTTGATTGCATTTTTGTTACATTTACAGACTTTTATTGAATATTTTGAATGTGGTTTATTTTACATCTGATTTGATAATTGAAATAAAATTTTACAATATTGTCAATGAAAAGAGTTTAATTGTTTCCTCAGTTTATCTGCCATTTTTCCTGAATCCAAATTAGGAAGACAAATTAATTAATTATACCCTGTTGATGTGGTGTAACATCTGGTTTTGGATTCAGTTAAGTTGCTTCAACTAGTCGACAAAAGACATCGTCTTAGTCCAAGTTAAGTAACGGATAAAAATTGTGATTACATGAATTATTGGTATTTTGTTTAAGTGTATTTCATTAACATTTTTTTACTTTATCAATCGTTTTAATCATACAAATTGAATTAAAACAGACATTGATTCAACAATCTAATCAAATCAGTCAAAAGGATTAAAATTGTGTATTGAGGAGATCATATTATCATATCGACAGTAAGTAACAGTTGAGATTAACTCGTTCTTTGATTAACTATTTGTAATTGATAATCAATTGAATACTTTGAATGAGGAACAAAACTAAAGTTGACTGATTTGATTGAAGTTAATACAGACAATAGTAATAATATTAATGTAATTGTGTGTTGTTAATGGCTTTTGCCTATGGGATTTTGTTTATGCTTTGATGTCCTCTTTAATCACATTCAATTTGCACATCAATGTTTCCCATATGTTATCATTTAATATAGCAACATTGAGCGACTTTTGGTACGATAATAAATAACTTCATCAATTGACATCAATTTTTGATTGAAAAATTTACTAAGAATGAATGTTCTTCAAATCTACTGCTTTTAACATCATTGTTGATGTCTTTGAATGAAATGAAATCTTTGACATATTAGGAACTCTTTGAGGCAAAGACTACTTAATAATCATAATTAGACCAAACATTCTCATTTCGTATTTTCAAATGGTCTTTAAATCCCAAGTCCATAAAAAACCAAATCGTTTCAGTCAACAATCAATTGGTTAGGAATGATTGAGTTGTTAGAAAGCCAATGGCAAATCTTTGATCCAAGTCCGATTTAAAATTGATTTCAACTCGATTTAATTTTGAGCACGAAAAAATTGAAGCTTTTTGATTCTCTGGTTCATTTATGTTGATTGAATTGATTTATTATGAAAATGAAATGTTGACTCAGTGAATTTACAAAGAGTTCTCTCAATATCTCGGACTCTTGGTGTCAACCTCTATCTTGAAATATGAACAAATTATTGGTAGCAGCAACTGCTATAATGTTCTCACTTGGATGCCATGCTGTGTGTAAAATTTTTCGTGAATAGTCCAAACTTTCTACGCTTATTTCATCCTTTTTCTTTTTACCTCCAGTGTATACCTGTTAAGAGAGGAAAAAATGATTAGAAATCATTTTAAATTTTGAAAGTAGAAAGTAGAAAGGTCAAAGGATGAATCACCAATATTCAATAATTGAGTGAGAACAGTGATTTAGTTTCCCTGCAAGACAAAGGTTTTGCCTTCAGGGTTAACTAACTGACCAGATGGGGCTAGTTTCCCGCTCGAAAGCCAGGAAAGAGAGGATATGAGGAAGAAGAAAATGGGAACAAAGAAAACTAAATAAGGTCATTAACAAATTTTTTTTACCTTTCTCGGTTTAAGAGCTGTTCTAGGCTTAGCTATTTCTTTGGAGGCTTCTAACATCACTTCTCTTTTTGACTGTCGATCAAATACTTTAAAAAAATTATTATAAGATCCGGTCATTATATATCTGAAAGTAAACAAGAAAATGGTTGTTAACAAAATGAATAAAGATGTCGATGGTTTAACTTGTGAGCAATTTACTTTGATTGGACAAAAAGAATACTTACTGGTCAGTACCGTTGAAACAACATTCAAATTTATCGAAAATATAATCATTTTCGTACAAACTGCATAACTTTGATCTTAAATATTCATGCACGAGGTATGATTCAACTGGTTTGGTATCCATGTTGAGATCCCAAACTTTTATGGATAAGTAGTCCCTTGAAATTAAATATCTACCAGTAGAATTAAATTTAATGCCGGAAATACTTGATATAATTTCGGAAAAGAAGCTCCTATTCGTGGGATCCTCTGGCTCTTCAAAAACTTCATGAGAAAATGAAAATGATTAGAGAATGACATTAAGGATTTTTTTCGAATGCTTACTTTTAGCATGCCGGTCACATAATGCAGAGGCTCGCATATCACATAGCCTGATGATACCTTTACTGCTACTGTAAACAAATAAATTACAATGATGAGGATGAAATTCTGCGGCTGTGATAACTTCAGTTAACTCTTCCATGTTAACTGGTTTAATATCAACGATGTCTAAAATGAAAAGAATGAAAACAAAATTAGTTTGATCGATGATAACACAGAAACAATGTAAATTGGAACCATGAGAAGACAAAAATTATAAAATCAATCAACACGTAATCTAAATTTTGCGTATAGCAGCTCATAATTAGTGATTTTAAATGCTAAATTAAGCAAAGTGGAAGGGAGCAGTAAATAAGACAAAATGTGTCAAGATTATTTGCTGAGTAATTTGTCTTTCAACGAAAGAAATTGATTCAAGAGCACAAAGAGCTCACTGTATTAACTAGATTAACCAATTACGTGGAGAATGATTTCAACCTCGATTGAATAATTGTCGAGTTGAGATTTTTATCGAAGGCAGATCAAAGATAACACTCACTAAAACTTTCGTCAGTGATGTCCAGGTGCCAGAGATTAATACGAAGATCATCAGCGGAAAGGTAAGTCTCTTGATCGCTATTCATTGAAATAGAGTTAATGTGATACGTGTGCGCATTGGCATATATCCTTTTAGGACAAGCCTCAACTGTTAATTCCATTGGTTTTATGACAGGTACTCGGAGGGATTTAATTGAATTGGGTTCTTTTATACATTGGCCTTCATCATCTATTAGATTATAGCCATCTATTTGCTTCTCCCTTTCGTACACTTTCCACAGTTTAATAGTTTTATCGTTAGTTGATAGGAGAAAATGAGCGGGATTTTTTCTCTTTAACCACCTTATTTTATTGATTTTTTCTTCGATTTCTAAACTTTTCAGATAGTCAAACTCTGGTTCATGGCTCTGAAAAGTTGTATAAACACTGTAGTCTCCTCTTCTTGGCACAGATTTTTTCGCCTTGAGAAGAAAAAGAAAAAGAAAATTAAAAATCAAAATTGGTTTATATGGCAGTAGATAGTTTCAAGATGTTAACAGCAATGGTAAAGCCTATCGCGATAGTTTAAGATAGATTCTGGGACTGAAATGTGAGAAGAATAAAGTTATGCAAGCACCAATGAGAAGACATGGGAGAGCCTTTTGATGTAACCTTGATTAACTAATCAGATAATGCTGAATGAAAGAATTAGAGATTCACTTGTTTGTAAGAAGATAGTCCGAGAGTAGAAGATTTAGAAGAGGTAATCTTCCGAATGCTGATCTTGATATTGATTAAGGTGGTATTGAAACTTACAGAATCGTCTCGTTGGAAAATAACCACTCTACCTCCCTTGTCTCCGGTTGCGAGTAGGTCCCCGTTATCATTAAATTCAACACATGATATTATATCCGCTGAAAAGAAGAACAGAGATTGCGATTAAATTAACAGAAAAAAAGATTCTTAGTTATTGCTTTAAGTGTTAAATAGTGCTTTTCACTATTTCCTTCTCAATCTACAACAGAACATAGTTAATACCTAAAGGAGACACCGAGTAAGGTGCAAATGTATCTAGATTTATTCCCTTCGGTATCATAATAAGGTGTAATTATGATTATTTTTTTATAGTTAATATTAACTATTGCGAGTGAATTGGAAGATTAACCGGTTGACACGACCAACAACGAAGTCATAAACACAATACAATAATACAACAAATAGGTAAACACATTAAAGGGAAGGTAAGTAGATGGATAAATAGAGAAAGAGAGTGAGAAAGGTTGAGTGAAAGAGAGGTGGAAAGAGACGGAGGAAGAGAAGAAAGGGAAGAAGAAAGAGTTTAAAAAAGGAGGGTAAAAGAGGGAGAGAAGAAGAAAGAAGAATGAAAGGCACACAGAAGAAAAGTAAGACACTAGACAAGACAAATAAGGCACATAAAAGATCAGAGAATAGATAGAGTATTAGGAATAGATAGAGATGAGAGAAAGGGAAAAGTGAAAAGAGGAAAGATGAACAAGAGCCGTTGGGTGAATGATGAAAATTAAACGATAAAAGAGGTTACGGGAGAAGCAAGGTTAAACCATTTTTTTCAATTATAAGATGAACCAGTGGTAAGCACTTCACTAGGGGTTCACTATTTAGGGGAACAAAAACACAATATGATGATTAGGGAGACAAAACAAGAGACGGGAGAGGGAGAGAGAGAAATGTTGAAAGAAGAGCAAAGATGAAATAGTGATTTGATCAAAAAATAAAGAAAATAATTTGCTTGCTTTTCTCATAACCAATCACAGGTTAGTTTACACACATAGCCATACACTCACTCACTCACTCATTAACTATCAATCAATGGTACAAAATGAATTACAAAAATAAATACATTATGAGATAGTAGAAGGTGGTGAAAAAGATGATGAAGATTAAGAATTTAAAGATGATAAGATCAATGTTTTAAATTGAAAAAATGATTAGCACAAGAGTGGTAAAAGAAAGAAGATTGACTCTCAATCAGAGCACCATACACTTTAAGCAATACATTTTCTTGTATTTTTCTTTCTTCTTACCTTCGCTAATGTCATCATCTAATGAACCTTTAACCTGTTCAAAAGTCCATTGAATATCGGAAAATTCAGATTGCGCCATGAGCTGAATGGCTAAATTAACTTAATTAAAAGAGTTGTTTGGATATATTTAGAAGTAAAACTGATTGAAATTCAGTTGGAAAACATTGAACACTTTCAAGAAAAGAGCACTGGGGGAAAATGGAATCGATCCAAAGATCCAAAGCTTGGCAAAGTTACCAAGTCAACCAGTAGATGGCAACATGGAATAATCCAGGTTAAAATTTTCACAAAAAAATACAAAATTAAATTTTTACTAAACCAATTTAAAAGTAACAAAAGGTTAAAATTAATCAGAAAAAATCTAAACCTAATCAGCAATCAATGATATTTATATTTGATCCGAATGATCGATTAAATCTAAGAAAAATTGATTTGTTAATTTGCCAAAGAAGTGAAATAGTTTATCTGACAACCAATAGATGGCAACAGATGAGCTTAAGTGTAAAATGTATGACAAGATAATGTTGCTTATCAATTTGATTGCAATTGAAACAAATCTTTTCATCTTATCTGGCAATTCAAGCCCAATTACCATTAATAGCCCAGTACAATTTAATGTTATGAATAAGCTACAAGTTACATTAAGTATCATAAGAAACCCATTTTTTGCAAGGTTAGAATAGATATAAAATATTAATCCGATCATCATTAATACACAAGCAATAATAAATGACGATAAAAAGGTTATATCATCGCAAGAAGATCTGGAACCAGAAAGAGATTCATTCAATTTGAGATTATTCAAACTGTAAATGTGTTTCTCATCGTCACTCAGATCAAGATCAAAAGTCAAATCCCAAATTGAGCATAAACCCTTTTTACACTCAAATGTATCTGGTAGGTCAACTGAACATAAATTGCCAACAATTTTATTGAAATTTGGCCGATCATCTGTGAAAGATCCTATGGTTCCATCGAAACTCAAACTGTAACCAGCCGCAATAGGAAAAGTATAATTGCACAAAATGTTGAGAAATAAACTTTCATGCGACAATGAGACTCTGAGAAATTTCGGTGTTTTGTCAAATGTATTGATCCAAAATTGAACTAAATTCATCTTTTTCTTTATTATAAGTTGATACTCATTATCGCCATAAATCTGGTAACCACCGCACTTGGTGAAACCTAGTTGATACCAGGGTAGTTCACTTGCATCTTGAGCGATTATTGAATCATTTTCATCCAATCTTAACGCTAAACTATAATTGGCATTGTACACTAGGTCTAAGAGTTCAATAGCGTAAGGTGACTGTTTAAATGTGAAAGGCTGAGCGATCCAAGTACAAATCAAGTTTCCATTCATGTAAATGGATGATCCAGTCATGAGTCGGTTTTTATTATTGTATACACTAGATTGGGTTAAACCTAAATCCAATTTAAGACAACTGAGCTTTAAAGTCTTTTTCTGTCCAGCAAATGTTAACATGATTCCATGACTTTTACTTGGTTCCATATTGTATGCTACCAATATTCCAGCACATAAATTAAGGCAACCTAAAGCGACTCCACGACGTCTACAACAAGGGATATGATTACGACCACCAGCACCACAACGAACTAAGGTTGAAATTGACTCTGTACAAGTAGGAGCTAGTGCAAGTACATCAGAGACTTTCATTTGATAATTACAAAGAGGTAAACAAGATGATTTCATTCCTGCTCGAGCACAACATGCAGTTTCATTGTAAGCTTTGGGTATTTCTTCTTCAGGTTCAGGTTCCTCTATTGGCGGTGTTGAGAATATAACTCGACTTGATCCACGACTAGCACCATATTTATTTTCTGCTGAAACATAAACTTCATACCTTGAACCAGGTTTAAGGCCATCTAACAAATAAGGTGACGACTTAGCTATTGAAACATTGTAATTGGTAACTTCGTCTTTAGACGACTCTCGCCAGTGAATATTGTATTTCAAAATAGTTTCACCTAATCTCTTTGGTGGTGACCATTTGAGCACAGCCCAATCATGGTGAACCGAGGCAACGGCAAAATCACTTGGTGGACTTGACAAGACTCCATGGAAATCGAGGATACAATTTGAATAAGATGACATGTGATCGAGACAAACGAAATGGCGGAAATCTAAGCGTTTAACTGTACCTTCACAGAAAGGTAGACAAGTAGATGAGACACCCCGTTCTCTACAACAGTCGGTGTGATCAATTCCAGAAGCCATACATTTGAAAGTTATATTAGCCCATGGAGCGCAAATCATGATGTCAGTAATTGTTGCTTCATCAGCACGAACTGGATCACATAAAATGTCAACACATCGGTCAAGCACAAGCCCATTGTCAACACAACATTTTTTAATGTCAGGTAATTCAGGTGCCGGTCTAGCTGGTTTCGATGGCTCCTTTTCTTTACTTTTGGCTGGACTTATTGTTGAAGTTCTTACGGTTGCTAAAGGTAGACTAGTGCGAAGTTTGTTAATGGCTAACTTGGTCTTTCATACATGGTGAATGGTTTTAAATGGCTTTAAATGCATCAAGAGTCTCATTGATTTTGGGTGTTTAACGAAGTCCTGAGGTAGTGGCGGAGACGATGATGAATCGCCGCCTCTTTTTGACCCATCATTTGAAGCTACTTCTGTGATTGATTTCGGAATAATATTTATTTTTTTTCAGTTTCATAGCGATGACTGCCATCCATAAATATGAAACGAGGAATCCAAAATCAGGCTTTTGCCATTTCCAATTTTAAATACATTTACAAACATTATCGTTATAAACGTTATTGAATCGATATTAAATATCAATCAGATGCTGAAAAGATAACTTTCATCTGTAATAAGGAACCATTAAAGAATTTTTAAAGAATTGAAGCCTAAATATTAATGCAGAGATTCATTATCATTCAATATCCTTGTAACCCTACTTTCCATACACTATTCAGGTAAATTGGTTAATGAACATGGAAACAATTATCAATCAAAGTATGATTTACTTCACTTAAATATCAAATTGGGAAGAAAATTTGTTCCATCAGATGGCGCTTTAAGAAGAAAGGTGAAAGGAAGAAAAAGAAAGAGAAGAAAAATGAAAAGAAAGAGAAGATTAGAATGATGATGATAAGGTTAATGGGAGAGAGAGAGAGTCCATGATGTTTCATGTGTGTAACAAGTTTTCATTGAGTAACCATGATTCTGAATTCACTCACTTTTCAGGCTTTTATGCGAAAAGGAAAGTGAGTTGATAAGACATTTCAATAGGAAAAAATATTAACAAAAAGGTGAATCTTTTGATAATTATAATTATTAATTATTGATAATAAACAATAAAAATCAACAGTTGAGACAAGAGTAACCAACAATGTCAACTATGGATTGATTCAGTTCGTTATGGACGAAATTGATTGACTTAAACCATGATGACCCTAAGTTATCATGGTAATCATGATCAACTAATCAATTTGCAAATAGATACTTTTGCTGTTCCCTGTTAATCATTATTACTTTCATCACCATCATCATCACCATAACCATCACTAACCAAGCAACACATCAAAAAATCGTTTCATTTTTACTCCCAGTGTTATCACCAACCATTATCATTATCATTATTTATTTCTTGCTAATATTATTTAATATAACATCTATTATCGATATACAATCATTGTTTTCCAATTTATTAAATTGTGGCAACTTGTTCAAATGGCTAACCTAACCACCAATCTAACCTTAACCTTGTCTTTAATTACACTTGTGAATTTGATTAGTCAAGGTTATTCAGTTAACGATGTAAGACAACAATTAATTAAACCTGCCAATAGCACGGAATTATCATCAAAGTGTCCAAATTGTTCCAATGATACAAATTCAAGCAACAATTTTCACAAAAGGACAAAAAGAGCTTCAAAAGATTTAAACAGACGAGGTAAGTTGACCAAACAAAAACCATGAATGATTATGAATCCAATGAAACCTTTTCTTAATCACCAATCAAACTAATCCTTACGATTAAATTGTCCCAACATCTAAACCCAATTTAACCAATTTAACAATGTTCATTATAATTCAACTAAACTCCAACAAATGATTAAATCGAGACTCGTTAACAAATTTTACCTGCAAACCTCAACCATTTCCTCCATTGAATAGCACAAATATTAACACAATTAACCAACAAAGTCACAATCAAAAATTTAATTTTAACTCAATTAATTTACAATTCAAGTTTTTTTTCATTGAAACATGAAGTCAAAAATGGTCCAATCTAAACCTGAAATGGACAAAATTGCAAGGAAACTTATAATAGACTTTTTTCCCAATCAACCCCAAAAATCTAATTAAATTTTTGGTTGACCAAGTTAATTTTTTAAACTAATTATATTTCCAAATTAAAAGAGGAAACCAATTAATTAGATTGCCTTGGATTGAGACAAAATTAGGTTCAACTTGAAGGTAAATCTAAAGCAAGCCAAAGTACAAAATATTCAAGTGAAACAATTAGAAACAATTGAATGGTTAGACGAAATGTTTTACTCGAAAAAAGCAGAATCACAATCAATTTAATTTCAAGATCAATTGAAAGTTAATTCAAGTTTCCAGTCAAAAAAGAGGTAAATCTTCACATGTAATTATATGCTTGTCTTTTGCTGCTTCAATATTGATTCATTTCTTTACCTCAACATAATAGATATTATGCTCTTCATGTTGAATTTATGTTATAATACCAGTAATAATAATAATTTGTATTTTCATGGTAAATGAAAAATAAAAATATCTCAAAAGCAACCTTTCAACTGATCAAATTACGCTGTCTTTCATATGAATTTTTAGAGTACTTTTCCTATTCAACTTATCCTCATCATTTTCATCATCATCATCATATCCATTTCTCATCTTGAACCTTCACTCATCAAAAAAACTGATCACTTTTATCTTCACAGTCATTCAATATTTTCACCGAATCTCCAATTTCAGCCAATAAAACCTCAGTTTCATCCAATTTTCAAACCCTTTCAACTCTAATTTTTTCGTGTTTCCTTTACCATCATCAACAGCAAGTTAACATCAACATCCTTTTTGTCAAAAATGAAACAATTGAAAAACAATAATTGTATCACTCAAGTCTCTAATCAAATTACATACAGAACTTTTAGACTGGCAAAACATTAAACACTTAAATGTTCATTTGCAATGAAACAATCAACTTTTAACTGAAAAACTATTGCAATCAGATGAGATTCTTATCACTTTTCACCAAAGTAAAGTGAAATTCAAATGTAAAATGAAAAGGAAATACAGGGCTATTCAGCTACTTAGTATGATGTTGAACGCCAATAACTTTGCAACCAAACATGCTATTGGCTTGAGAATCGAATATAGTGAGTTTGGGCGACATTCATTTTTTATGTTTCAAGGACAAGGTCATTCAAGGTCATTTTTCGGAAATCGCTGCTATTCATTTTAGAGGTCAATTTGAGGTCCTGACATGATTTTTGAAGACTAAAAATCTTTTTATTCGAGTTCTGACACTCTGTAATGAACATTGCTTGAGTTATTGACATTTAAGTTTCCGAACCTCGTTATTAGAATTTTTATTTTTTATGCAAATTCCAACTTTTTTGTGCTCAGTGGTGCTCGATTAG